CCTTCCACCAACCCCACCACCAGTTCCGGGACAAGGGAAAGGTAAGGCCGTCTTCGCTGACCTGGAGCCTGAGGCAGAAGGCAGTAATAAGAGGAAGTCCCCCTTGATTTCGGGACCACCCTCCCAACCCCCGAAATCCGTGATGAAGAGTCACAAGCATCTGAGGTCGCTCGCGTGGTGAAGTCCAAGCCCATGGTGGAGTCGGAAGATGAGGAAGACACGATTGTCAAGGTATGTCGTCTCGTTCTTCTTTTACTTGTCTCACATTTTCTTGCAGCCATTTTCGGGTGGAGCGCCGGAGGTCGTCGTTCCCCTGCTCTCCACAGTTATCGCAAGGACCCCAATTCGCCTCAATCACCCAGGGTTCCACGAAGAAACCCTTTGGCCCTGCCACGGTAAGTCACGCTTACGCGTCCGGACTCGGGTGTATGCTTACCGTTTACCAGGTGATTGCCGGCGTCGCCCAGTCGAGCCCTCCTGGCCAACTCCCGAACCCCGTGCAGGCACCCCCGGTCATCCCTGCAGTTGACATTCTCATTCCCGGACCGGTGAGTACTTTATATATCTCAAGTGTATCCATACACTAATACAACTCACAGAAAAACCCATGCTACGCTTGCAACAAGCTACAATGGCCTTGCGCAACTCGGATGGACAAGAGGACCGGGCTCCGTGTATGTCGTGCATCTACTGCACGACAAAGAAGATCAAGTGCACCCCTGTCTATGGGATCCCCGCCTCCTCGCAGTGGTGCCTCCTCTACCACCCGGAAGACGAGGTCCAGGACGCCATCCAGGGCTCCCTCCAGGGCTCCCTCCAAGGCTCCCTCCAAGGCTCCCTCCCGTGTCCCAAACCCCCGCCCCCTCCCAAGCTCCCCCTGCCTCCCAATCCAAGCCCGAACTCAAAGTCCAGTCTCGTGGCATGGCCAGAACTCCCGGTTGTCACTGCGGTGACAACCCCCAAGACCCAGACGTGTGGTCACAGCAAAGAACACCATCACTGCTGTCAAGGCACCTGCACCTGAACCAGCTCGTAAGTCACCCGAGGGTTATTTTTATCATCATCTGACCTTAGGTTTGCATTCTAGCTCTTCCGGCCTCGAGTTCGGCAGTCCGGCTGCAGCACGTGGCCCGGCAGTCCCCTGCTGCAGCACTTGACATGCCCATGACAGATCTCCATTCCATGGCCATTGCAATTCATCAAGGCACAACTTGAATCGCTCTTCTGGAGGATCGTGTGGCAGAGCAGGATGGTAAGATTGATAACCCTTGCAACACCTTCATGAAGGCATTAGGCGCAAAATCATGCTCCAGCACCCCTCATTCCCACTGCCTGATCCTCCTGCCAATGCATCATCCTTGTTGCTTGATCAATCCGGCCCCCCCCACCATGTCACCCGCCGAATCTGCACTCCCACCTCTCATTGATCTCACAATGGAAGGCATTGCTCCCACAACCGCAACCGCAACAGTCCCGGATGCCTCTGCCATTGATGGCCTCCTGTTTGATTACAACCAAGTTGCTCATCCAGAGGATCCAGATGCGTCCAGCGAAATTGTGGACCCAGGTGATCCAAGCAACCTTGTCCCAGAATATAACTCCTCCGATGACATGGATGTTGAGGTTGAGGTGAAGGTTGAAGAGTCTTCTGAGGAGGTTGACATGGCTACATAATTGCATAGTGATAGATGTATATACAAGTTTTCAATGAATGTAACCTCTGCCAGTCCATTGATCGAGTGACTGAGTTCCCAGTACCGAGACCCGACACCCGAGATTCGGTACTCGGTACTTGGTGATTCGTGTGTTCGAGTGTCGAGTTTCGAGTTGAGTACCGACACCCGACACCCGACACCCGAGTACCGAGTACCGACACCCAAGATTCGGTTGATTCGTGTGGACATTTGAAATTTGAAACCTGAAACGAAGTGCTGACTACCGAGTACCGAGTACCGACACCCGAGATTCGGTACTTGGTACTTGACACTCGGTGATTTGAGTCTCGGGATTCAAACCTCAGATTTATGCAAGTTTCAAGTTTCAAGATTCGAGTTGCGACTTTTGAGTTTTGAGTCGAGTACCGACACCCGACACTTGAGTACTGACACCCGAGATTTGGTACTCGGTACTCGGTACTCGGGTGTCGGGTGTTGGGTGTTGGTACTCAGATTTATGCGAGTTTTGAGTTTCTTGATTTGAGTTTCTTGATTCGAGATTTGAGTTTCGAGTTTTGAATTGAGTACCGACACCCGACACCCAAGTACCGATGATACACACAAATCACCGAGTACCGAGTACCAAATCTTGGGTGTCGGATGTCGGTACTCGGGTGTCGGGTGTTGGTACTCGACTTGAAACTCGAAACTCGAACACACGAATCACCAAGTACCGAGTACCGAGTACTGAATCTCGGGTGTCAGTACTCGGTACTCGGGGTGTCGGGTGTCAGGTGTTGGGTGTTGGGTGTTGGGTGTCGGTACTCAATTCGAAACTCAAATCAAGAAACTCAAATCAAGAAACTCAAAACTTGCATAAATCTGAGTACCGACACCCAACACCTGACACCCGAGTACCGAGTACCGACACCCGACACCCGACACCCGAGATTCGGTACTCGGTACTCGGTACTCAGTGATTCGAGTCTCGGGATTCGAAACTCAGATTTATGCGAGTTTTGAGTTTCAAGTTTTGAGTTTTGAGTTTCGAATCAAGTACCGACACCCAACACCCAACACCTGAGTACCGAGTACCGACACCTGAGATTCGGTACTCGGGTGTTGGGTGTCGGGTGTCGGGTGTTGGGTGTCGGTACTCGATTCAAAACTCGAAACTCGAATCTTGAATCTTGAATCTCGAAACTTGTATAAATCTGAGTTTTCACGATATTATGTCCGTACATCGTCAGTAAGTATACAAACAACGACTGACAAAAAACTGCTATATGACATAGAGCTATCTTCCAAAAATATATACGGCTGTGCGTGAGCATGGAAAGGGAAGAGAAAACACAGGTGATTTGGGGGGATTTGGAAGAAGGGAATGAAATGGCAGTAAGATTTGAGATGGAGAACACAGGTGAAAAGAGGAATACAAGGGTGAATGAGAGTAGGACAACGGAACAGATTCGGGGTAAACCCTTAGCTAAGAGTTGCAGATGAGACTCATGTCAGCCAGCAACAAGACTCGCATAGTAGAGTCGATTACAGATGAAGCAGGGGAGTTGAATGGGATGATGTATCGAGACTCTAAGAGTCGAAGCCATGTGAGTGCCTTAAGCGAGCATGACTCGGTACTCGGTACTCGGGTGTCGGGTGTCGGTACTCGACTCGAAACTTGAAACTCCTATATGATACGTATCTGGGCCCACCCATCTGTCTAATATTACCCGACGTCGGCCCACCCGTCTAGGTAAAATTCCCCACTTCGGCCCACCCGTCTATCTAATATTTCCCTATGTTGGCCCACCCGTCTATGTTATAAATATTTCACCTCACCCTCGGCCCACCTGTCTATCTAATATTAACCCACGTCGGCCCACCCATCTATATAATAAATATTTCACCTCACCCTCGGCCCACCCGTCTATCTAATATACCCCTACGTCGGCCCACCTGTCTATGTAATAAATAATTCACCTCACCCTCGGCCCACTCATCTACCTAATAATACCCCATGTCGGCCCACCCGTCTAAGTAAAATACCCCACGTTGGCCCACCCATCTATCTAATATTTCCCTACGTCGGCCCCACCCGTCTATGTAATAAATATTCCACCGCTCCCTCGGCCCATCCGTCTATATAATAATATTTGCTATACATCTCTCCTCAGGTCTATAATATATGTCAATCCTACTCTACATATTACCCATATGGGCCCACCCATCTCCATAATAATATTTCTCCCGGCCCATCCGCCATCGTCGATGATATATATAACATCAGCATAGATGGGCCCCACCCGTCAACATCGGGAATATACATAACATCGGCCCATAATCCACTGGCCCGTATTACACGGGATATTATGTAGGTCGGGTGACCCGTATAGTATGGGATTTGTCACTGAAGGGGCTCCACCTCTACTAATAAGAGGGCTATCATCCAACATATCACTATAGGAAAGGCTTATAATGCTGTCCAAGCCACCCATTATATAAATTCCACAATCACCACCACTGTATCTTCACAAACTGTGAAGAATGTTCTCAAGGTGGCTCATCTCAAGGCAGTAACAAAGAAGAAATGCCTCTTCTCTCTATCAAACATAGGCAGAGAAGACTAGCCTTTGGCTTGGCCCATCACAACTGGACTGTAGAGAACTGGAAGCATGTTATATGGTTAGATGAGATCAAAATAAATAGGATTGGGTCAGATGGGAAGGTATATGTATGGAAAAAGAAGGGGGATTCTTTAACCAACAGAGAAATTAGTTGGACTGTCAAATTTGGAGGAGGTTCTCTAATGGTATGGGGGTGTATGGGATGGAATGGTGTGGGTATGCTTGCTGAAGTTGAGGGGAAGATGGACACTGAGCATTATGTGGACATTCTAAATAGCCACTTGCTGCCTAGCATAGCTGAATCAGGAATTGATGAAGAAGACATCATTTTCCAACAGGATAATGATCCCAAGCACACATCTAGGAGAGCCAGGCAATGGTTTTAAGAACATGATATCAATGTTCTTGACTGGCCAGCACAGTCCCCTAATGTTAATGTCATTGAACATCTCTGGGGAACACTTAAGAAGAAGCTTTAAGCCTATAAAGCCCCCTCTAAAGGAGTATGGGAGCTATGGGAGAGAATAGCAGTGGAATGGGGAAAGATTACAGCAGAATATTGCCAGAAATTGATTGAGAGTATTCCTAGAAGGATATAGACAGTAATTAAAGCCAGGGGAGGTCACACAAAGTACTAGAATACCTGATTATCACTATAAAATACTTAAATCAAAAAACTGTCCACATGAGTCATCATTTTGTAAGCCTCATATCTCCACCATATCTTGCCTGATTCCCATGCCATAGTGCTCAATTGAAAGCCCTGAAGTAGTACTACAATATGGTACCAGCATGTCCTTAAGGTGTTTGTATATTCTCACACAATATCATAGATAGTGAAAAATGTGAAAACATATGGACAGTTATTTGAGCCACTGTAAATCACGAGTGTCCTTAAAATAGGGAGATGGACCTCCTTAATCTTAATTCTGATAATGAAATTCTCATCTTAAAGTTCCTTATATTCGAAAATAAGGCATATAAGCCACTTTAAGGGTGATTTAAGGATTCTAATGTTTTCCTGATATTATCAAGACCCAAACATCTAAACTGATTGTCCTTGTGACCTGGCTGAGTTGCCATGTGGTAAATAGTGTCCATGGTATAAGTATCAGTATCATTCGCCCTCCTGCAGAAATGCTCATACTACTGCCTCCCATGAAACACCCACCTCCAGATGTAGCAACTAGAACTTCCCCAATGTGCTTTCTATTCATGAATCTAGCATCTGTGGGCACAATATAACCAGCCCCCATTTCATCCACCAGTCCTCTCTTGAGCATCAAAAATGATCACTATATAAGTACTTGGGAGCCAGGCCACCCATCAAACATATTGTCTTGCTGAAAGGCAACAGCTACAATAACGAAGATTGTTACCCAGGAAGAAATTTACGACCACACCAAGGCTACCATCCATGGTGTGACAGAAGGCACTGTCTTTAGTGCAGCCCTCACTATCTCTAGTTGGCTGCTACTAAATCATTGATGGGCATACTTCCAAACACTACCCCTACCCTTAAAGGTCATGGGTACTGTCATGCTGGTCACACCTTGCATATCCATTCAGGCTGAAAGACGCAGTCTAGAGTTCACAAGCTCAACATGTTCAAAATCAGTCACTAAAATTAACAAACACATAACATTCAATCATGAACTCCTTTCCTACTGGCAGACTGCTGAATGGAGGATGTGTGATCTTCAAGGTGCTTTTGGACAATTATGTGTGCCGCTCAAAATCGCTAACAAAATTTGTGGGGTGATCTCATTGAGATCTGTGTTTGATTGCACAATCTGCATGCAATCCATGTTGGCATCAACCAAATCCACACCAGTGTACCTTAAGTATTGGCAGGAGACAGCTGATGATGCCACCATCTGGCAAGATTTCGAGAACATGTTGTTTGCCAAGCAAAGGCAGAAAGATCATGTTTTGCATTTCCATGTCACACTAGAGTACTTGTGAACTCAGCTTCTTCATTATAACACATCCCATTTTGAATACTCTTGAGCAATCATTGATGAAGGTCTGAATCAATAAGGTCTGAATGATAGGTCTGGAGTTAATGGTGAGCTCTGCCAGTTGTGCTGTATAATCATATCTATAAGAAATGGTAACCAGTAAATGGTTTGAGACATGCATTAACAAACTAGTAGGTACTGCTTAAGCAAGATCTAAGCTACACAAGTGCCTTGTGAGGGCAGTAAGTGATCACACTTCTGTGCTCAGTGGCTCATGGTCATTCTCCTCACTTTTGGGGTCTGTAGACTCTTGAGTGCCTTGTGAATGACTGCAACAAACCACAGTATTGTGTGGATGTCCACTGCGGGAACATGATCTACTTGCCCAGCAGAATGGCTCTGGTCTGTGAGACAGATCTGCACGTCAGATACGAGGAGATGGAGTAGTACCAAAATCAAGAGGGGTCACATCAGTAAATTGAGGAGAAGTCAGAGGATGATTAGACATGTTGGTGAGGGTCTCTGGATCACTGTGCCAAATGACACTTTGGCCTCCATCAGGGTAATAGGTATAACTCAACTGTTTGGGTTTGGACCTCAGCTGTTTGAGTTTGGACTGGTGATGGGTGTTGCGAGGAGCTTGGTTTGGAGCAGACCTGTGCATCTGCATCATCTCCACACAAATCTGCACCAAGGTCGCATTCATGTTTGACTTTGTAGAGTCTGGTGCATAAGTCATACAGTTGAGTACATAACTGCTCTGTGACTGCATTCACATCTCATAGCTGCTGTGCTTAGGTAAGCAGCTGCATGTTTGCAAGGGATCGGTTGGCATGCTGCTCATCCCAAGCTTGCTGGACAGAAGGGTCAAAGGCCCTGCTGATGTGAGTGAGCAACTCTGAGGCAGCCACACCTTGGTGACATGGCACAGGAGCATCTGTGCTGAGTGGCATGAGTGACTGCAGTGTGCTCAATGGGGGGAGTCACATTTCACACATCATCATGACTATCATCAGCATTGAAATCCGAGTCGTTGAGATCATGTGTACCAGCATGCTCATTGATGAGTGTGTCAATCTGATGGGCATGAGTTACATCAGGCAGACAAACACCAACACCTGTAGGCTTTGTGATTTTCACCAACTGAGGTTGTTATGTGAGATGATAGGACATGCAAGTAGAAGTAAGACTTACTTGTTTGAACTTTGTTTCAAGGAACATCACTTTACAAGAAGGATGGCCATGGCTACTTGCCCACTTGCTGTACTTCAAGTGGATTGCTTGCCACCCTTTCTGGCCCAGAGGGCGCTTGTCTTTGATAAAGTCCAGGAGGACTTGGATGTCAGCTGGGCTGTAATTGTTAGACCCACAGGGCTAGCCATGTTTGACTCCAGCCCTTAAATCATTGTTATCATCCTCAATAGCACATGCACACTTTGGAGTGCGGTCATTCTCTTACTCTTTTCCCTTGCCTTTGTTAGCTTTAGTAACAGTCTTGTGGTGTGCACCAGCAGTTTTGATGGTGGGGGGGTATCCACGAGCCTCAGTGATCGCCATAGGGTCACAAAGGTCTCTATCTGGCGAGTTGGGGAGTGGGATCTCAGCAGGGTTCTAGGTTAAACCCAGTATGAGATGGGACCCAAACAGTAAGGATGGTGGTTCAGATGCCTCACAAGATTGGGAGAAGTTGGCAGGAGTGGTGAGTCCATATGTGAAGGGCATAGCTGCACATTGCTGTGAGGTGATAAGTCCATATTGTGAAGCTCGGAGAACAATGAATTGACTTACTCTATAAGCCTGGGACATGTGATCTTCAGGCCACTGTACTCAAGTCACAGCCTGGGTGATCCCAAGATGGAACAGCCAATTTCCCACATGATCATACACATACACATTCCCTGCACCATCATAATGCAACTTGGGATTCAATGGGCTCCTGTCAGGGATGAACATAGATTGGGAAGGAGGGATATCAGACATATTGGAGGGACTGACTGTGTGAATACTTACCTTGTGACTGAAAATGTGCTGAATGCATATATTCCATGAGTTTGTTGAGTCGTCCAAAGGAAGGGGTGGGTATTTTCATAGAAAAAAAGCAAAATGCAAGGACCCTGCACTAGTAACAGTACAACACAAGTGCGCTGGCCCAGCATGCAGTGATCATGAGCAAGCCAACCCTAAATACAGGGATGGTAAGGAAATTTTCATTGATGGAGGGTGAGGATTGGTGGGAGGTAGGCACTGGGACAGATAGGGTGAGATTGGAGGCACCGGCAGAGGCAGCATTGTCAGGTGGTAATTTCATATAGAGGACTTGGTATTATTGTCTAAAAAGAAGAGGGAGATAGAGGTGTCAACAAACATTGGTGATGCACCTTTGTATGACTGCAAAAGGTGCCATGCACGTTGAGCAAGGCTCATTACATCAGTGAATATCACTGGCATTAGTGGCCTAAAATGGAAGGAAGTCAGATATTCAAGTCTGCAGGGGGGGGCAATAGATTAAAATAGATTAAGGTTTAAAAGAGGGGGGCAAAGAAAATGCATTTGCAAATTCAGCTCAAATGAACAGCAGCATCACAGCACATCTTCCTAAGAGTCAGTTCAGCAACTTGATGTTGGGGTGTATTTGCCAACATGTGCATCTGAAGCAATGTGAGTTGCATCAGCATGCTCCTTCAGCAAGTCGGAGCTCCAATATGATCCTAGCTTGGAGTTTGACAGTATAGACTTCGTCCCCAAGCTCGTGAATCCTCACTAGTACTATGGAGTTCCTACCCAAAGTCCTTCTGGAGCTTTGTTTTCAACACCAGCCACAGCTTCATCATAAGATCATACAGTACACAGTACTTCTACTCAGCATTCTCATCCATGCATCTGGTAGTCTTGTAGCATCTATGTACCCAAGGGACCCAGAACCCAACCATACATCAGTGCTTTCTGGTGAAGCATGGGTAGTTGAATTACTCACTTGTCATCTTGAACACATTTGTTGCAAGCTCGGCATGCATGCCCATGTCTTTGCAAAGCTTATATCAGAACTCCATACCCTTGGGTATTCCAATTCCAAGTTCATCTTTCTTGAGGAGCGACTTGCTATTTTCTTATATGCTGCAGTCACTGGCCTGTCAATCAGGCACATCAGAGAAAGGTTTCAGTGTTCCAATGAGACAATTTCTCAGTGAGCATCATATTTTCATGGACTGGACTTATCTATCTCACTTAGGGAATAGCACAGGTAAACCCCAGGGTATGAGTGGTGCTACCCCCACCCATACCCTGTGTCATATCCCATACCTCTGGATCCGGAATTCCGGATTCCCTTCACTAAAGTCTGGTTCTCTGTCCTTTTATTCCACCCGGTGCTCCACCTTCATCTCTGTACTCACCCCTAGCTCCTTTTAAAATAGCTATTGCTCCGGCTAATGGTTATGTCCTTTCCGCTATGCTTACTGATCTGTCCGTTTGTACTTCATTTCCGACCTCACTGCTTTGATCCGTTATGTACTTACTAATAGACTTTCCACATGCTTCATACATAGCCCTTACTTTGCTGACTGATTTACTTACATGATACCTACAGTATATAAACTCCTGTAATACTCCGGAACTCCTCAGTTTGAATATCATCTTAGTTCTGCTCATTCCTGCTTCTCTGGACTTGAGTCTCATCTCTTGTCTACCTCTGAGTCTTAGGGGTTAAACCTTAGGACTAAACCTTGGGCTCTACCTTAGGGTAGTCTAAACTCTGTTCTGCTTCTACTCTGGACTTGTCTGTAGTAGCCTCACTCCGTTCCCTCATAGTCTTCCGGAGTTCCGCCAAACTCCCCTGACGTCTGACCTCCAGACTTCCTGGACTTCCATTCAGACTTCCCTTCTGCCCCTCGGAAATTAAGGGCACGTACTCGGGTAAGGGGCGCAGCACATGAGCTGAAGCCAAAGCCCTTTGAGTAACCTCCCTCTTGAGCACGACCTTAACACCCTGCAATATACCCACACCTGTGAGGTGGGTTCGGGTTTTTGGTGGGTATCAGGGCAAACCCACCCAGGGTATCACCCACTGAGGGTATACCTATGGGTTACTGTCAAATACTATAATACTATGAGACATGAACAAATGTAGCAGCTACTTGATAATAATTCAATCCCACCCATCCTCCAGTTCCTGCTCCTCATCACCCTCCAGATCAGCAAGCATGCTTACAGACATTACGTCCTCAGTCTTGATGAGGTTCAAGCGGCTCCAAAAGCCAAGGCATAAGAGTGCGTGAGTTGATTGCACATTCAAGCGAGAATGGACATGTGAGAGAATGAGCCGTCCACGGCTGAAAAGCTGCTCAATATTGATTGAGGTAGCTTTTAAAAATTAGACATCAGTTTTACTAAAAAAACAGGTCTGGGCATACCAGGAATAGTCAGATAATCTAATGCCATGCAGGAGAGTCGAGGAAAGGCCGTGTGGCGCTCGCACTACCATATGAGGGGATCATCAACATGTTCCACATTGGTGTTGAGATAGCGGTCGAGTTCATCACCAAGGTCAGTCGGTTTTGGAGGTGCAAGTGCAGGTATGTTGTCAAAGATATTGTCCTGTCATTATAGTTAGCTTACAAGTTAAGTTATACAACTCACCATGGTGCATTGTTGAGAAGATTCAATCAAGTTCCCCTTGTGAGTGTCAGAGTCGGCATCTGGTGTGACTAAGTACGAGCATCTAAACTCATCCCTCACAAGTGTCTTGGCAGTCTGAATCCAGTTGTCCTCCCACCCCACCTTCTTGAAATATGCAAGTTTATGATGTGGGTGAAGCACTGAATGATAGTGAGTGAGACTACTTGAACTCCAAATAGAGGACTTACCCATAGCAATGCAGTACACTTCAGAATGGTCTGTGAGTTAATAGTAGTGATCCAATGTTTTTTTAGTAAGTCCAATGGCAGCATGAATTGAGGGCTGATAGTTAACATTCTTAGAATACATTGTGAGCTTTTTGTCCATTAAATCCATTGCTGGAATGATGGTAGGGAGATTGGGTGTTGACCGCTGTGGGTACAACAAGTGCAGCAGCGAGAGTCCAATCTACTACACAGTTGGGTCTTTTCTGCCCGCTGCCTCGCTTGGAAACAAGCACATTCAACCCTTAAGGGGATTGCTACTGGGGAAACACTAGTCTCTGTCTAAAGCGACCCTATAGGATGAAGGATCCGCAAAAGCGGATGAAACGGATAGGATGCGAAATGTACGGATTTGTTGGATGGAGCAGATGATACTTGCGGATTGGACGGGATGCGAATCAAAGTCGAAGGAAGTTCATTAAAGGTTGGATGGATAGTAGGTATAAGTCAAAGTGATATCCTGGTAAGGTGCAGGAAAAGTGGGAGGAAGTTACATCCAGTAAGTATTTTTTGAAAACTTCTGTGCTTATAGGGTATAGTATTTTCAAGGAACACATGGTATAGGTAGCGAGTCTAGACTGTGCCATAAGCTATCCGGAAAATAGTGGAGTGTGAGATGATATGTCTGTGTTCAGTCAGTAACAAGGAAATGCATGTGAGTATGTACCAATGAGGTAGAATGGACGTGGACAGGACGGATGCGCAAGCTATAGGGGGAGATCTGAAGGTATCCGCTTGTCATCCGCAAAGTGGATGGGTATTGGATGGAATGGATGGATGTCAGATGGACATTGGATGGATCGGAAAAGCAGTGGATATGAGCCTAGTGTAGGGATACTCCCTACACCACAAGAAAAACATTGTTGCATCTTTGAGAATCTGGTTAGGGTTCCATTTTGGTTCATTAGTAAACAATGAGCTACAACTACACGCCACACACTTTCAGAATGTCTTGCAGCTGGTCTACAATTAACCACTCATGATCCGACAGCTCAAGATCTCTCAAACCCAAGTCTCTTTGCTGTGTAATCACATTGACTGCTTTTTGGTGTTTCGAGACATATGCAAGCATGTCAAACGTGGAATTCCAGCATGTTGCCACATCTTATGGGATGTTGGTTACTGGCCTTTGCTGTTCTTGAAGGATGTTGTGCCATGCAGGCAGGAATTTTGTCGTGGAGTGAATGACCTTGAACATGAGCTTCTGAAGCTGTGTGATACATTTGTTAAGGTATGTTTTCGATTTGTTCTACTGTGCAGACCTTAACAAGTACCAGCTTAACTGGATGAATGTTCTGTTGCAGGCTCTTGCATGCATCATGTGTCAAGAATTCAGTTTCATCAACAAACCCATCAATGTCATCAGCAGGCAGTACTTCACCACCCTTGACATCACCATCTTTGTCCTCACTGTGGCTGTCAATGTTTGGCTCATCATTGTGGCTCTTCTCACAGTCATGGCTCTTTGGTGCATCAAACTGTCAAAGGACAGATTTTGCTACAAGATTTATGGTATGCAAGAAGCACCTCATGTGGGCTCCTGTACCACCAAAATCAGGGAGTGTGATTGCCATCTCTTCAAGCATCACAGTATTGTTGGCTGCATTATCGCATGTGATGATGAGGATCTATCATTTGGTGAGTCCTGTGAATATCCATAGTGATTGTGTACTGACCTTTCTTGTTACTCCATAATCTTTCAGCACTTGTTCAAAGGCTGCTGCAAGCTCCTTGCCTGTGTGGGACTGGTAATGTCTTAGCACCATGTCCCTCTCTAACTCAGTGAGTTGAGTACTTACTCTCAGCACCTCAATAATGTCTAATGGTAAACTTAGAGGTATGCCTTTCTGTTCAAGATGCACCGAGAATGCTACAAGGGCACAGTGGTTTGGAGATGACCATCCATCTGTCATAAAATTGAGTTTGCCCTTGTATTCCTGGTAAGATTGGTTAGTCTTCCTCTTGCATCCAACTAATCTACATACATTTATCATTTTAGCAATTCACTGTCTTGTCTTCACAAAGACCAATCTGACATTGCACAAGACAGTTGATGGAGATGGTATGTAGTATTCCGGTCTCCCTGTCTTCATGAGTGACTGAAATCCCCTGTCATTGACAATGTCGAATGGTTGTAGGCTTTCTGCAACCCAATGAACAAGTTCAGCTCTGAATGCAACTATATCAGCTCCAAGAATCCTCTGTCTCAATGTTATCCTACCTTGTCTCAGTCCAGGTATGCTGGCGATGCGAGTAAGTGACCTTCCCTTGCCTTTTTGTTTGAATGTGGTTGTAATTGATCTATCTTTCAGAAAGCCAGTGACGATCTTGGTCTGAACTTTGTCTGCATTCCTGGCTTCATTAGCAGCTTGCAATACATCATCACCCAAGCAGGACTTGTCGTGTTTTTGCATATTTCCCATGGATCGCACATCTTTTTTGTTGAGGAAGTGGCAAATTCCAACCTTGCATCCCTTAGCCATGCACTTGAAGGAATGTGCACGACGACTGTCAATGGACTCTATAGCAGGTGTAGGGTCAAAAAATGTGTAGATTGGTGAGATCCATTCCTTCATTAACCATTCTTTAACTAATGTTAGCTTGTATTACTAAGACTAGTAAAATTGGCCTTACTGAGTTCATCCTTCGCACTCTCTTCCTCATCTGTGCTCACTTCATCCTTGTTATTGTCAGTATTCATACCCACTCCTCCCTCGTCATTGCTGATGACAATAGCACCACAATGTAATGCATATTATTCTTCCTCAGTATGAACTACTGCCTGCCTTCTTGTGTCTCCCCGGTCTTTAGGAGGTGCTTCTTCAACATCATTACCATGTGCTTGGTTTGACTTGGCCTTTTTTGACTGTGTGCTACTAATAGCACTTTCATTATTCTTTCATTTGTTTGACAAGCTTTCCTGCTTCTCATCTAGCACAGCTTTAACTTTGTCTGTTAGTTTTGTAATACACTTGACAGCACCTGAGAAAAATGTGGGATGCATGCTGTGATGATCAGAAGAGTGCTGTGTTTAGGTTTAGAGTTTAAGGTTCATATCCAATGTGTAATACTAGCTTATTCAGAGTTTTGAAATGAGACATGTTTGCTTACAAACCCACTGCAAGGGTGTGGGTGGGGGTATGGGTACGCAAAGTACAGACCCTCACTCATACCCCAGGGGTACCCGCACCCACAACCCACATGGGTTGTGGATACCCATGCTATTCCCTAATCTCACTATCTCTAGATACTTTCAAGGGATGGTCATAATTTTCTCAACCCCACCGTTCTATTCAAACTACATGCACCTGCCATCAGACAAAGTAGCTTCCTGGAGAATTTGCCAGAATCCTAAATTCTGGCCCTTTTTTAAGGATGCCATTGGGGCACTTGATGGGAGTCATATCCATGCTACGCCTCCTGCACTCAAATGTGCTGCCTACTGGGATCACATGGGTCTCATCTCTCAAAACTGCCTGTTTGCATGCGACTTCGACATGAACTTTACCTATGCTCTCACTGGTTGGGAGGGATCCGCCACAGACACACATGTTTTCGAGGATGCATGTACTAAAGACCTTCATATCTCTGAAGACAAATATTTTCTTGCTGACACTGGTTATCCTCTATGCTGTGGACTTCTGATCCCATACCACAGTGTCCACTATCATCTTGCTGAGTGGGGGCAAGCAAGTGTCTGGTGAGATCATATTCTTCTGAATGCCATCTCTGAGATACTAACATTGATGACAGGCCATGCAATAAAGAGGAACTATTCAATCTTTGCCATGCCATGGCAAGGAACATCATTGAACATATTTTCAGTGTCTTAAAACATCACTTTCGCATCCTCATTCTCGCACTGAGGTATAACTTAGAGATTCAGGTGCAGATTCCAGCCACTTTATGTGCAATCCATAACTTTATATGCCTGCATGACCCACAGGAGGGTCCTCTCCCAGATACCAACTCAGATGGGGATCCAGTGGAGGATGGGGCTGAGCCACTTGATGCAGTAGTGCACAAGGAAGAAACACTGGAAAATGAAATGAGCCACTTGCACAACCACATTGCTGAGGGTATGTGGGCTCAATATGGGCAGATTTTGCATGAACAAGCGCTAGCAAATGGTGATAATATAGATGAAGAGGACTTCTTACTTGACTTTGATGATGAGAATTCAGATGAGGATGAAGGTGCAGACAATGATATTGATGCATAAATCATACGCATATTACAATCCAATGCTACATGACTTGTAGGACAACAGACAACAATGAGGTTAAAACAGCACAACAATCACAAGAGCACAGCGCAATACAGCCTAAGATACATTGTACAACTCAAATGAACAAGGGACAAGAGATTAGTGTTACACCTACTTCAACGTGTGAGCATCAAGAAGCGCCTTGACATAAGAGCAGTGTGTTGCAAGTGGGCTCTGCACATAAATTTCCATCGCCCACTCATTGCTCAAGAAGATCAGTAACAACTGGCCTAGCTCCTCTGCAGGCACATCAGCATCTTCAGTCTGCATAAGATGCATAGCATGATCAAGGGCTGTTGTGGCCAAGGGGGGAGGGGGAGGTGCAGGCGTGGTGACAGCTTTTTCAAGAATGTTGCTGATGCGGTTGATGGAACCTTGCATCCCAACAACTGCAGTGGTGGGTGTAAGCTTTGACCCTTGTGCTGCACTACTCATCAACACATCACCATGGCATCCAGATCACAATCTTTTTGCAGGGGGTGCTGTTACTAATGCTGGGGGGCTGAAAATGATGGAGGAGTAGATGTATAGGATGATGACTCCATGTTGAATAATGTGTCGTCATGTGTGCATTTTCCAGTGCTGATACTAGACCCAAGAGTGGAAGGAGGCACAGTGGGAAAGTGGGAGGCAGTGAAGTTGATATTGCCAAGAGATTCTATGGAAGTGGCAAGAGGATCAGCACTAGAGCTGGTGGCTGATGCAATGAGGGTTGTGGCAGCAGCAGAAATGATATGCTTAGCTCCAGACCCAACATCATCATCAACCAGTACCGGAGCAGCTGCAGCTGGATAGAAGGCATGGTTTCCCTGAGTGTGTTAGGTACTGTGCCGACTCAGGAAGCAGAGGGGTTGGGGCTTGGCTTCAGCTCTTGCGCTGCGCCCTTAGCCGAGTACATGCCCCAAATTTGGAGTGGGTCCAACATTGTCCAACAATAGGACGAGTGGACCACTTAGGTCCGCTTTGAGGGTCAGGAGGTAAGAGCTACTAGTGGCGGACCGACTAGGAGCGGAGTGGAGAAGGCGGAGGATAATGCGGAGGGTGGAAGGAGCAGGGGGAATACTTGATAGGAGTGGAGAAGTAAGGAGAAGACTTAGAGCACGGCTCTAAGTCGGAGCGGAGGGTCGGAGGTGACAACAAGGTGAAACTTGTGTCCGGAGGAGGCAAGGTCCTACTGAGAATTCTCACAAGTAGAAACTGCAAGAAGACAAGTAATATTAAGACTGGGGAAAAATATCTAAGTACAGGATATGTTATATACTTCTAGGTATGAGGCAGTGATCAGGATAACTATGTTGTAAAGCTATGTACCAAGGATATAATTTGTAAGTACTTACACAGGTGAAGACATAAGTTGGAGCAGATATCAATATGTACGCGTTGGATCAGTGATCGAGCGGTAAGAGGAATTACCGGTGATCCGGGAGTAAGGGTCTATGTACCGAAAGGGAAAGTATATATCTAAAAGGGGAAAGAGGTTCCAGTTGAATGGAGACATTATGGAAGGGGACCGGTTGGGCAGTCGAGCGGAAGCGTAGGGGCGGATGTGGACAATGATTGGACGGAGTGGAGGATGGAGTGGAGGTGGTCGGAAAGTGGAGCGGTCGGATCAGGTATATGACAGAGTGCCAGTGCCATTTGGTAAAATCTCTGTGATTGTTAAGGTTGTGCTCAAGGGAAAGACAACTCAAAGGGCTTCGGCTTCAGCTCGTGCACTGCGCCCCTTACCCGAGTACATGCCCTTAATTTCCGAGGGGCAGAGAGGAAGTCCGACGGAAGTCCAGGGAAGTCCAGAGGTCAGATGTCGGGGGAGTTTGGCGGAACTCCAGAAGATTATGAGAGAATGGAGTAAGGCTACTATGGACAAGTCCAGAGTAGAAACAGAACAGAGTTTAGACTACCCTAAGGTAGAGCCGGAGATTTAGTCCTAAGGTTTAACCCTAAGACTCAAGTCCAGAGAAGCAGAAATGAGCAGAACTAAGATGATATTCAAACTGAGGAGTTCGAGAGTATTACAGGAGTTTATATACTGTAGGTATCATGTAAGTAAATCAGTCAGCAAAGTAAGGGCTATGTATGAAGCATGTGGAAAGTCTATTAGTAAGTGTATAACAGATCAAAGCAGTGAAGTTGGAGATGAAGTACAAATGGACGGATCAGTAAGCATAGCAGAAAGGACATAACCGGTAGCCAGAGCAATAGCTATTCTAAAAGGAGATAGGGGTGAGTCCAGAGATGAGAGTGGAGCGCCGGGCAAAATAGCAGGACAGAGAACCGGAATTTAGAGGGGGAGATCCGGAATTCCGGATCCGGAGGTATGGGATATGACAGTGATTTTGTCATAGAATATCCACCTGCTGTTGGAAAATTGCTGCAATGTATGGCGGAATGTCTGCCTGAAGGATTAGAATACAGCAGATGATTTTAGACAGCAGGACGTACACTTGATCTGACGTAGCTATTGAATACCTGCCATGCAGCCTCTCCTTCAATTGCAGCGCCTTTGATATTGTCCCAATGAGCTCCTGAGACATTGCAATAGTTTTGGATCTCTCAGTATGTCACTTTGAGCTAGTACAGGGGTAATTATTAGGGGAATGGGACTTAGAGAATCTCAATGCACTCATGGAGTTCCATTTATTTCTACATTGTTTACTTGTCTTCAGAGGGCCTGCAGTTAGCAAGTTAGCCGTCACAAGGGCAGCCACTGCTGAAGTCCATGTAGAGGCCTTGAAACTCCTGCCATCCTGTTAAGATCGTGCTCAAGGGAAAGACTACTCAAAGGGCTTCGGCTTCAGCTTGTGCGCTGCACCCCTTGCCCGAGTATGTGCCCTTAATTTCCGAGGGGCAGAGGGGAAGTCCGACGGAAGTCCAGGGAAGTCTGGAGGTCAGACATCGGGAGAGTTCGGCAGAACTCTGGAAGACTATGAGAGAACAGAGTAAGGCTACTATGGACAAGTCCAGAGTAGAAGCAGAACAGAGTTTAGACTACCCTAAGGTAGAGCCAGAGATTTAGTCCTAAGGTTTTAACCCTAAGACTCGGAGGTAGACAAGAGATGAGACTCAAGTCTGGAGAAGCAGGAATGAGTAGTGATGTTCAAGGCCCGGCTCGGCTCAAAAGCCGGGGCCATGGCTTGGCCTTGGAGGGCTGGGGCTTGCTTCAAACCAAGGCCAGGCCCTATGGTAGGGCTCAGGATCGGCTGGGGCTCGGCTCGGCTTGGGCCTAGGGCCTTGTGATACAAAAATGTAGCAAGTAAATCAAATTTCATCTAACATTTGAATAAAAACATCTTCGTCATCTGATTCTAACAGCTCCTCATTCTCACCTAAATCCTTGGCAACATCATCCCACCCATCATCTTTGTTGAGAGCAGCAGGAGTCTTATCTTCGGACAATTCATCATCTACGGACTCGGTTGCAACAGATGGGTCCTTGCGAAACAGGAGATCATGTTTGATCATGTATTTCAAGCACTGCAGTGCTTCGACAATGTCGTGTTTGAGACAATTTCAGCACTTGGAGATAGTAATACCAGCAGATGAGAATGCACGTTCACTGGACACGGATGTGGCCATAATGGAAAGGAAGTCACACACGAGTGACGCCCAGACTGGGTATCGAGGTGCGTTGATGCCCCACCACTGCACAATAGTCATATCTCCAAGGTGGTCCTTGGAGTTGAGGTAAGCGTGAAAGTCGTGCTGCCACGGCTCATTCGCAGCTTCAGAGGGAGTAACAGAACTTGTGGAACTCGTGTGAGAGATTAGGGTGGGCTGCAGCATCGAGTCACTGTCATCCTCGCCGTCAGAGAGCTCTTGCAGCAGAGCATCGAGTTTGCGATTCCCTGTCTTCCTGACCTTGACTTCGACACCATTCCTAGAGTCGGGATTGTTGCTGTACATTTCAAGATACTGTTCTTTGTACTAGATGTAACATTAGTGAGTGTGTTGTGACAACAGCTTTGGAATTGTACTTACCATCTCCTCTGCATGTCTGCGTGCTTTGACAAGCAATTCCTCGCCCCAATACTTGTGAATATGGGTCTCCTTTTGTGACGGATCAAGAACTGTTGTTGGAAAGTCAGTGGGAGTAATATGTACATGAAAGAACGATGCACACATCACCATAATATGGGCGTCAGAACTACTCAACTTCTCGTAATACTTTGCAATCTTCTCAATACCAGCATCGAGGCCCTCTGCAAAATTGAGATACTTGATGCGTCCAGAACGTGACGACCATGCGCTATGCAATGACTCTAATGCAGGCAATGCTAAGTGAAGCATTGGTCCTTGTTCAGACGAGAAGGACTGCTGCAACAACTCGGCATACTGTAGTTTCAATGTGAGCCACAATTCAAGTTGTAAGATAAAAATACATACACCAAGGATTGAGAGCAGACATTGAACACGGGTCCACTCTTCGGATGATAGCTCAAGGTCCGTAATCTTTTTCCATTTAGCTGAGTCCTTCTCTTGCAAACTGAGCCGGCCCACAAAATAGTCAACTTCCTAATAAACATCAGCGGGCACAACATTGACATCCTAAATTGAACTTACATCTCGCAGCTCAAATGCACGTTGAAGCATAGTGTATGTTGAGGACCACCTTACTTTCATGTCAAGAAGCAATTGTCATGGATGTTTGATTGGCATGTGGCCATCTTCATCTCGACGCTGGACACTCTGAAAAAGCTCCTTTAGTTGAGCTGAGGAGCGCTCCTACAATGAAGGATGTCAACACAATATATGTGTATTTGATGGACGGCAAACCTTGACACAGATTGATCGGACTAATCCAACCTCGTCTCGTTCAAGTGCAGAGTGAGTTGTGGGGGCTAGCAAATTATCGTTAGGTTGGGTGGCGTCATAGTGTCTTGACTTGCTGTGTGTGGACAACAGCACCTGAGTTGTGAGGTTGATAATGTGGGCCAAGCACCTGAATATATAAGTGAGAATTGGTAGTAATAAACAAGACAAAGAAACTCTTACCGAAGGCGCCGTTTTTTATGATCAAATGTCTTCTTGGTGTGTGCCTCGATGTGGACTGCGAAATGTTCCATCATGGTATCATTGTTGGCTGCGTTGTCGCACGTAATATAGCCAATCTGAAACTCCATTAGCACCACACTGTTATGAAGCTAGAATTTTACTTACTTTATGTGCAATCCCAACACGTTTAACTAATTTGAACAGCGCTTGACCAAGATGGACGCCATTGTGAGCGTTGTTCAGTCGAGTAAAGCCAAGAAGGGCACTTTGAACTGTCCAAACGCCGACTGTTGTTTCTTTGATCCAGTGACCAGTGAGGGCAAAATAGCCATCGACATTCGACGCTTGCCAGGCGTTGCATGTCAGATTGATCCGTCCTTTGACAGCATCGCTCTTGTTGTGGTTCGCGTTAGAAATAACGACAAAAAAAATCAACAAATGACTTACAAGTAACCGTCAGCGAAGGTTGGTGAGATTACACTTGAAGAGGTCGATAATGGCTCAGCACGTCTTTGGTCGACTAGATAGCTTGACACCGTTGGTAGCTCGTGCTGCTACATCAATCATATATTTGAAGGACTTGTGGTTGAGTGTGTCAATAGGCTGTGAACTGATAAGTGTCCAATTGCCAGAATTAAATGAAAAAACATACCTGGCCAGTTTCAATCAGCCATTCAATGGTGGCCTCGTGGAAGATTGCATCTGAGTATGGGATGATCCGTTCCTTTGGTTGCGGCTCACAGAGGTGGGCATCGAGTCGTGCTTGAGAGTCAGCAGCAGCATCTAGCTTGCGGCGCTTGGTGTCTTTTGGTAACATCGAGACAAATTTCTCGGCTTTGGCCCATGTAAGATATTCATTCTATGAATGAACAGTTAGTGGCATGTTTTCTCGGGTTGGCAATACTTACCCTGTGTGAAGCATCCATATGGCGTCACATAGTCATCACCTCATTGACAAAAGCAACGGGTTTTTTCATTTTCTTGCTATCACATAGTCAGTACAATGTGCATGAGACAGAAATGTAAATTTACCTGCACAGTCGACAATTCCGGTGCTTCTTGCCTTTGTCAGCATAAGGCTCGGAAAAAAACTTGGTGATGTTGCGACTTCACTGCTCTTGACATGGGTTTTCAGAGGCCTCGTCAATGCTCATGACTTGAACATCCTTGAGGAAGCCATCAGCATCAACTTCATCAGAGTGGTTTGCTGAACTAGTTGCATGCGGTGCGTTGACTACATATGTCAAATAAATGTCAGTATTATGTATTTGTTTCGTTCAGTAGGAAAACTCACCAGTTGATGGACTTGCATCGTGTTCAGTCTCGTTTGTGCATTCGGGAGGATCAGGGCTATAAGCTCGTTTTTTGCCTGTAATGATGTAGGTATTAGTCAGTACTTATCCAACAAAATAGTATAAACACACCTTTCATCAGTCGTTTTTTGTGTGTGCTGCCCATCAGCTCGATATCATTGTCGTTATCGTCAACCTCAACGACGGTGACTTTGTGGCTACAAGAACTTGTAGGAGATGTGGTACTTGGGGGATTCAGAGGTGTTGCCACAGAAATGACAGAAGGAGCATTGGCAGCACGACTTGCATCATTGTGAGCCTGCCTGTGTGAAGCTAATTCTTGATCAGCAGCATTATCCGCACAAATTACCTTCGCTGATGGCACAGCAACACATTTAGGGCATGCCATACTAGTAGGTGGTTCCTCACCGTCGGAATAGACACACAGCACCATATGCAGATGACCTGTTGAAAATTCAAAAACTCAAATTAGTTTATCCTAGACAGCTGAGGCTTTGAAACTATTGCAGTTTCACGGTCATTGCCGACTGAATGAAAATGTACCTGAAAGCCGTGGCCTGAAAGCCCAGCTCTGGCCTGGACACAACTTGAGCCAGGCCCTAAGCCTTCATAGGCCATCTACAAAGCCCGGCTGGGCTTGGCCTAAGTGGGCCCAGCTAGGCCTGGCTCACGGCCTGAAGCCAGGCCTTGAACATCACTAGGAATGAGCAGAACTAAGATGATATTCAAACTAAGGAGTACCGGAGTACTACAGGAGTTTATATACTGTAGGTACCATGTATGTAAGTAGATCAGTCAGCAAAGTAAGGGCTATGTATGAAGCATGTGGAAAGTCTATTAGTAAGTGTATAACGGATCAAAGCAGTGAAGTCGGAAATGAAGTATGAACAGACAGATCAGTAAGCATAGCAGAAAGGACATAACCAGTAGCCAGAGCAATAGCTATTCTAAAAGGAGATAGGGGTGAGTCCGGAGATGAGAGCAGAGCACCAGGCGAAATAGCAGGACAGAGAACCAGACTTTAGTGGGGGAGATCCGGAATTCCAGATCCAGAGGTATGGGATATGACACATCCCCAGCCTCCGAGATGTTCGTGAGCAGGTGGGCAAGAAGGGCATTGGTCTCTGGTACATTCCACTGCACCTTTGGTTCACCTGGAGTAGCACTAGCAGTAGTAGTAAATGGTTCAGTAGCCATGAAAACAGTAGTAAATTGGCCACAGATGGATACAGCAGTGACAACTGATGAATAGATCAGCTTGCAGAGGTGAGGATTGATCCAGTCCATTGTGGTGCTAGTTAGTTGGTGAGGAAGGTTTGAGCTCTGACTGGCTGAAGAAGCATGCCAATGCAACTCACATTGCCTCAGATGCACATGTTGGCAAATACGCCCCAACATCGAGTTGCTGAACTGACTCTAATGTAGTCAGATTTATGATATGATATTATAATCAACATTTTTCGAGCCTATGGAAAGTCATCCAATGTATTGGAACCTGCTGAATAAATCATTAAATTCATGTTGCAGACTCTCAACAATGCAAGTGCGACGACACAACAACGACATACTCAAAATCTCAACTGCAAGATTGTGCATACGTCATGGCACATCTACAATGTCTCGGATGCACGGGACACGTTTCTCGAGAAGCCCGGCGAATACCAGAGGCCGAATCAGTGTAAAAGTTGGTGTGGCATAGAAGTTGGTTAGTATGTGTTTCCAGTGGGGATTCATGCCTTTGCAATACGTGCCATGTCGGCACATCCACGCTTTATAATACAGAATAAAATACTTACGACTTCTTGTATTTTTGTTCCGTTCCCACTGGCTGCGAAAAAGCGTGACTGCCGACTTCTGTGGGATGCCGATTGCACCGGAAGCGATAGTATATTGCCTGCACGAAATAAAATGGGCGAGATTAAATGTAATTGAATGGGATTATTACTAGTGTCAAACCGAACTTCGATTGATCGAACTGTCGGAGAATTAAAAGTCATTCAAGGTCGAACAGCGGCATCACGACCGTCGCGATTCAGCTACTTCATAGTCGACGTCGGGAATGCCATTTTCGACGCTTGTCATTGGATGCTTTATCTTACAGTCACTAGCCGCGCAAGTCCCCCTGTGTTTGTCAGCCTGATGACAAGCAGTCACTGGAATGCGGATCTGCGTCTATCGCTAGCTCTCTGGATTCGGATAGCCTCGACCTTTTACCTTGGCGGCTTGATGAGCCACCTCCTGCTAATGCGACAGGGCACTTTGTCTTTGAAACTGTGAATTCGTTACTCCAGCATTGGCCAAACACACGTTATCGGAATGGTCAGGCTTATCCTCAGGCTGACCTTGTCGCTGTCTGACACTGTTATTACTGTGACTACCAGGCCATGCAATTGTTCCAGGTGTCATTCCCAAAGGCACCTTGTTGTATCATGCAGCTTACAGCGACAAAATCCCTGTGGTCCCTGAGTGGACGGCCATGGATCCGGAACACTCCATGTACTTCTGCCGAGGCTCGCTCGATACAGGATGTCGGCATTTGACGCTTGCAGCAACTCGTCCCCTCAAAGTTCTTTATTTTGATGGAAATAGCGGGGGTAATACCAATAATGGCACTATGGACACTCAGGATATCATTGCATGGGGAGAGTTGAGATCCGACTGGTGGTGGAACGACGAACAGCGCATCACAGATTTGTGCAAATGGGGAGCGCCCTACGCTGTTGATGGTTATGTTCGGTGAGTTTGAAATCTGCCTAGCATCGTCTCGTTATGGTATCCAACTTTGTTTACAGCATGGAAATGGACTTGTATGCCCTTAATTTTCGCATTGTGCTCTTCAACTGAATTGATTTGCCTCAGTGAAGTCATGCTCTGTGATTTCACGGCTGGCCTGGAAGTCGTCTCCTGGTCTGACCTTGCCAGCCCCGTTACAGTTGCAAGCAAGTCTCTGTATTTTCATTTTCCTTGTGTTTTCCTGATGTATATCTCTAGACCTTAGCATGTTCGAAGTGATGCATGCCGGGTCATGGCGTAATAGATACCCTGGGGACACACGAGTTGACCTTGATCTAGCTGGAATAGTCTCACTATACGACACCACGCTCGCACCGTCACTCGTTGCTTCACGCGCCGGCCAGGAGCGATGTGACCACCGTGTACAAGGTATATCTTCCGCAGACATCGAAGTGGTCAGGCGTAGCGTCTCTCGCACGTTAGAGCGGCATCAGAGCGACCTCAGTGGCATCGACTGGAAAACTCTTTTCAGAGTTATCGTGGACCGTTACTCAGGGCGCCTTGACTTGATGGACCACCTTCTCAACCACACCTCGGAAAATGACACGCTTCTGGACCAAGCAAGCAAGGTGCATCTCCAACTGCGCGTGATGCTCGCACCATACATCCCCCATAATAGTATGCCCCCCAGCGCATCCTATGACTCCTGGGTAACGCCAGTATTCAAAGCATGCGGGACCGCGCACACCTCATCTATCGCATCACATAAGTCCGGCTTGAACCCTTCTGAACGTCTTCTGCTGCATGCAGTGCAAGACACTACGCGCGAGATATGTCGCATCGTTACGAAGATGTGGGCCACTGGCGTCCTTGCAGGTCTTGATTCATATTTCCCCCGTGATTCAACTCCAGACACTGCGCAAATTGTTCGCCTGATAGATACGTGGAGGCACGAATTAAGTGCTTTGATGGCATGGCTAGATTGGAGCGTGTGGGTTAGGTGTCGTCCAGCTTGCGGGCCCGAGGTAACTGTCCTGACATCATGTGTTGCCTACTTCTTACCAGTGTTTCCCTTAGGAAATGTGCTACCTTCCTACTTGGCCCGTAAATTCGCCAGGTGGTCGGCTAGGTCGTCTTCCATATAAACATGAAGCATATGAGAGCAGCGATATCATCAACGCGTCATTCCCAGACAGAGTATCTTTCGAGCACGGATTTCTTATACAGCCGGCGGGTTCGCAGGATGATGAATGGAGGAAGCCCCACCCCAAGTGCATTAGGCGAGTTGCGCCATATGCTTTCTAGGTTTTCGTCTAGAGTTAGTAAGTGCTTGATGTAATCCTTCCGGTGAGGAATGGGACACCTGTATCTGTTGATGTGTCCTTGCACATAGACATATGATATCAGTGATACCCGGTTTGCTAGCACTATGATGCATGGGGTAGTTTGATAATACATCATTCTACAATAGATTATACCAAAATTATAGTTGGACCTGCACGTGTACTTGCTCTCCTGTCATTCACGCAAAGGGGTGATCATTGATAAACGATAAACGGACAACAGGTTGCAGTATGATAGCAGTAAGAAACATATGACGGACGACCTGATACTACATACGTGGAAATACATGATATCGATGCGAAAACAATGAGATTGTCAAGACCCGAACATCTAAACCGATTGTCCTTGCGACCTGTCTGAGTCGCCGTGTGGTAAATAGCGTCCATGGTATAAGCATCAGTATCATTCACCCCTCCTGCAGAAACATTCATGCTACCGCCTCCCGCGAAACATCCACCTCCAGACGTAGCGACTCGAACTTCCCCAATGTGCTTTCTATTCGTGAATCTAGCATCTGCGGGCGCAATATAGCTGGCCCCCATTTCGTCCACCAGTCTTCCACCGCCTCTCGAGCATCGAATGCAAATAGGTCGATATATTCCTCCCATGTTTCACGTAAATATTCTTCTTCTGCTTCGTCCCAGTCGAGCAACGCACGTATCCTTGTATTTCGTAATCCGTCATCGCGAGCTTGTTGTTCAGGGCCCAGGGGCATGCATACGAAATCTCGTTTCCGTAGTTCAGAAGCTTGTGTTGCAGCGCAACGCGGCTGCCGTAGTTCCTCATAAGCAGAGAGGAGAAGAGGCGTATGCGATTTAGTTGCTGGGAGAGAAAAGAGAGTTGATAGTGTCATGGCATCCTCTATTGACATTGCGGAATTATGCGACCCGTTGGGCTGCAGATACCAACGATCAATGGGCGACGGTTATGATTAGGAAGTAAAACACACCATTAATGGGTGAGCGGCTTCACCGATTAGCACTACCCTTCCGCTCTCGTGCACCCAGTTGTCAAAGGGCTCGTAGATAGTATACCCGGTCGGAGTCATAGTCCGCGCAAGTCTTACTAGTTTTTGCACTCTGTCCACCAGCGTCAAGCAATGTCGTATAAGAACCCCCGTAAACGCACCTAGGTTCAAATCGGTCCAGCTTCAAGAACTTCTCATCCAACGGCTGTGACCGTGCCCATGATTCTTGTGCCGGTTTGCCGTCCGTAGGAACGTGCATGACTACAGCATATTCTCTCTCAGATGTGTCAGGATTAACCTTTCGAAAAGTTAGATATTGTTCTTTCAAGTATGTGCTAGGATACGCACGGTGAGCAACCCATGCGTCGCGCAATCATGGCCCAACCATAGTGACCACTAAGCAAGGGCGTCAATAGCGGAAAAGGGTGTGAAAATTATTATCATACCTCCGGTGAAACCGTTAATGGAACAAGATCTTCGTGACGCCGCATCAGGTCTGTGGGGACTGTGATGCTATGAGCGCGGATCCGCGTCAGCCGTAATGATAAACCAATTAGCCAAAGCACTTACTTCACGGAGACCCGCTTATCCAAAACGCCCTTCATTCCTTCAGGACCAACCACCACAGGACGCACGACGCTTCCGTACCCATCCGCACCCACGATCACGTCGGCAGTCAATCTAACACCATTGCGCGTAATCACCATGCCCTTCCAGGGATCAACCGATACGACCTTCTGTGTTATATCGGAATTCGACCCCAGCATTCTTGGCAAACTCGACGAACATGGCGTGCAGCGCTCCATGCTATTATCACAATTGCAAATTTTCATCAAAGACCTGAAACTGTCCTATATCACGAAAGTAACGAACCTGTATATATAGAAAATCCGCCGCCAACGCCTTCATAAGCTTGTCATGCAACACCAACGGTCCGAGTTCTTCCCCGGATTTCCCTGCAAGGAAAATATTTGAATACCGATGGATAGCGATGGCAAATCATTTACCATCCATGAAAGTGAACCTATTGGCTTTTATTGAGACCCGGGCAATAGCAGGTCCGAGTCCCCAATGATTCAGCAGACGCGTCATATTTGGAGGAGATCGTAATCCGCCGTGACTCTGAGTTTGATAAACGTTCACTGCCCTCAACTCGATTGAAGGGTATTCGACAATTACATACCTCATGCCTCCCATCGCCCTGCTCGAGAACCACTACTTGGTGTCCCGCTTCTTGTAGCGCATATGCGCAAGCGACGCCCGCGATACTCCCTCCAACGACTATGAAGCGCAACATCTGCGAAGTTCTTCTAGGTGTGTTCATTGGTCCTCCTGGCATAGCGAATGATGAGTTCTACAATGACGAGGGGTGCTTGAATGACTCGAAGCCCCGAAGGTAGTAATTGGTTATGTAGGACAAGAGAACCGAACAAAAGTCGAAAGCAGCGAGTTGTCCCGCGGTAACCGGTTGAGTGGTAGGCGCTAGTGGACTCTTCTGCGGGCTTCGTCCTTGGGGATAAGTCGACAAGTAAAAAAAGACGGTCTCAGAAGAAGAGAAGTGAAGCCCATTAATATACGATTCGCTACATGGTACCACAATAGAAGATCTCCCGGATCCTTGGTCTGGCTGATACAAATCCGTGCATTCGTTATCAGTTTCTCATCATCACACGCGCAGGTCTAGTCAAAACCGGTCATCCCACGGGCCACGACGAGGCCGTGACTCTTATACGAAGAAGGGATTTAAACAATCCATGTGCACACTCGCACGGATCTAAACATTTAATGACTTGGCAGAACATAACAATCACAGAAATTTAGTTGACAGTAAAGAATATTTGAACGATTGTCCTTCCGAACCGATCTGTCTGGGGTAACACGAGTGTAATTTAATGCCAAGGATTTGGTGGAGATCATGCGGGCATCGCTGGACCCTGTTTTACTTGTTCTTTGTGTTCCGTGGATCGCCGCGAGTCATTGATTCTAGAAGGTTTTGTGTTCTAGTACAGCAGGTCTGGCACAGCAGATAAAAATAGCGACAAGCGGATCAAGACTCTCACATGTATCGTTTTGCGGTGACTGCCGAGTTCCCTTCCACCAATGACGGCTTGACGGCTTTGGCCTTGGGATGGCTTCGATGCTGAAGCACACACCGGCATTGGACTCGTAAGAGCGGGAACATTGTGTTCGTTCAGCTCGCCAGATGCTGAGCGGAATCAACTGAGTTCCGGTCTATCGATGTGAAAATTGCCGTCAGCGCTGGGGAAAGCCCCACGCGTGAACGTAAAGGCAGAACAGAGCCTTGCAGATAGGTGCTGGCATACCCTTGCATTAACGAGCACCGCTTCGCCAAGTATCCGTTAGAATCGCATACTGCTCTGCTCAGGCAATTACGCGAGTCTGAAATCACCTGAGAGGTCCACAGGCCACGGTATAATGCGGCTACATGTGCGCAAATCTGAAACGGGGCCTTTGAATGATAAAATTATTGATTGGACAACACTCAGTTGTTCTTCTCATAAGGAACATGATGTCATCAAGGGATACGTCGGACTGTACAACCTTTTAAAGGTGAAAAAAAACTCAAGCACCTGGCTCTGAGAGTTAAGATTCGTTGGTCGGCGTCGAGTCCGAGATAGCGTGACCTTCTGTCAACGCATCGGTGTCGGACGGCGGCAAAACATCAGGATACAGCTGTAAAATCTGAATTATAGCAGATCTCTGGGTCGCAGAGGAACTACTTACCTTGCCTGGATTAAACAAGTTGTGTGGATCTAGCGTCTGTTTGATCGTTCTCATGAGCGCCACTGTGCCTTCCCCAAGTTCAGTCAAGAGGTAATCGCGTTTACCCGTACCAACGCCATGTTCCCCAGTACCTAATGAGATCATAAGGACTAACACTCAACCTAAAGACAACACTCACATGTCCCTTCAAGTTCGATGGCTTTGCGGTTAATTCTGCTAACTGCTTCCTGCACAAGGGCAAGCTCTGCATCATCCGCATAGAGAACGAGGGCATGGAAGTTACCTTCGTGACACAACATAAGTAAATACGTTATATGTGCGCTAAGGAACGTACCATCGCCAACATGACCAGCGATCGGCGCAACTAGACCGAGCTCCTCAAAGTCTTGCTTCGCGGCAGCGATAAGATCGGGTAGGCGTGACACTGGAACACTAGAAAAACAGGGTAAATATAAGAAGAATCCATGGGTGAGCGAATAACGCATGATCGCTTCATCATAGGCCGCCGTCGAAGCGACGATCCCAACAATGACATCACTTACCACACGTCAGTAATCCATCCTTTACACCCCGGACGATATGCGAGGCACGCGAAGAGCGCATTTCTCCGGTCCTGCCAGATATCCTCGCTTTCTTGCTCGTTTGAAGCAAGTCGGTAGTCGGTTGCACCATGCTTCGCAATTGCACTCTCCACATAGCGTGACGTTTCCTGAATCGAATCGTCCGAGCCTTGGAACTTGAAGAAGAGAGTAGCTTTCTCTGGCCAATTTCTAGCAGACGTCCCAAACTGGTTTAGTACCTTGATCGTAAGTTCATCGACGATCTCGACACATTCTGTGGGGAGAAGCATGCTCGAATCAGTATTCGGCATCTTTTGGGGTTGTGACTTACGCAGCGCTGCACCATGATTCAGGATGTCGCACACTGCATTGGTTGCGTGCCGAATATCAGGGAATTGTGCGACGGCAACACTTGTCGGTAAAAGTGGCGCTAGACGCAGTGTAGCTATTACAGAATAACGGAGATCATAACGCCGAAGAGCACGAGGGGCACAGGTAAGCGTGTGACGATATACAAACTGATACACTCCACCCACCTTCCGTGACAATTCCGAGAGTGCCTTCTGCACCTATGAACAGTTTAGTGACATCAAACCCCGCCGATGACTTGCGAGCGCGCTGTCGAGTCTTGATCACTTCGCCCGACGGAAGCACCACCGTCTTACAAACTCCTTCGTAAGCCAGATAATATTTTTAGCATGGCTGAAAGTTCACTTACGGCGTTAAGAATCCATTCGCCTCTTGCTGTTCCATACTTAACCGCATTGGCTTCAGAGAGTTCGTCAGATTCCCTTGGGATTCGCGAGGTTCTTACTCACTTCCAGAGCACCCAGTTGAGATCATGCCACCTATTGTGGCATCGCGGCCGGGATCAAGCTAGCAGATCCCTATGACTGCGGAAGTGATCTGATTTTACTTGGTACATACCGGAAAAAACAATGGAATTCCTAGGAATATATCAGTCGGTATTGGGATGTCTGTTACATAGCGACACACCCTTTTCCTTCAGCGTTTCATTCAAATGATTCCAGGTGACTCCAGCTTGGCAAACAACATCTGCATCCGACTCTGAGTGATTAAAGATAACTTAGCATCGAAAGAGGTTCAAAAGTATCGCTGCTCACCATTGATTTTCAGGATCTTGTCAAGACCAGAGAGATCTACGCATATGGATCCAGATGGCGGCTATCAGAAGCAAGATCAACAGTCGGAAAGGGTTATGATGATAATGGGAATTTCCGTACAGCAGACAAGTTCCCTTCCAAACTAGTCCCTCCCGAGTATGGTACAATTGGAACTAGATGCCTTTTGGATATTTTTACTACCTTTACAACATCTTCTGTGCTTCGGACGTGTACAACAATGGTATGTGGTGTTCCTGTGAAAGAACCTTATGACCTAGAGCTAGAGGAAGAAAAACAAGCAAACTGACCAACAAATTGGGAGTACGAGGACTGTGCGTAAGCATACAGTTCATTGGGATCGGTAGAAACAACTGAGGAATCCGAAAATTCTGTTTGCAAGTCTTCGAGGGCCTTGACCAGATTGCATGTCGGCTCAGAACCAGTCTGAGTAATGGGAACAACGTCGATGATAGCTTCCGCTGTCGGGATCGGAGAGGCAGTATCTCGAGAAAGTGCCAGGGCACCGAAGACAAGTGAAGCTCCACCGGTGACTACAGCAAATGCAAATGCAGATCCAAAGGACTTGGCCGTAACGGTAGTAGTGTATGATCGACGGGGAGAGGTCCTGATTGGTCGCAACAGAGAATGAATACTATTGATACATCTTGGGCTTGCGGGGGTGAAGAACCGCGAGGAAGCCTTGCTCGCTCCAGCAGAGAGACCCAGAGAGACAAATCGTGCAATCGTAAAGGTCATAACTAGCGCATGAGTCTGATACAAGGGGAGACGTAGGGGAGGCCTCGTGTCATCTTGCCTCGCGTTTGGACTTTTAAGTTTTTGATAGAGCGGCTGCCCACCCGATTCTAAGACTGCCCACCCGGTTGCTAGCAGAATTCCGGAAAATCGGGATCTATATGCCAACAGACGCTGTTCCTCCTTGCTGGGAACACATACCCCAAATCAGCTTAGGGCCGAGGAAGGCAACGGCTGTCTAATTACTCTCCAAGGGCGGTTCTATTACTTAACTATATTACAGGCAAGTTGGTCCCGAACAAGGCACAAAATAAGGTCTGACTTCATACTTACGATAATAATTTGTCAAGGATAATTTCAAACGCCATAACGAGTCGACGTTGACGACTGGCCTGCAGCGTGGAACAGTGGTTTGGATAATTGGCCACCATGATTTGCTGTAGTGGAAGAACTGAGATGCCTAGGTGCTAGCTGAACTTAATGCACTAGTGCAACACTACACTGGGAAGGTGCTGCATTTTCGAATTATTACCTACGCGCCTGTGAAGTCTGACGGGAAGTCGTGCAAGTTGAACTTCAACTGTTCTAGGATAGCTTGAGACTTGTCACAGAGTGACTAGAACCCAGCTTGCGCAGCAGCCCTCTCCGCGAAACTTCCCCTTGCTTCCCAGGCGTGCTTGTGTTCCTCATTAATCTCCAACTGATCTTCGTCAGGCCTGCCCCAACCTCCGCCGCCGGGCGTCTCGATCAGGAGGCGATCTCCTTTGCCCATGAACACCGTCGCCTTCCCTCCAATGTTTATGTGGCGTGGTCCCAGATCTTCGTTGGAAGTTTCCTCCGGTATGTCACCATCCTCCGTGCGGCGTTGCTTGATCCAAGTGTTGCGTCCCATCATGGCGGGCTCGCCGCCTGCCATGCCGTATGGTGCACGTGTACGTCTCTATCGCACGCAGCACATGTAAGGTCACCAGAGGAAGAAAAGACCCGAAATAACATACTTCGCTTAGGATAGACACTTGCATCCCTTGCATAACCTCGAACTCCCTGATCACACCATCGCCGCCATTCCATTTACCCTTCCCTGCAGAGTCTGGTCTAAGACCGAAGCGATGTATAAGGACAGGATAACGGCGTTCAAGAATTTCGACATCGCCAATGCGAGTGTTGGTGATGTGAGTGTGTACACCTGATGTGCCATGCCAACCTGAGCCGGCTCCTGATCCACCCGCGATGGTCTAAACACCAAACGTCAATGTCAATGTCAATGATAGTGGAATACCAGACCTCATAATAACCCCATCCAGCGATGGCTACGCCATTCTTATCTTTGCCGCCTGTACCAAAGGTCAAGTTGCTGTGAGAAAAATCAGAACAGCACCATTCGAAAAGGAACAACCAACTTAGTGCATCCTTGACTAGCAGCACACGCATGAAAAGCCTTGAGAACCACATCCACAATACGCTGAGAGGTCAATACATTTCCGCCACACACGGCAGCGGTCCTGGATGGAGAAAGAAGGGATTTCTTGGGAATCTTGACTGTAGCAGTTCATGTCAATATGATTGTTGGACTTCTGGTTTGGACCAAGGGACGTACTCTCAACAGGAACGAGACAGCCAGCGTTGAGTGGAATGTCGACATTCAGCATTGCACGCATGCAATAAATCACGGCAGAGTGCACCACTGAAATCGGGGAATTCAGGTTTCCCCTAACTTCGCACCCTGTACCCTCGAAATCCAGGACGGCAGATCCTTTTTCCTCATTGATCTCCACCTTTAGCTGAATCTTTCAGACATGACATGATTCTCAGAAACATGATTTTCGGTAAACGGCAATCGGAACTCACCGGAGTTCCATCGTCCAGGTAATCCACGGCCTTGAGAACATTGGTTCCCGACCGTTTCGCGACGTCACGCAGTAGGTTTCGGACCGAGTTCTCGGCATTGGTCCTGATATGATACATGTATTCTTGAACAGTTTCTAGACTATAGTCATCAACGACTGCAACAAGATGTGATCGTCAATGCATGGGGCAGGTCAATGATGAACATGACACAAACTTGCTCTGATTAGCTGGACTCCCTTGTGGTTGGCTGCAATTTGCTTTGAAATATGAATATTAACAACGAAATCTATAGGTGTACCTTGAGGGACTTACCGCCTTGAGGTCACTCTCAACGTCCTTGATGTTTCTGCAGCCCGAACTCCCCGGATACTGGGCTGGTTTTTCGACCATGTACTCGTACAACCTCTTCTTGTCGAACACGCCGCCATCTACAATCTTCAGGCTCACGATTTCCGCTCCCTCTTCGAATATATTCACAGATGTGGGTGGCATAGACCCAGGCAGTATACCGCCGATATCAGCATGATGTCCACGGGAGGCGGTAAAGAATATGATCTCGTTAGTTCCTTTGTCAAAAACTGGAGTAATTATAGTGATGTCCGGCAGGTGGCTGTCTCTTGATGAACATGTGCACTGTGAAGAAAAGTCGCACTTACGATCCCCCAGCATGAGGAGAGTTGGTCATCAGCACATCACCATCTTTCAACTCCTTTCCATGAAGTTTCATTTGGTACTTCACGGCGCTGACACCAGGTTAGGCCATGCACCTAAGACACATCAACGGCTTAGGCTCACAAGCTCATAGATCCAAGGTGAATCGGGATGAACGGCGCATTTGCGACCAAATCACCGTCAGGGGCGAAGAGTGCACAAGAGAAGTCCAAGCGTTCTTTATGTTGGTACTAATCGACGTTTGTTGCAAAGATCTGCCCATTGCTTCTGCGACGCTCATGAAACGATTCGCGAAGAGCGTAAGCAGAATGGGGTCAGGACCGCCAGATGGTTTAGCGATAGCCATGATTGACTCTGGTGAATGATGCGAGACTCTGGAGCTTGAAGCTTGAAGACTTGATATCAGGCTGCTTCATGCAGCGCTATCAGGACTGAATCATGTGCCGAGGTCCACCAGATCACAAGACAGTCTGAAAGGACCTCCGTGCTGAGATAAGCAATTTGGACAATTTGAGTCTTTACATTCGACGACTTGATGAAGACTTGACACGATCAAGTTTTTCTGGCTGCTAGGCATACTCAATAGGCATTTTGGCTGAAGGTAATAATTCTCGAGACCATGCAGACTACAGTTGGACTGCAGCGTTCTGAGGAATATAAATTCTCGGATGTTACATCTATGTTCACACGGATTTACATCATCGCTCAAGCCAGAACTTCTCGCAGAACATCTACAATCTTCTCCACTTCCTCGACGGTGTTATAGTGGACAAGGGAGATGCGGACGACCCCGTCATTCACGTCCAGCTCCGGGCGTAGATCATTAATAAGAGAATACGCGTAAAAGTGGCCATATCGAATTCCGATCTGTAATGTAGAACACTGCATAAGCGAATACAATGAGATCACTGGAAGTCGGACTTACCCCTCCCTTTTTGTCGAATGCTCCTACGATATCCTTGCTCTTGATCGCGTTCTGTCCGATGACAACAAAACTGACAGTAGGAACTCTTGAGAGATCAATCTCGCTTGTCCCAACAATGCGAACACCCCTGTCAAATTGTTTTGCGTCCGTCAAAAAGAGGAGCAAGGGCGCCACAAGTTCCTGCTCATGGTTTGCGATTGCATTGAAAGATGCTGCAAGATCATCTTCTGGCGTCAATGATTTCAGATATGGTACGACTGCTCTCGCGCCATACACCAGCTCGTAGCCTGGACCGCCTGGTTGAAACTTATAGGGCTCATTGTCCACCTCCAGGAAATGATGTGCAATCGACGTGAGAGATGTCCGCAGAGCCGTCGACCGCACATAAGCAACAGCATTGTGAGCCCCGTACACCTATAAAACAGAGGAGTGTCATTGTCAGATGTAAAATCAAACAAAGTCACGGATGTTGAAACCTTGTACAAAGAAAACACGCAGTAATCAATATCCCACTTTTGTACGTCCATTTGTCTATGTGGTGCGTATGCAACACAATCCAAAGATACTTCGACCTTTCTTGCTCCCAGCTCTTGCGCACGCTGGCGAAGGGCCTTCACTGCTTCTTCCACAGGAATCAAGGATCCCAAAACATTAGAGCACGCGCTGATCGCGGCCAGCCTGGTGCGTGAAGACACCAGCGGCAAAAGTTCTTCGATTTTGTATGTGACTGAGTAAGGATTGTTCGCAGATACTGGCGTAGGTTTCCAGTATTTGACCACGGCACCTGCGCCGCGAAGCCAAACGCTTCCAAGGACCGTTATTGGCTAAGATGAACATTGAGTTAACAGAAAAAAGACACAAGAAGATCACAGCAAAAACCTTCATGTTCATAGGTGACAATGAATTCATCTCCAGGTTGGATATCATTGTCGAGCGCTCTAGCGATGTTCTCAACAATCATCGTCGAACTCGGTCCAAACGCAATCTCATCGAGGGATGCCTGCGTTGAACAACTCTGCAGCGCTGACGGAGCCGTCATCTACGCACTGGGTGCTCAGCAAGCTAACAGAATAGTCAGCTCCCAGCTGTACGTTGGTGTTGGATAGATAATCCACGATGTGATCAATCACTGCCTGAGCAGTCTGTGATCCTCCTGCATTATCGGCGTAGATGTAGCCTGATTTCAGGGCTGGGAAGCAAGCGCGAACTTTGTTGATATCGAGGGCAGCCATCTGTTACTACTATCAAGGAGGGAAGTTCAGGATAAGAGGATGACTGGTAGAAGGTCCTTATATTTCAGCAGCCATTCCATTATATATTCAGTGCATAATTATATCGACACACCCGTCCGATAAAGCGCCGCAGGACGAGGGAGGCTCAACCTGATCATGAGGGCTCATGCTATTAATACGAATAAGTTTGATTTCAAGCTCACCTGCACATTAGACATCGAATCGAGCATCATGTGCTCCGTGGTTCCTTCAACTTCCTCGTGTAATTCAATAATGAACAGTGAGGTCCCGGGCGGCCTGAAATAATCAAGCCATTTTCAAACGAGAAGGTAAGTTTGGATGGAAATTGGACTATCCGGGCAATACTCTAGGGAGATAATGGTCGAATTCAAGTCAACGACGATTGCCGCCGCTGCGGTTCGTGAAGTCCTGTGTACAGATGAGCATTGGATGAATTTTTGAAGACCCTTACCTCCACAATTACAACTTACAAGTTAACTCGGACAGTGACGGCGCTGCGTACCACGTGACTTTCGCGGTGCTCTCCCGATTCGTCTGGACTCTGCGACCAGGTCCTACGTACAAGTGCCCTACCAACCAATTGTATGAACACGACTGAAATCGACTTCTTTGGGTTCTCCGAGTCTGAGACGGAGTTTATTACTTCTCGTCGACTTGTCAAAGACTTGACACGACCAATCAGTGTTATAGCGGCTCGGCATACTCAGTAGGCCCGCCAGCCGAAGGTAAAATAAATCTCGAGAGTAATACTTATGCATAGTGTTAGGAAAATACATTTCGGATGCCACATACATCTTCACACGAATTTACATCATTTCCTCAAGCCAGAACTTCTCGCAGGACGTCCACGATCTTCTCCACTTCCTCAACGGTATTATAATGAACAAGTGAGATGCGGACGACCCCGTCATTCACGTCCAGTTTGGGGTGTAGATTATCAATGAGAGAATACGCGTAACAGTGACCATGTCGAATTCCGATCTGTGCAACATGCATAATCAAATACGGTGAGATCACTGAGAGTCGGAACTTACCCCTCCCTTTTTGTCAAATGCTCCTGCGACATCCTTGCTCTTGATCGCGTTTTGTCCGACGACGAACAAAGCTGATAGTAGGAACTCTTGAGAGATCAATCTCGCTTGTCCCAACAATGCGAACACCCCTGTCAAATTGTTTTGCGTCCGTCAAAAAGAGGAGCAAGGGCGCCAAAAGTTCCTGCTCATGGTTTGCGATTCGCGTTGAAGGATGCTGCAAGATCATCTTCTGGCGTCAACGACTTTAGATACGGCACGACTCCCGTTGCACCATACACCAACTCGTAGCCTGGACCGCCTGGTTGCAACTTGTGGGGCTTGTCATCCCCCGTCAGGAAATGATGTGCGATGGACGTCAGAGATGTCTGCATAGCCGCCGACCGCACGTAGAAAGCAGCATTATGAGTCCCGTACATCTACAAAACAGAGTGTCAGATGTCAAATTGAACAAAAGTCGCAGATATTGAAACCTTGTATAAAGAGAACGCGCAATAATCAATATCCCACTTTTGTACGTCCATTTGTCTATGTGGTGCAGTATGAAACGCAGTCCACAGACACTTCGACTTTTTTTGCTCCCTGCTCTCGTGCCCGTTGGCGAAGAGCCTTCACTGCTTCTTCCACAGGAATCAAGGATCCTAAAATGTTGGAGCATGCGCTGATCGCAGCCAGCCTGGTGCGTGAAGACACCAGCGGCAAAAGTTCTTCGACCTTGTATGCGACCGAGTAAGGATTGTCCGCAGATACTGGCGTAGGTTTCCAGTATTTGACCACGACATTGCGCCGCGCAGCCAGATACTTCCAAGGACCATTGTTAGCTGAGATGAGTATTGAGTTATAAAAAGACACAGGAGGATAATGGTAAAAACCTTCATGTTCATAGGTGATGATGAATTCATCTCCAGGTTGGATATCATTGTCGAGCGCTCTAGCGATGTTCTCAAAGATCATCGTCGAGCTCGGTCCAAACCCAACCTCATCGAGAGATGCAGCATTGAACAACTCTGCAGCGGCAATGGAACCGTCAGCCACGCGCTGGGAGCTCAGTAATCCAACGGAATAGCCAGCTCCTAGCTGTACGTTGGTGTTGGTTAGATAATCCACGATCCGGTCGATCACTGCCTGGGCAGTCTGCGATCCTCCTGCATTCTCGGCGTAGATGTAGCCTGATTTCAGGGACGGGAAGCAAGCACGGACTTGGTTGATGTCGAGAACAGCCATCTGTTACTGTCAGGGAGGATGAGAGGATGACTAGTGCAAGGTCCTTATAATTCCGCAGTTCTATGATGTATTCAGCGCATAATGATATCGGTATCTGATAAGGCATCGCAAGCTCGACCCCACCCATCATGAGGGCACATGACTTAATATCGTCCGAATGAGTTTGATTTCGAGCTCACCGGCACATTGGACATTGAATCGAGCACGACGTGCTCATGGTTCCTCATGTAAACAAGGTCCTGGGCAGCCTAGAAGAATCAAGTTATTGTCAAATGAGAAGGTAAGTACTGAGCTCGGATCCAGAAATTGAAGGCGGTCACGGTGCGAACGGTTACCGTATTACTCTAGGTCAAAGGTAAGGCGGTCCAAGAAAATCACAGATAGGCTAGAGTTTGTTCACCAACAAGCGTGTACATATGAGCACCGGATAATCTGAAGCAGCCCTTCCAATTGGGTCCGCCCAGTGCTGAGTGGAGGCTCAATGAATTGAGTGAGCACGCGTACCACGTGACTTCGCCTTGCAAAATGTGTTGTCTGAACTCCACGACCTTGCTACGACTTGTCATCTTCTACTTACCAGATCCTACAAGTGCCCTATCGACCAACTTTATGAACAAAAATGACTTCTTTGGGTTCTCTGACGGAATTTGTTGCTTCTCAGGATGAACTTGTTCGAGAAGCAGCTTTAACCCTTCCTCACGAATTCTCTCGTTGCACATATTCCCTAGGTCCAATCAGGCAAGCTGTATATCTCTGTCTCACTTGCGAGTTGCCACGCGGCCTCTGTTCTTCGTGTTCCATCGCGTGCCACACGGATCACGAGCAAATAGAATTATTCCCCAAGCGCAATTTCCGATGTGATTGCCCAACGACCGCTGTCCCACACGGGTGCACTTTGCATCGCGGTCTAGAGGAGGAAAACAGGGAAAATTCATATAACCAGAATTTCAGGAGCATTTTTTGCCGATGTAGCCGACCATACGATCCAACATCCGAGAGGGAAACAATGATCCAGTGTCTCACATGTGAGGTGCGTGCGTATGCAATGAAGTCGGTTGTCGTTAACCCGCTTTATCTCCAAAGGACTGGTTCCACGAGTCGTGTCTACACCTACGGGTACGACCATCCTCGCGGGAAGCGTCTCCTGTTCTTGAAAATGAAGTCACAGATCACCATAATGATGCCGGTGACAACCAATCTGAAGCCTCTTCTTCGGGGCTGCCTCCGCCGCTCATATCTGCTGAGGATTACGATGCTTTTGTCTGTTCTTCTTGCGTACATTCGATCGACATTCTTCGCCGGTATGCTGGCACGCAAGGTGTCATAATGGTAGTTCGCGACGCAGAAGATAGCCCATGGAAGAAGCTGGGCGGGATCCCTTTGGGCGCGGATGCGCCGACAACCACGGAAGATGAGCTATTAGATGTAGATGATTCTCTGGCAGCCCCTGGCCAAAAACGGAGTCGGACGCAATCCCTTCACTTGGAGGAACCAGACCGGAAAAAACAACACATTTCACCAGAGCCATCCTCACCTTGTCTCGCCCCAGCGCCAAATCCGATTGCCCAAACAATATCTCAGGGGTTGCAGCGGCCGTCGGACACAAAAGCATCTCTTGGTGCGGGTGACGTTTTCTTAACTGAAGGTTGGCGCGAACGGTGGTGTCGTTGCAGTCGTGTGAGCTTCTCATACGCAAGTCTTCTTACGTGTCCGTTCATCGGCGAATTCCAGTGTTTTCCATCACTCGCCGATCGTCCATATCTCCTTGAGGAAGAAGAAACTTACGAGCCCCCGGAAGATCCTGATTCTGGTGCCTAATTTTATGTTATCCGAAGCAATTGTGTGCTAACATCAATGTTTGATGTTAGCTCTTTCCTTGGAGGAACTCGGTATGCGCGCATTGCAGCGCCTCCCTCGTGACAGGGCGATTGATGGCATCAGAGCTTTCAATGATATGCGGTTGGTATCTTCATCTGACGCCTTTAACGGACCTTTCATTGCGATTTTTAACAGGGACGACTTACTCGCCTATCTCCGGCCGTTCGCTCAAGAAGGCAGGATAGTTGGCGAAGCTGACGTCAAGGAGTTCTTTGAAGCATTGCGTGAAAACAAGCACAGTTCTTGATCGCATTTTGCTGTAGCATTCGATTTGCATCACGTTTGTCTCTGTTCTTCACGTGATATCGAGACTCAGTTGTCACAGTTTTGTACTGCGCTTGAGTTGACCGAATCTTGCGTCCCCAACTGAATTGGAACGAGTACGGCACCCTCAGTATCGTCAACCCTTCGACTCTGTTCAAATCCAATACGGGTTCTGTCTGACAGGCTTCTATATTACCTTTGTTGAACGATTCGCTCGGTCCATATACGATAACCTTCACAATCACTCCGCTTTCGATGGACTTGTTAGAACGTACATGTGTAACTTAATCAAAGACTTACCTGCCACTATATCCGACCTCATCGCACCCCCGCCGACCTGGCTTCTCTTAAAATCATTAACCGCCGGACCCGAGCAGATACACCTTTGTCTATACCTAGAGTGATTCGAGGCAATTTAACAGTAAGTGTTGTGTTCTTCTAGCGCCTATCATACCTTCCATTTCTTGTTTTTTTTCTCGTACGACAAGGAAAACGGAAGTCAGAACATACTATTAAGAACATTAATATTGTGTCAGCACATCTCGATTACCAAGCCAGAAGAGATCGTGATACGTGATGCGTATTGAACTGAACCATACTCGTCCCTCGTGTGCGAGTAAACTCATTCACTCCATTGGCCAAGGTGAGACACTCGGTCCAGGCACACACAAATGTGTGGAGTGAACTGCATGGATATATGCTGGGGCCGATTGCGCCCGCAATTCATCATACCCAGGGTCACACCGAGTGGGGCAGGCATCTATACGTAACACCATAACCTTGCGAACGACATCTATGTAAATATAGATAAAACATAAGGTACTTCCGGGTACTTTCGAGGGTGCGTGCATGTTTGACCGAAACCAAGGCTCGTGCCTGTCGGATCTCGCTAATCATGAGGGTGGTGATCTTCAAAGCGTTTCTGGTATTGATCAGGGCACATCCGGTGCTCAAATAAGTCTGATGATTATCATCAGACCTCAGGCGCAAGTAGATATGGACCACGTGGGGTACACATGAACGGGCCATAGTATCTTCATGCAGACTCGCGGGATGAATGCGTGATGTGCGGGGTCTGATACAGGGCTGACATTGGAAGATAGTTGCTTCTCTGGAATAAAACAGATGCCAAGTAAACAACGTGTAGATAAAACTAATGCAAAGTCAGAGCAACGTGTGTAAGTCGTTAAGAACATACGGTCCTTAAATGTTCGTGGTATATCAGAGTACATCAATTACAACAACATAAAGAAAATAAAAAACTAGATGATACTACACTATGCACGGCCATCACCGATATCCGAGGGAGTGTGAGCTGAGATGAACCTCCGCGAATTGCAAAAATAGCGTATGGACAACTTCCAGAAGGGCCTCAAAGGTTTTCTAAGAACGCTTGTAAAAGAAGAGCGATCTCAACTGCAAGAGAAGGGAACGATGTAAGCTGCGGAGTTTAGAGTGAGAATGATTAACACTCACGATAAAGCAGCCTATAACATGGCCTGTACCTGATCAATAACAGGAATGGCGTTGCCAGTGAAAACGGGCATCGCTTCGTAGTACTCTTTCCACGCCTCGTCAGAGACGATGGGTGCAGAGACATAGTTCTCAATAGCCAAATCGTTGAGGTAAGTGTCGAGATCAGGAAGCGTTGATGTAACAGCCTCATCTTCACGGATACGTTGTAAAATCCGGGTTAAGCCAGCATTCTCCGAATACCATGCTGGATCGCGGCGGATCACGGCACATTCGTACACATCAAGAATCGGCTTCGGAAGACCAGACTTCAAACCGGCAGAATAAGCGAGGGCGTGACCCATGGCCTCAACCGCAAGCTCCGCCTGAGGGAGAATGAGAGAGTTGAATGACTCGCTACGGTGTCCCCCACGCAAACTACCAAGAAGGTTTATGTTCTCCTCCAAGATAGAAGCTGCGTGCTGAGCAAGAAGCGACTCGCTTGCGTCTGGGAGAGGCAGTTTGTAACGCTGGAGGAGGAGCTCGGAGAATAAGCGTATGCACAGAGTGAGAACATCGCCCTCAGCGATGATCACGCCTTTCCCATCGTTCTGAATGAATTTGATAAGTCAATTGAGCGTCATTGAACGGAATGCGTACGAACCTCAATGCGAGCCATATAATTATGCTCAAATGTCCCTTGCGCACCGCATCTTTCAGCGACTTCGGGCACGCAGCGCTGGAAGTGGCGACACGCGGTAGTCTTGAACGGTGACCGCCAAACCGTGTCTAACACGGTGATCGACAGATTTATCAGCGCTCTGCTTGGCTACTAATTGGGAACCAATTGCTCATAACAAGGCCCACAGCGGTCGCGTGGGCAATAGGCCACTGCTGAGTCCTGAATGTGATGATGGGCACGGGATCAGTCCCTTTCCCAACGAGGGATCGATGCATAGAATAGCGACCAGCGATGAACGCAGCTGCCTTGATGGAAGATATCCATGGCGCTGTGACAGCTAGAGTTCCAAGAGGTATGCGCCATACCTCATTCCACCACGCCTCGAGAGGCGAATTTGGCAGGGAATGGTCATAGATATCTGAGGAAACGAGTGCACTGAATGGAACATGGACATGATTGAAACGCGTTATAGAGAAATCGAGAGGGGAAGTTCCAGGACGAGGACCAAGTCTGATGGACTCGACACCTTCGAACATTTCGTGCTCGTTGCAGACGGGCACGATGAAGAATCGTGGGCCACGGTCTTCGCCATCGATTATGAGTCTGGCCATAACCAAGGCAACCTTCGGAATACCGAAGGATGGAGTGGAAGCAGGCATGAACCTATACACAAATCGTTACAGGGCCGCTGACGCTTAGGAAGAGGTACGTACTTGCATGCCTCTTCGCGGGGTGTATTAATAATGAAACCCTCAGGGGTCTTCGTAGCTGTTGTCTCGATGTTGAATGCATCTAAACCGTGACCCCTCTCTGTGAGGAGATAGATGCCAACGGTGTCGAAGCGTAATAAACGGTTGACGAGAGGACGGAGGTCTGGCCGTTTGTGAAGATGTTGGGAAAGTGTTCCGATGGTGAGACCGACGTGTGCAGCCAGTATAGTAAACATGGCAGTATCCAATGACATGATAGGGTCCGTCATCATAGCCCAATATTTTGAAGAACAGAATTGGACATCAGAAGCCGAAAGATCTAGGGTTCGAAGAATATGCATCTGTGACGTGTATTTGAGAATCAAGAGGACAACGTACTGTATGTTTGCATCAGGAGTCTAGCCCGCTGGTAGGATAGAGAGACACGGTCATCAGTGGAGAGAAACTCAACGCGAGTAGTGAAGAGTGGATGATGAGGGAGATGGAGTGCCATGTTTGACGAGGTGACGGACTCGGACGGGGAGGACACAGTGTCAGGAAACTTCGGACTATCTTCGAGGCTTTTTATAGCGTTTGTCGATCATTCATGAGGACAAGTTGGGTGAGTACTAACCAATTCGAAGCGCGACCTATGGACACTGAAAACGTGGACCCAAGTAAACCATTCTGTCAAATGATATCAATATCGTCACAGCCGAACTACCGGATTGAGAATCAGAGGATAACATCGTAGGAAATTAACTTGTGTATGACATGAGGATGAAAGAAAGCCTAAGTGTCAGGTACCAGGGATACACACAGATTTAGTCCATGAGTGTAGAATCTTCCGATAGGAAGCAATTTGGACGATGTTTGGAAATATGGCGTAAGTCCTCAGTAATACAATTATTCGAGGGTAGACGCCAAGCTATAGCCTATGAAAAGAGTGAGTTGCGGCGAGGTTCAAGTGAGAAGAGTACTCACGCACCCTATGGGAATAAACTGAGACCGCCGACAACGACACGTAGTAGCACCGAGTGGACATTGATTTTACCAACTGTTTGACAGGCAATAAATCCACACGAAGCGGGAGAAAACCATCCACTCCAAGGGGTATACAACGAGGAGTGACATATCCTCGTCTTCTATCCCAAGTGAGCATGATGTTCTCTTCTACAACCTTCACCGCCGACTATGGAACCTCGCTTAGTTTTCCCGGTGCACTGAAAGGTTATGGCTATAGTGATCACACCGCTATAGATTTGCCAAGGTACTTGGTGCATACAACTCAGTCTTCTCGCTCAAATTGCAAGTTTTGTGCTAATCTGAAATTGGCTACTAGCCTACGGGTCACATCGCTTATACGCTGTCTTCCCAGTTGTAGGCTCCAACTTCGAGTGTTTCGGGCACACATGGTGCGGCAGATTGAGCCTATCGGCTCTCCTACTTGCGACTGTCAACTATTCCGGGCTGACACTGAGCGACCTTGTTAGGTTAAGTGCAGCTCACACGTGCACGGTGCGCTCTCCGAGATTACACACTCTCGCGCTCTCTCGCGCTGTCCGGTGAATTGAATTATTCGACGTCGGTGCCACCGGCCAGACGCCAAGGTCCTGCTTAAGTATTTAAATATTTATCTTTTGTAACCACGGAGTTGAGCCATAGCCGCATGCGACGTTGAGAGTAGATGTGTTGTGTCCGGTGGTTTCCTTGCCTGAGGATATATTTGCCGCCGAGAGTTGGTCGCGGACTGGATGACGATGACGAAATGATTGGTGAATAATAACGAAATATCTTGCCGTAGAAGGAATAGCGAAGTGTGGACCTTCCTCGAATATATAACTAAGTTAGCGTATACGTACTTACTAGTCAATTGGTGGGTGATCTCGAGCCGATCTCATGCGGCGACAAGACGTGGAGTTGGGAACGAAGCAAAACAAAGATAACGTGGTTCTTAATATATCGGGCTACCGCCTCTCGTTGATCCTTGTGAATCTGAAGATTTCAATAAATTTCCTTCTTGACAATCTATACCCAATGAAATCTAGCGATTCTTTTGATATTGCCTCGTGTCCATCAAGCATGCCCGAAGAGAAGCATTATACGATGTGAACCGACATCCTAAAGAACTCCTCGAGTCCTCATGACCTCCCACCTTAGTTCTTTCATCCCCTCCCGCATCCAGTACTAGTCATGACTGTAACTCCTGAAGGCGGAAGGACCTTGAGCGACAGCAAGTCCAATCTGGCGCTCACAAAGAGCGAGAGCTCTAATGGTGATCCTGAACAACCTGCTTCCGCAGAAAAGTCGCCCCAAACAGCGACTCCACCTTCATTTCCCGAAGGTGGTTTGCAAGCGTGGTTAACAGTTCTTGGCGGGTATGTGCCAAGTTCTATCTCATCCTCAGGCCAGCTTTTCACATGTCGCGTGTGTTTACTCAGCTCTATGATACTTTTTTGCACCTTCGGCGCGGTGCAGTCATTTGGTGTATACCAGGCATACTACACAGTAAGTATTTCCCCCAGCCTACGCGCAGAAATTCACAGCTCACATACCTTAGTCGCATTACCTTCCAGAGTATGTCTCAAGTGACATCAGCTGGATTGGTTCTGTGCAGACCTTCCTACTATTCGCTGGAGGTTTACCTGCCGGAAAGCTCTTCGATGAAGGGTTAGAATATTTGTTCCTCAGTTATCATTTGACACCTAACCATTCCCTCTGGCAGGTACTTCCACCACTGCATAGGAGCAGGGTCGCTCATCTACTTGTTCTCGTAAGTTCTGTTGCACCGCCCTCTAGACGCTCATGTAAATGTAATTTAAGGATATTCATGCTCTCACTTGCAAAACCACACCAATACTATCAAATATTCTTGGCACAAGGCCTTGGAATGGGTATTGGAATGGGTCTTCTCTTCCTTCCGGCAATCTCAGTCACTTCTCACTACTTCCGGCGGCGGCGTGCTGCTGCAATGGGAGTAGTGTTGGCTGGCAAGTCTTTGACTTATTTCACTTACATCGCGCTGACCTCCTTGCAGGCTCGTCACTCGGTGCAGTTATCTACGCCATCATGCTCAACAACCTGTTTAATGGCAGTGCTGGGTTTGCATGGGGCGTGAGGTGTGCATTGCAACATCCCTGCAAATTCAAGGCTAACTTATTATTATAGGGCGGCTGGTTTCATCGATGTTGGACTCCTTGGAACCGCAAATTTGATCATGAAAACTCGTTTACCCAGCCGGAGGGAGCGTCCGAATGCGAAACCAGTTGATCTTAAAGCAATCTTGTCTGACTTTGGTTATTGGTTGTGTATCATTGGGTGTGTATTGTTCAAGATTTCTCAAACCAGCAGCTGATGTCTTCGATCAGTGCCACCTTGGCATTCTGGGGCCTGTTTGTGCCATGTAAGTCATAGGAAGTGTCTTTTGATGCATGGCTCACTGTGCTATTGTAGTCTTCTACCTCCAAGTCTTTTCAGAGACTCATGGACTCTCTAAGACCATCGGTTTTTACGCAGTAGGCTACGTCTAACGATGAGAATGAATGAAGTACTGAGCCCTGTTTAGATCCCGATTATGAACGCCTCTTCATTGTTCGGAAGGACGATCCCGAACTTTTTGGGCGATATCATCGGGCCATTTAATGGTGTGTAATGTCATCTAACTGCGCCACATCGCTATAGACACTAACGACCGGCGGCATGTAGTAATGATCCCATGCACTATCATGTCTGGAGGGTTACTGTTCCTCATGTTCGCGGCCACAAACCTCAGCGGTACCATTGCCTTTGGCATTTTGTACGGTTTCTTCTCTGGTGGCTGTGCGTCACTTTCACTTGATGATGCTCTTGGACGTGAAATGACTTTGTCTCCTCAGTCATATCCCTTATCACTCCCGCTGCTGCATCGTTTTCGAGAGACGTTAATGAAATTGGGCAAGTATTTGTGCTGCTTTTCTGAGAACTTGGCCCTGATGAACTCGCATTATATAGCACTCGGATAGGAGTGACTTCGTTCATCATTTCCTTCGCACTGCTCACAGGTAGTCCCATCGCTGGTGCATTGGTGGATGTCAGCGGCCGTTACGTCTGGTATAGACCACTTGTTTTTGCCTCTGTAAGCCTCTGTCATCTGAGTCCCGTGGTCAAGCCGCTGAAAGTCCATCGTCTCCTTAAGGTCGTCGTACTGGCAGGTGCCGCCTGTCTTATCGCCTCTCGACACTTTTTGTCCAAGCGCAAGAATACCAACAGGCTATGAAAACGATTCCTGCGATATACCAGGAGTTCACTAAACACAATTTAATTGACTTTGACGACCAGACGACTGCCTGTATCATACGCGCTGCCAGAACCGCAGTGGCAACGAAAATTACGACCTCCCCGACTTTTTGCCCATACTTTTTTCACAAGAGCCGTAATCATACGCGCTCAGGAGGGTGATAGAGGGACGTTGTAGGCAGCGTTAACAAATTTGATTATTCGCCATTACATCTCGTCCCTTCATCTTCATGTACAGTTTTGATACGTTGATACTTGTTGATACGCGCCTTCTAGTAATTTTCACGAACTCAGTAATACCGTACCCGCCTACTGGACTGGACCATCGTCGTCGCTACCACCGTACCTCCGCGTGTTATCAGTGACATGGACTACATAATACACAGTATGCCGACAACTCTGTACATAAGTTGTCACTTGTGTGCCCGGCCTGCGAACGCTACGCTGCGCTGCGCCACAACATGCTCACTGGGGATATACGTATGACACACCTGATGCGTGATCGCGATACGGAGGTGGCGAAGCAGATAACAGACGATCAGTATCTTATCATGCAGGGACATAACATCATTTTGAGCGTCCCGCCGGCTCTAGACCCCAAAACATTTATCCCCCCCACGTCAGAGCCTCCGCGGAGAACCGCGTCCCTGAATCAAGGGGTTTGCGTTCAGGGCGCGGGGGTGTGGACGGCATCATAAACTGTCATAGGTCAAGCATTGATGGACCGAAGACCAAATGGCGCCATTCCCTAAACGCGTTCATGCGGTCATCCGGCTGTGGTGTTCGGATATGATCGGAGGAAAACGAGGGTTATTAAGGGTTATCATCGGTAGGGGATATTGTAAAAACCATGATTTTGTATTGCATCAAGGCAGTTGTAGACATGTTCGTGTACTCCATGCAATTGTTAGCGACATAAAACTGAGTGGTTGAACCCGCGCAGTCATGAATCGTTAAGCGAATCCCCGATCCATCTTCGAGTTGTTGAATTAACGACTATGAACCCCAGGTCTCGTGCGAAGCACTTCGGGTTGGCTGGGTCCAGTCGTCCTATACAAATAAATGGGAACCTGCACGTAATCCCGCACTTCCTTTTGACGCGTCAGTCTAACTGAAAACACCTAGCACGTTCGTAGCCACCGATGCAGTGGCAAGAAAGTCGGTCCACGCAGCCGATACACAAGTACGAAGATCTTTATTTGCACTTGCGGCTCCGACGCTGACGTACATTTCGTATTCATCTTCCCCGGTGGAACTCTAAAGTCTGCAAATAAACAAAGATAGTTCAAGGTTAGATTTGGCGATCGACGCACAGCATCACCCGTAGAGCTAGAACACGTTTCCCGACGTAACGAAGCCCCGCCAATGCACAATGACGACTGAGTTAGGTTCGGGTGTCGCCTACGACAACCATTCCTGGTTTTTGGAAGATCGTGTGGGCTTCCGTGATCGGAGTAGAGTAGGGTTCGCGCTACGGCGGTTCATCGGGAAACTCATCTCCTCCCTACGGACAAGTCTGTCTAAAGTCTGTTTTCGGTGATGAAGTTCACTAGGCGATGAATACAAGCTTAAACCTGTAAAGACATAAGGGGATCGTGCACGATAAAATTTACCGAGCATGTTCTTACCGAATAAGTCTCGGTAAAGTTTCGCCATACGTCGACAAAGCAAGGTCGATGTAGGCGTGACAAGCTGAATGACAGGAGCCGAGCAGTCATGTCAGAGAACGAACTCGCCAAGTAAAAAATAACCCATTCATTGGTCTATGCTAAACAAGTTTAGAGACCTGAATAGTCTGACAAGACATGCTCAGCCACCACTCGCAAAGTCAACCTAGAAGTAACATACTGGATGACAGGAGCCGAGCAGTCATATCAGAGAACAAACTCGCCAATTGAAAAATGACCCATTCATTGGCCTATGCTAAACAAGTTTAGAGACCTGAATAGTCTGACAAGACATGCTCAGCCACCACTCGCAAAGTCAACCTAGAAGTAACATACTGGATGGTGGGGGCCGAGCAGTCATATCAGAGTTCAGAGATCTGGATGGTCTAACAGTCGGAGCACACTCAGCCACCACAAATGGCTCCGATGAACGAGGCTTGCGCGTCAAGATATCGGAACATCTTGCACATACACATATCGCTATCTGAGCGCAGTAGCATGTGGCCGCCAGTTTGGCATCGGTGGGTGCCAAGTCCAAATTCTAGATCAGTGTGCGTTTCATCCAAAGGCGGTCCTAGTTGACATTGAGCTTCGTAAGATTCGGTGTATGAAGCAAGCGGTTGATCGTACTAGAAGGATGGTCGTCGGCCCCCAGGCAGATCGACAATTAGTCTTTCTTAGGCAGACAGACGCCATTACGGTGAGCAGCTATGCTGCGATCATAGTACAGCCTGCCGCAGTTACTAGTACTGGGTTTCACAGCGTTGAGGATAGCTTCCCACGCTGAAGCAAACGCAGCTTGTATTGTGACGACGGTCAGGTCTTAGCCAAGTCCTGCTATTTCCTTGCTGTCTTTGATGCCTTCTCAATCAGCACTTTCAGCAGACGAGAAGTCTAAAGTAAAATCTACTTTAGAAAATTCCTCGCAGAAGATACTCACCGCTACCGCTGCGCGTATCTACTTCGCACATCCGCAGCCAAACCGCTGGTCTTATGGCGGTTTGCAAGGCGCACTCGCCTTCATACGAGATGATTCCAAAGGAGCCTTCATACTGAGGCTGGTTGATTTAACGGGGACAAGAGGCGTTATATGGGAACACGAACTATATGAAGCGTTCGAGTATCACCAGGACAGGTCGTTCTTTCATTCATTCGCGGGCGATGTAAGTTTGCATTTGTATTTCAAAGGAAGTTACTGACTTCTACCCAAGAAATGCATGATTGGCTTTGTCTTTGCTGATGAGAAAGATGCGAAAGTCTTCTTCAAGAAAGTAACGAACCGCAAAGCTGATAAAGGTATGGCGGTACAGAAGCTCTGGTTGACCGCCTCTGACCTCCATGCTTCAGTCAAAACTTCCTCCTCAGAGAAGAAGAAATCTGCCAAGGGCGGTAGAATAGACAAATCCATCATTTCAGGTCCAACCGCTGGTTCGTTCGTGCATGTTGCACACATGGGCTATGACGCTGACAAGGGTTTTACGTCCACCAACGTTGACCCATCATGGACCGCCTTTCTGAGCGAGCTGGAGGGTTCAGGCGTTAGTCGCGAGGTCATCGAGTCGAATATGGATTACATTAAAGGCTTTGTCCGTGATGCGCAAAGTGCACCCCCGCCTGCTGCCAAGAAACCGCCGCCGCCCCTACCTGCGCCTAGAAATAGGGGGCACACGCAGCAGGGTAGTGTTGCATCATCAGTTAATGGCGATTCTGCACCTACTTCCCGTGCTCCTCTATCTCCGTCGCGTCCAGTCTCTGTTGCGCCGCATCTACCCCCTGCTGCAGCGTCCCCGTCATCGGGTCCCACCTGGGTTGCTCCACCGCCACCACCACAACCACCACAACGAGGCCCTCCAACTGCTGCTCATACACCCGCGGCCCACTCAGTAAGACCAGGACCACCCCAACCGCCTGTTCGTCCCGCGACTGCTGTCCGTCCACCTCCGCCTCCTGTGCGACCACTAGGCAGTGCTCCTGTACAACTTCGAGGGTGTGTTCTACCACCACCACCACCACCACGACCTCTAGTCAGAACTCCACCACTCCCACCACCTTCATCTGGAGATCCTCCGCCGCCTCCGCCCCCACCACCGCCTCCACCTTCATATGGGGATCCTCCTCCTCCTCCGCCACCGCCACCACCACCACCACCACCACCACCAGGAGTGGCGCCGCCCCCACCCCCGCCCCCGCCACCCTCAAATGGGGAAGGAGGTACATCAGTATTACCCACTTCCCCGCAGCCTGGTCGCGCGGATCTTCTTGCATCCATTCGTGGACAGAATGTGACAAATTTACGGAAGACGGGTGGTCCTCAGTCAACGCCGCCTCCCCCCACCGCGCCTGCTGCAGAAGAATCTGGTGGAGGTGGAGCAGGTGGAAATCTGACTGCCGCATTGGCTGCTGCTTTACTGGAAAGGAACAAGAGGCTAGGTGATAGTGACGAAGAGGAAGAGGACGATGACTGGGACTAATATCACTACTTATTTTCGTTCTCATTCTTACACATCATTCATAATTTAGGATTAACCTTTATGAAACACGGCTAGGAGAAGCACTGTAGGTAAACGAAGCTCCGCAGATCAGTGGAAAGGAGTCTCGAGTTCCTGACCCCTAATCAGATATGACTGTTAACCGGAAAGGTTGGATTCGGTTCGCCCTTGTGATAGGCTGCTTAGTCTTGCTACAGCTAGTACTTGTAACCTGTGCGAAAGTGCCAGCAGTCAGTGACTGTCAAAGCTGTACTTAACATCTGGGGACAGTTAGCCTGATTTGGCACTGGCGATTGCCGATGAATGTGTGATCTTGGCCCAGCCCCAAAGCCGTGCTTTGCTCTCAACGACAATCAACACCTTCATCGTCATTCCCTTTGCCAAATCGCTGCATCATCTTATAGCCAACGAGATTTTCTTTCGAGACTTTCTAGAATATGGCGGATCAAATGGTGAGTCGCGCTGTCACGTGTGGGCATCCGATGGGTATTGATTGGGATCGGCACAGTCTGAAGGTGTGAATACTTTTTTGGTGGGAGGCCAAGGATGTTATTGGTATTGATCTGCTTTGCTCCGCGTGTCCGATTTTTTAGAACAGATATCTGGTGAGAAATTATCGCTAGTGTTGTCGCTGATGATTTCAGCACTCATTTACCCGCCACAGAATTCAAGGAAGCTTTCTCTTTGTTTGACAAAGGTATGACGGGCGTGATCTTATCGATTACCTCATCTGATTCGAAGCGATGTAGATGGCGATGGCACGATCACTACCAAGGAGCTCGGAACTGTGATGCGCTCACTAGGTCAGAATCCGACGGAAGCAGAGCTACAGGATATGATCAACGAGGTCGACGCTGATGGGAACGGTACCATCGATTTCCCGGAGTTCCTTACTATGATGGCGCGCAAAATGCGCGACACCGACAGCGAGGATGAGATCAAAGAGGCATTTAAAGTGTTCGATAAGGACGGCAATGGCTATATCAATGCTGCTGAGCTGAGACATGTCATGACAAACTTGGGTCAGTGGTGATGTTCTGATATCAGTGATGAATTAACGCCATTTCTAGGCGAGAAGTTGACTGATGGTGAGGTCGATGAAATGATTCGTGAAGCAGACGTCGATGGCGACGGCCAGATCAATTACGATGGTTTGTTTCCGCACCTCTCTAGTTTGTACACCCACTGATAAAATTATGTCGCGTCGATCCAGAATTTGTGAAGGTTAGCTTTCATCCATACGATCCCAATTTCATAAATTTGACCCTTCTTCCGGAAGATGATGCTGTCGAAATAAAGTGGAATGTGTACTGTACGATGAACTTTACTTCAACATTCTCTTACTCTTGTCTTTGGACTCGGTCCGCAGAAAGAGTTACATGTTCAATTGTTAATGTAGGATCGCTCTTATCTTGTACAGTGGATCGTCACGTGTGGAATGATGTCATCTATGTGATCATTAGCTCCGCAGGTGCGTATATAGGGGAGCACTTGACCAGCTTTGCCTACACTTCTCTTGTTCTGCTACGACCACTAGCATCACAAACTAGCACCTGTAACCAATGTCTCAACAAACGAAAAACACCAGCACTTCACCCAGTCACCAACAGGGACAGCAGGAGCACCAATTCAACATTACTTCCTCACCCATGCTGTACGTAGTCAGCTTCCGCTTTCTGAGGTGAATTATCTACTGAATTTCTGGCGTAGAAATCTAACGATCCATCAAACTTGGCTGGGGGACCTCGGAGGGATGCGGGTTTAAATAGCAAGCCCGAGTTTCAGGCCTACCACGCTCGCGATCCATATGTGCCTAGGGGAGAAATTATCAATAGCCTCGAAGCCCCATTGGTTCGTTGAGATACATTTTAAACGTCATATCCTTTGCTCATAGCTACCTATAGAGTCGTGAGGAATTACATAGAAGGACAGAGGAGCTAAATAAGAAGTAGAGTTGTACCCAAGGCTGCACATATGTTGTACAAAGAGTATCTGGGAGTCCCGGCATGGTATGGGCATCTATCGATCATGAGTCAAGTAACCGTACGCGAGCGATACTAGTATGTACCACCCGAGCTTAAAGGATATCATCTAAATATCGACGTTCGCAAATGGCAACCGCCCCTCCAAAAATAATGCCCATCCTTGGAATCTGTCCGGCAGAACATCGAAAGGTACACAAGTGTACAAATGTCGGGCAGGCACTCCCATCTCCGTGCACAAAGAGACCGTGTTTCTGTAAAACGCTATGCGGCTGAGAGAAATTCGTCATGCGCGAAGGCAACCTCCCCCAGTCTACGGACGCTGAATGCCTTAAAGAGTAGCTCGTCTTGTATATCACAACCTTCGATCGTGGCAGTGAAATGAAACTCGGCCCTGTCATACTCGCTTGCGGTGAGCTCGACGATGACAGAGACATAAGATGCATGGAGAAATGTGCGTGCACTGCGCAGCGCAAAGGCATCGTGGGGTCCAAAGGATTGTAGGATGAACTCTCTCGCAAGGTCGTAAGTCCCCTGATTGCTCGCAACAACAACCTTCCAGACGGTGCACCAGAGCACCATTGAAGAAGGTTGTCCTTCCATCGCTATGATTTCCTGTAAGATATCTATTGCTTCAGGAAACCTGCCATCGAAAAATGCAATTTCTGCGAGGACCTGAAGTACCTCCTTGCGGGCGGAGACGTCCAGTACCTACACATTGCAGGAACAAGTGCGGGTTCACCTGAACAATGTCCCCCCCATAGTAAAATTTGGCCCGCCAGTGTCAAATCTTGGACTGCAAACCCCGGAAGTGGTCTTCCATGGACTTCACAAATAATTTGTCTGCAGATCATTTGACTGTATATGTCCGGGCATTATCCAAGTAATACCAGATGTCGGCTTTCGTTGATTTGCTGAGATACTTCCAAGAATCAGACCGTTGCAAGGCCTCCAAGACCTGCCGTGATTAAATGAAGCGACCTTGACATCTGTATATGTCTGCAAAGTCGATAACACAGTGTGCCGCGTTGCCGTGGTCACCGGCGGTAAGATAGAGTGGCTCGGCAGCTTTGAAAGCCTTCATTCCTTCTGTGAGCTGAGAAAGAGTGAAATAGAGCCAGCCTAGCTGCTGCAAGCAGTTTGCTTTTAGCGCCCAGGTGGAGGGGTATATCTGCGATGTTGAAAATAGCTGGAGCAAGGGTAATTGCGCGAGGTAGATACAACTTCAAGCACCTCGAAAACTGCCAGAAAATGCGGTATGTCTCCTCCGTGCCACATGGGACGCGTGCATGGTTGAAAGCAACTACATGCTCAATGTTTAGGTGATCCGAGATGACGATATCAGCATGATTATCTCGTGCTTTTGAACACTGCCGAACTGTGTGATAGTAGATGGCGCGTATCTCTTGCAAACAACTGGAATCAGGTGACTCTAAAGAATCTCGCACAAAATGTTGAATGGGCGCGAGCATCTTTATGAAGTTGTGTTGACGATAAATGAGAGATTGCATGCATAGAACGTTGCATATAGCGTCAACTTGCGGGAGCGATAGCAACAAATTGCTAGCCAGGGACTCGTCGAGACCCTGGGCAAGAAAGCGATGACACCCAAAGCGTGACGAACATCCTCTCCGAGTTTCTGGACCGGGGTCCGACGGCGAGTTGAGCGACAGCTGCATAGTGTATGTCAAATTTTGCAGCTTTCCCTCGCCGTGGTCTAGTACCGCGCTATGTCGACCCTTCCATCTCTCCAGGAGCATGGCTGGAGACGAGCCATTTTTCTGCGCAGCGTTGGCGAGTAGATTGATGGAAATAGGGTGAAATCCCAACTCCTCAAGCAGGTTTGAGATTTCTCCCTCCGCATTGCTACGACTGGCGGGGCGGTAAATCCGAAAGAATGCCTTTAGAGCAGAGTTCAAATCCAATGGTGGAATATCCTTGGTTATCCACTGTATATTGGGTGCATTCCTTCCACTACGCGACGTGAGAATCAGAATGACGCTGGGGATGTCTGCAATTTCAGAAATAGCTGGTGGTATTTCCCTCAGCGCCGAGGGCGCATCGGCCTCTTCGAAGGTCTCAGCATTATCAAGGATGACGAGGGCGCTAGCCGAACACAACCATAAAGCACGGAAGGACGCGGTGGGGGCACAGCTGGGAGATACCTAACTGAATTTAGAGGACACGCATCGCCCGCCGAAATGACAACTTACCTTTGGACATTCCTATTGAAATTTCTGAGGTCCGTGTGTTCATTTCAATCCTCATGCCAACGAGCATTTCAGCCTTATGACGGCATTCAGCAGCGGAATTTCTGAAAGAGTTCTAGAAACATACATTGAACAATGGGATAACGCGATCTAAATCCTTCTCCCATCTAGTAATCCAGTCGTGATCACTCGTGACGGATAAGAGCCTTTGCCAAAATCCTTGCTCCTTCTTTGAGGCTACTTCACTATAGATACGGTTTACTGATCTGTAGGATGTCGTCAGTTTTCAGTGATGGTGGAATTAGTTCGGTTCACTTGTTAAGATACGTTAAAGCATGCCCCAAGGAGCCTCACAGATCGTCGTCAGTAGCATCCTTTGTTGCTCTTTCAAGGATTTGCGTAATATTATTGCACTGGTCGACCGTTGCCTGTAAATTGGACTGGTTCTTGATTACTGACTATACGGACCTGAGGATTCTTCGCGGAAAACTTCCAAGGGTTAGGTCAACGCACCTGCGTAATAATCAGGTTGTTTGCAACCGTTCCAAGGATGCCTTTCGCCAGGTCGATAGATACGAGGTCTCTCGTCATGTTGATGACCGTTATAGTAGCGCCCAGCAGTTGACCCACACTGTTGTCCTACAACTCCTTGGTTTCGGAAGAGGGTTGTTTAGTAATCGGGCCGTTCTATGTTAGATTGAATATACGACGTGGCAACTCAATATGTGCCTGCTTGCCTTTGGCTTTTTGAATAGCATCACCTGGGTGGTGGATTTAGATTCCAGCGGGGTGGGGGGTTTTTTTCTGAGAGAGAAGGCACCGAGTCTGGCCCCAAGCTGACGGCATGGCGCGGATCCCTAAGCCACAAACTTATAGAGCGCCAACTCACCAGGAAGGAATGCATTTACACAGACCCGTTTAGGCGGGTACCCCGTCCGACTGTAATGCCCACTAAAACTCCCTGGTGGTCGTTACAGGAATCGAACCTGCAACCCCCTGGCTTGAGGTCGGCGACACTAGTTCCAGGAGCTTGGAGGCATATCCACATTATGACTAGCGATTCTTCTCCTCGCCCCTCCAGTGAGTTTCAGTCATTAAATGAGCACCTCCGCCTTTACTCGCATGGAGGGTGAGAAAATGCATGTATAACATGCCAGCATCTATCATATTCAGAAAGTTGACGCTTTTAATTTTCAAGGAGCTCGACGCAGATTTGGGAGTGTTAAGTCGTTCATGAAGTGGTCAACAGGGTTGCCCAATAAGTCAGGCTTATTATATACTGGGTGATCAAGCACCGTGATTCACTCTTCTCCTACCGTCACTCCTACACCAAATTTGAAAACCCTCGGCTCGTGCTGCTGAAAATATTGGTTGTGGCACACTCGTACAAAGGCTAGGCTTTCTCCCTCGGGACACCTTTCCCCTTGCATCTCTCCAAGTCATAACAGTAAGTCCTCCCCCTTGCTCGCCTGGGCACAAGGCAGCACCAAAGAGCTTTTCAGTGGACGTCATGTCCTGAAGGCTGACAACAACATGCTCAGCTACGAGCCGGCTTGCCGTGAATCGCCCTGGAGGACGAAATCGCAATAATACAGCATAGAGCTGTCGAGTCTCAAATAGAGGTGCGAGGAAAGGAGCGGAAGATTGGACAGGGAAACGTGAAGGAGTGTCAGAATCCAGTTGTCCGAGAGCAAATGCTACATGAAGTTGCTCACTGGAATCAGACGGATTACTCAGCGATCTAAACGTTGATAAAGTCTTGTCTCCCTTCCTTCATCTGAGTCTATAGTGTTGCAGCGAAAGGTCTCCGATGTATCACTGTGGTAAAACGTCGGAGTTGTGCCGACTGGCGCGTTTCTCGTAATTCGTCGACACGTGACCAGAAGTCAATTTCTCCTCATCGAGTACGAACACGACTTACCACTTCAGCTTTATGCAGGGAATTAATAAAAGTATGATTCAAAGAGGCATTCATTGTGCGCTCTCAACGATAAGTTTCACCCAATGCATTTACATAATTGCCATCACCAGCAGCTCCCTGAGAGCTCCGCCTCTGCCAGTACTTGATTCCGGCGCCCTAGCACTCTCCCTTCCTGTCGCCCGTACACCAAAGAAAACCTTGCCACCCTCCTGGCTTGCGCTGCTGAATTGGTCGTGGCTACATTTGGCCTGTCGCACAAAGCTAGGCTTTCTCGCTCAGGATACCTATCTCCTTGCAGCTCCTCCAAAGTCATAACATTAAGTCCCCCTTCTGCTTACCTGCGTAGAATGGGTGACCGGAATGCTTTTGGTAGATACCATGTCCGGAGTCCTGACGACAGCATGCCCAGCTCGGCTTGTCACGAACCGCCTTTGAGGACGAGCTCTCAACAAAGAGCATACCTGGATCGAGCCGTCGAGTGTCAAATGGAGGTGCGGGGGAAAGGGGCGGATTATTGGAGGTTATTTCTGGAATCCAGTGCATTAAGCAGGTGCGATATGTAATAAAAGTGCTGCTGCTCACCAGGAACAACTCAGACAGGCCAATCATACGCAAATTTACAGAGACGATACTTGATCGGATTATAATACGCCGCTCGAGCAGTTCACAACGCTGACCGATCACCTGAATGCCCTCGCACGCCGGACTCTGGGCTCCCATTTCTTTCAACTGAATATTTTACATAAGTCCGGCGCTTGCTGCTACTGAGGAGTTAAACGATCCTATAGCACTACGAGATATCGTACCTGAATATTTATCCAAGCTCGAGAAGGAGCTTGTACAGCTTGGATGGTCTAGATTCATACCACGAACCGCAGGCTTATAGGCTCGAAGCGACTAAATCAACTTGATGGAGTCCCCGCCTGGATCAACTTGTTTGGTTTAGAACTAGGTATCGACCCTCCCGCACCCAATAACACACCATCAGCTACTACGTCGTCTTCACCGCTCGCCATCCCAACGTATCCCCTTCTACAATCTTCAACACCCCGGTAGCACCTGACTCAGGCAGATGCCTTCGCATCCTCAACCATCGCACCGTTAACTCCTACCCTTCATCGCTCAGGAAATCGGATTGCCATATTCTTCTCTTGAAGACCATGAGCTGAATCACTTTTCTGCGATTGCTAATGGTGGATTTCTTTTACCTTTTCGTGAACTTTCAATCTGAGGATATGTCACGGACGATAGCATGAGTGCGCCCGTCTAAAAGACTTGTGAAGAGAAACTCGAGCGATCGGACTAGCAGGGGACGAGATCTGCCTCAATGCCTAGCTATCCCACTATTCAGCCCACACATCAGTAGTTCCGTTCATTTCTCTCTTCTATGTCTCGAGTGGGGACCCCCAGGCGAGGGGCGGAGTAGCAGCCGCATAGCACCGTAGCTTAGTAGTCGGCCACCTTCTCGTAGCGTAGCTCTTCACCGGCACGCTGTCAGGTTTAGCCCACTCCACTGCCTTCTATCACGAATATATAATCCTAATGAAACAACATAAGTAATTGTGCGAGATACAACCTCGAGAGGCTTTTTGTACATGATTTACATAATGTTCGTAAATGGTGACTGCCCCTCCAAAAACAATGCCCACCCTTCAAATCTTTCCGGCAGAGCAGAAAACGGGAAACAAGTGTAAAACTTTTTGGGAGGTAATCCCATCTCGGCACACAAAGACCGTGTTTTTGCGAAGTGTTCTGCAGCTAAAGCAAAATTGCCACGCGCAAAAGCAATCTCCCCCAGTCCACGGACGCTGAACCCCTTATAAAGCAGGTGGTCTTGCATATCGCAACCTTCGATCGTGGCGGCGAATTTAGACTCGGCGATGTCATACTCGCCTGCGGTGAGCTCGATGTGTGCAGAGTCATAAGAAATGCGGAGGAATGTAAGTGCATTGTGCAGCTCGAAGAATTTGAATGGTCCCGAGGCTTTGCGGATGAAATCTCTCGCAAGGTCATAATTCCCCTGCTTGCTTGCAACAACACCTTTCCAGGTGCCATACCAAAGGACAGATTCTGGATCTCGTCCTTCCAAGTCGGACTCTTGTATGATCTTCTGAAGGTTATCCATTGCTTCGGACAGCCTGCCTTCGAACAATGCAGCTTCTGCGAGTACATGACGCGCGGCTTTGCAATCTTCGAGATGTGTGCATTGCAGAAGGACATTTTCTAAGTGCATCTTGGCCTGGACAATGTCTCCTCCATAATATAATTTAGCAGCCCAGTGCCAAACCTTGGACTGCAAACCGCAGTTATGATCTTCCAGGGACTTCACAAATAATTCGTCCGCAGACGCTGTGAATGTGTACATCCGGGCTTTATCCAAGATATACCAGGCTTCGGCTCTCGATGATTCGCTGAGATGCTCCCACGAGTCGGAGCGTTGGAAGTCCTCCAAGACCTGCTGGGATTGAATGAAGCGGCCTTGAGTTCTGTATATGTCTGCACAGCTCGTAACACAGTGTGCCGCGTTTTCGTGCTCGCCGGCAGTGAGATAAAGTGCCTCGGCAGCTTTGAAGGCCTTCATCATTTCTGTGAGCTGAGAAAGCAGGCCGTAAAGCGTGCCGAGATACCACAAGCAGCATGCTTTCTGCGTCCACGTGGAGGGGCTCTCTGCAATGTTGAAAATAGCTGGGGTAAGGGTAGTGGGGCGAGGTAGATGTAATTGTAAGAACCACAAAAACTGCGAGCAAGCATTATAAGTGTCTCCCGTGCCATCTGAGATGTGGGCGAGGTCGAAAGAAACCACATGCTCAATGTTGAGGTGATCCGAGATAACAATATCAGCATAGTTATCGCGTTGTCTTGAACACTGCTCGATAGTGTGATAGTAGAAGGCGCGTATCTCTTGCAAAGAAATGGGATCAGGTGGTGGCAACGAATCTTGCACATAATATCGAATGGGCGCGAGCATCTTGATAAAGCTGTCTTGACGATAAACGAGAGATTGCCTGCATAGGACATCACATATAGTATCGGCTTGCGGGAGCGACGGCAACAAATCGCTAGCCAGGTCGTCGTGGAGACCCTGGGGTAAGAAGGCGATGATAGCCAAAACACGACGGGCATCCTCTCCAAGTTTCTGGATTGATGGCGAGCTGAGTGAGAGATGCATAGTGTATGACAAGCTTTGCAACTTTCCCTCGCCAGTGATCAAGTACTACGCTGTGCAGATTGCTCCATCTCTTCAGCAGCATGGGTGGAGACCAGCCGTTTTCCTGCGCAGCGTTTGCGAGTATCTGGATGGAAAGAGGGTGAAATTCCAATTCCTCAAGTAGGTTTGTGATTTCTCCCTCCGCATTGCTACGGTTGACTGGGCGGTAAATTCGAAAGAACGCCTCCTGAGCCGAGCTCGAATCCAATGGCGGAATATCCTTTGTGATCCATTCTACATCGGGTGCATTCCTTCTGCTACGTGACGTGAGGATAAGAATGACACCGGGGACAGCTGCAATATTAGCAATGGCTGGTGGTATTTCTCCAAGTGCTGACAATGCACTGGCCTCCTCGAAGGTCTCAGCATTATCAAGAACAACGAGGGCGCTAGCGGAGCTAAGAAAGGAGGATATCTGGCGCACAGGATCAGCGCCACCAAGCTCTATGCCAAGGGCTCCCGCAAAACGAGTCGTGAAAGCTTCAAATGTAATGGTCAAAGGATCCAGGCCATCGTAGGTCACGAAGAAGCGCCTATCCATGAATTTCTCCATGACAAGTGTCTCGTTGAGGATAGCTTTGGCAAGAGAACTTTTTCCCATGCCTCCTGGACCGAACAACGCAATATGCTCATTGTTGACGACGAGATTCGTCAACTCTGCTACGAGATCCTGACGGCCATAAAACATGGAAGGACGCGGTGGGGGAACAGGTGGGAGATACCTGATCGCAATTAGAGGACACACATCGCCCACAAAAATGATAACTTACTTCATGATATTTGGGACATTAATGTTTCTCTCGAGTCCCAAAGACAGTTTCTGCATTCTAATCGCGATGCCAGCGATCGCTTCAGTCTTTAGATGTTATTCAGCAGCAATTAAGCACGAGTTCCAGAGACGCACATTGAAGAGTAGGAGCACGCGATCTAGATCTTTCTCCCATCCCAGCAATTTGGTCGCGATCAATCGTGACGGAGAATAACCTCTGCCAAAATCCTTCCTCCTTCTTTGAGGCTACTTCGCTATTGATCCGATTTACTGTTCTGCATGGTGCCATCAGTTTCCAGGCAACAGCTATATTCGTTTAACTCACTTGTTAAGCTGGGATAAGGCATGCCCCAAGTACCCTCGCAGATCGTTGTCAGTAGCATCCTTGGTTGTTCTTTCAAGAATTTCCCTGATCGTCTGGCACTTGTAGACTATCGCCAGGAAATCGGACTTGTTCTTGATCACGGACTATACAGACGGTCCTGAGGATCCTTCACGAAAAAAATCCGAGGGTTATGCCAACGCACCTGCGCAATAGTCAGGATATTTGCAACAGCTCCGAGGATACCTTTCGCCAAGTCGATGGGTACGAGGTCTTTCGTAGCGTTGATGGCCGATATAGCGGCACCTAGCAATTGAATCACATCGTCGTCCTGCGACTCCTTGGTTTCAGAAGAGTGTTGCTTGGCATTTGGTTCATTCTATGTTAAATTAAGATACGGCGGTGACACTTAGATATATCTGCTTTCTTGCCTTTGGTATTTTGGATCGCATCTCCTGGGTTCGTGTATTAGTGGAAGGTGGTGGGAGTGGGTTAAATAAACGCCTCTAGAGTCTGCAAGTCATTCGCCCTAGGGTGAGAAACTGCGCAGCACAAATGCAATGCAGCGTCTACCATTAGTGCGGCTGGAGGCAGAACTTGACATTTTTGGTTCATTCCGGTGGTTGTGGCGGAATCGCCACTTCTGCCACCTGATGGAATTCCAGAGTGTTGAATTTGAGCTACGAGTATAACATAGACGAAGATATCACAATTGAATAAGAAATCTGCCCAGTGATTTCAATGTCAATGTTCATCGCTCAGAATAATGGTAACATACCGCAGAAGCTTGTTGTTTGCACGAGAAGTCTGTTCCTTCGTTAGGAGGTAATCCACAAATCTGTCAAATGTGTCCTTCTGGCGTTTGATCAATGATGGCCTTGACCGCCGGTCCTAAACCACCTTCTGCGGCAGAAGAGGTGCTGATGCCAGCATTAATACCAGCCACGACTTTCCCACCGGCTTTCCTATTAGTCTCCCCTAGCCAGACCATATAGAAGGAAGACAGTCGTTTCTTCTTGATTATGTGCCTTTTCCATCAGAAGCGCGTGCGCTTACTTTCGCACTAAGATTATTGCCCCGTCCTTGGATTTGAGGGGGATTATCAGGCAGTGTATACACGACCAAAAATATCACCTGGACTTACAATTAGATACTTTGTCTCGTTATACAAAATTGAATTTGATACCTGCAGATATGGAGCGTCCACTCATGATGATGATACGTGGCTACCGAAAAGAAAACACTGGTTCATGTTGGTATCGAACTTCGAAGTAGCAATCCAGAATTCTTTCTCTGCGATTCCCCGCAATCTGACATTTTGCCAAATTCTGCCAGCGACATTCTGCCATCTGCCAATTCATGCTAAACCGGTTGAGAATTACATCAAGGCAAACCGGGATCTGATGAAGTAGAGGCGTGCTACAGTCATCACATCATGCGATGCCACCAATATGTGCCCTACTCGTTTTGTCCCTGGAGGACGAACTCTCAACAATACCGCATACCTTGATCGAGTCTCAAATCAGTAGAGCTGCGAAGGAAATCAGCCGAAGCTCGGATAAGAAAATGCGAAGAGTGGAACTTATTCGAGAGCATTGGACTCTGGGATTCCATTTCTTCCAGCCTAATATCTTAACTTACCGCTGCTGAGGGCGTAGACGCCCTACGTCGACCTGCAAGATGTCATGCCTAAATATTTCTCTAAGATTGAAGATGAGCCTGTATGGGGAAAAGGCGGAGCGGTGAGACAGCCTTCAGATCTATGCCATTAACGGTAGGCTGATAGTCGAAGAGACTAGATTAACTGGGTGAACTTTTCACCCAGATACACTGGCTTCACTCAGAACAAGTACCCGACGTTACGCTATCGGCTGGCCCTTCGCCTGCAACACTCGCCGGTAACAATTGTCTCAACTCGAGCATAGATCCATTCGTGTCCTCGACCGTTGGTTCATCCACTCCTACTCCTTCATCTCTCCAAAAATGTGGATACCGATATACTTTTCTGTCGTCATTTCCCGCACTCACCTTTCAGAGGTCCCAAATCGATGTGAATACCTCGCGTCGCTTGGACAATCGACTCGACTACTCACTGCAAGGCTCGTGCCTGGAACAACTCCTAGATTCTTGCGTATCGAACCAAAGCAGGATACCTGGGCCAGAAGACTTCATGCAGAACTGAACCAGCTCATGAGGGGGCGGTGTGAAATGCAGATCCAAGTCATGAATGACCAACTGGAAGCACTTTGGCGACATATAGATATGAGGCATGGATCTCGTATCAATCCTGTGTGCAGAAAAAAGTACGTCTTGTCATTCAATTGCAATACCAAGATATCGCTCCACCGATATCCTACACTACGAGTCGTCTTACTAGATATCACTTACCAATATCACTTGAATTTGTCAGTGATCTCTTTCCCCGGCGCTTTCCCAGTCCCTTCCTGTCGCTTATACAATGCCAGCTTGCCGTCCTTCCCCACCAAACTCAAGCCCACCCCCACGTCTTCCTTTTTCACAGCATCCAAGATATCCTGAAGCACGAGTTTCAAATTCGCAACCCCCTGTTCAGCACGGCGGGCATGAGGTTTCATGCTCTCCGCGCCAAGCTCTACCTTCTCTAGGGTGTTAAGTTGCCGCGTTCGTGCTTCGCGATATACAAGAATGCTGTCTGAGAAAGATAGAGCTGTGGATATACTTCTTCCCAGTCCAGCTCGCGGTGTGCCGCCCGCGTCTTGAGCTCGATGAGAGAGGCTTGCGGGACGATTGTGCGTGGCGTCGTGTGGGTGATGGAGACGCCACGGACGGTTGGCGTTTGAGGCTTCTTAGTGGCCAGGCCGGTGGAGGTGGAGGCAGGAGCTCCACCGATGCCCAGGCCTGAGAAGGCTTCTAAGAGGTCGTCTTCGTTGTTCGTGTCGTTGGTGGCAGATGTGCAGGCCTCGATCATGAAACGAAGGAGAATCTTCAGCCCACCCATATCCTATCAAAAATCTTGAGATGAGTGACTCGGCGGAGAATGCAAGTGTCTTACGATAGAAATCATCCGATGATGTCCAGTAGCTCTCTCGCAGCCACGAGTGACTCTCGTGGCTGCTTTCTCGTACTCGTGTCCAAACCCCCTGAAGCCTTGAACAGTCTCCGCGTTCTTGGATTCAAGGCGTGTGAACAAGCACGTCGAGCCGGCCAAATCGACATCGATGCGGAAATCATTCTCATCCGATGAGCCACTGGCCCAGCGGAGGAGCTTGCGAAGGTTGTTGCGGTCGGTGATGAAGTCGAATTGCTTGTAGTCGAAGCTAGGATGCATATCGTCGATGGCTGCGAATATGGGGATGAGGGGAGACACTTTGCGCATGTAGAATGCATTTTGGTCCACAAAGACTGTTCCAGAGTCAGCTGGGACGCGACGGGGCCCGGAGAACCAAACTCTAGGGGAGCCTATACGACATCAACAGGACACTGATTAACATGATCTTACTATGATATGAAGGATTTACTCACCAGGGACAGCGATGGTTGGCTCCCCAGCCTCGATCCATGAGTATGAAGCGATGGGCTTGACGTTTGTGATGTCGACAGGGCTAAGGGAACTTTTGCTCCGTTTAAACTTGGTGACCTCGTCTGCAAGGTCTTTGAGGATGAAGGAAGTGTCAGGTTGCGAGGATTCTGTTACTTTGGGAGGGCGAAAGGGATACGCCTGACGCGTACCAGCTGGTGCGTTCCGCGGGGTGGACATTGTGAATGGTAGGAACGAGAGTTGTGAGGTGGGAGAAAGCAAGGAAGAGCGCGCTATATAAGACTCGAGGGTGTCTTCGGAACAGCTGAGACTCCAAAGTCCGATAAAGGGGTGCGACGATCCTTTGCGCCCACCGTACTAAGCCCATATGATCCAGCAGAGAACCACTGACCTAAGAGTACTTACATGTAGACCGAGCTCTGTTATGGGCGTGATACAACGCTGTCAGCCGCGTCGTGAAGAGAATCAAGATGGCAGCGAACTAAGGATAGAGCCGAGCAAGATCCCATTTGGACGACACGAATACCGATTGCCAGGTTCACTGGCGGCTGACCTCAGCCAAGCCTCAGGCCGCGCCTCGTTCTTCTCACTACCCCAATGCCGTCTTCGACCTCAAGGCATGGTGCGCAGGCGAGCTACATATCCTCTGAGATCACCTACTACTTACCTTCCCCCAGATAGTACGCAGGTGGCCTCCGAGCACCCCCTTCCTCGCCTTGACAAACAATCAAGTCCAACGACTACGCCTTAGACTTGCAGAAGAGGGCTAGTACTAGACAGCGGTCTGGCGGTTGTTTGGATCTAAGGCTTTTGCCAAACAACTACCACTTCCGACTAATGACAAACATCCTGTCGTCCACAGCTTGTTCACGGATGCAAATATTTAATGGATGTTGACATGTTATGACAGGTCATATCAGAGAAACTAAATAGCAGGAGTTCGTGGCGACTCCCCACTCGTTGTACTCCTGATGCTACATTCCTCATTACCTCGGTCACCGCAACCGATCTTGTTTGTTACAAGACTTGGACCTCCACGCTGTATCGAACATGCCAGCAACATGCTACGTACATACCGTTTCCAATGGACGTACAGAAAACCCCCTTCTTGCCCCACCATTCCCATTTCTGATGAGAGTGCCAGTTGATCGGTCACGTAAGTTGCTGGCATCTTCCATGCAGGCTGTCGTTGACCTAAGACCCATAACGGAACGATTGTTCAATAGGACCGTCCATAAATGTGCCCCCCTCACGAGTCACGAGTCACGACCCCACCTCGCGCGATGACTGGGGATATGATTGTGACTTTGTCTGATGGCACAAAACACGTGAACGGGGTGATGCAGTCGGACTAGAGTCTTTCGATCTTGAACAATTGTTCAAGTTGCGTGATCGGGTCTTTGGTTGATTGACAGCCTGCATGGAAGGTGTCATCCAAGACTATTCTGGAACTGTCCGGCTTGCACCCTTGTTTTAAATGGGGGTGGCGGGGTAAGAAGGGATTGTTCTCTACGTCATGTAGCGGTCACGTGCGAGCCACCTTATAGCATGGGTGTCGAGATCTTGGAATGTACGAGAACTATGGACCCGAGAAACGATTAGGTCAATAACGAACATGCCCCTAATGTGTTAGGCAGGTGCGATGTTTACTTAGTCTTACAGTAATGGAAGCATATGACAAACTCCTACCAGCAGGCCCAAACTTTAATGAGTAAGGCTGCAATGGAATCCGGCGTATGATATGCCCGGAGCCATGTGAGTCGTGAACCAAGACCAAGACTCAGGGCTGAGTTCGGCATCTGGGATCTAATGGAGCTCCAGGAAGGTATAAAGGTCGCAGCACATCCTGCTATTATTCTCTATCAGCAACCCCCTCTCACTCAGCTACTCAGCAGAATCTAGTATTAGCACTCACACGATGATAACCTCTGGCATTTACAAGATCCGGAATGTCTTGCACCCTGGCATGTATGCCAACATGGCAAGTGCCACTAACAAGCTCATGGCGTTTGTGGAGGGCGACACAGTACGCGTGCATCATTAACGTGCATCCTATACTCATCGATGCCCATAGTTCGAGGTCGATGTAAAGGACCACCTCAAGGGTCTTGTGACCATCAAGGATAAATATATCGGCGAGCTCAGTTATGTTGTGATCAATGATAAGGTCGGTCTATCTGGTATCGACAGATACAAGAATGCTAACAGCGTGAAATGATAGACAAACGAGGTCGAAGGCAGCACCGAGCCCCAAGTGCTTCAGTTGTCCACGCAGAGCGGCAGCGGGGACGAATATCTGTGAGTAGCAATGGTCTTCGCTTCTAATATCGATTGCTGTTACCGAGAACTCATTATTATCCCTTGTTTGCAGCATTCATGTGATGGACGTCGACAATGTGTGGATCTTGGGCAAGGCCCTCAATAAGGATTATACGTATGCCCAGGTTCATGTTTCGTTGGTGACCCTTTTTGGCTTTACGACTGACGTCACTGCAGATCACTACTGCTCCAGCTCCTCCTCCGACTGATGAGGACTACAAGAAGAAATACTGGAAGTTCGAGAAGCAGTGAGCTCGAAGAAGATTCGAATCCAAGGAGACGTAGTTGCTGTTGCTTCAACTTGTCTGTCGGAGAATCTTTGTATGATTAGCCCACGGTCGAGATGTATGAATACTACGGAAGAACCGTTTGTGACCGGAGTCCTGATGTTGCTGCTCTCAAACCGAACCTTTGCGTATCTTTTTTGTGACCCCTGTCTGTCTCCTTCAAATCAACCTTAAAACCTCGTTAATATCTTCTCTGTCCTTGAGTCTTGTTCTCGTCAGTCCATCAGTCCATCATGATTCATAATGAAGAGGACGAAAGGTTCGGGAAGAAAAGTACTACAGTACAACAAGGAGGCATACATAGTTCCTAAGTTTTCAAAAGAGCGTCGCCGTTAAAAACTACACAAATAACATAAATTTAAGCCGCCGCGCTTGAACCATAAATGAAAGTGATCATCGGGACCTCATCAAGAAAAAAAGAAGAAAAAAAGAATGCAGGAAGTCATGCTCAGCACCCATCCTCCTCCGCAACACTCATCCCCCGGAACCCACTCTTCCATCCCGCAGCACCCCCACTACCGCCATCAATGCTCGCCCGCGGCTTGAAGCTTTCCTTGCGAATGCGACCCATCGTCTTTTTAGCTGCTGGCTCCTTGGAATAACTGGACGCCATCGGGCCAGAATTATACGATCGTGAGCTCGAAAGATAGTGTGAGCTCACGCTCGAGCCCAGATGACCGCTCGTTAGGCTCGTTTGCGACGTCGAGCGTGGCATCGTTGAAGGATTGCGGCCCCATCCTAGTGCGGCGTACCCCTGCGTGTTCTTCGAGTGTGAAGGCATAGGAGGCGCGTTTTGAGTAGCTGGACGGGGGAGAGTTGAATTGCCGCTGCGTGTCCGGCTCCTTGTGGGAGATGTTGGACGTGTTACGGTATGATGCCCGCCATCGGCGAGTTTCTGTCGTTTATTGGTTCCGTGGGTATTCGAAGACATCGAGGATCCTGGCCGGACGGCTGGTGTCACTACGCCGTGGTGAGCTGCGTTGGATTTGCCAGGGACATAACCTCCTTTGGAAGCGCCGTTTGCTCCGCTGGTAGCGGCGGGCTTCAGGCCCTGCGAAGCCCCCTTGTTGAGCGCTTGCATAGAGTACTGAGATGTCGGCGTTCTCTTGCGGTTCTCCTGTTCGTTCGACGATGCATTCTCCATCAACAGCTGGAGCATGCTTTCGCCATGTACGAGGAAAGCTCGTCCGTGCGTTTGCTCCCATGTAGGCAACGACGACAGTAGTTGTTGTTCAAGCTGTTCGGAAGAAAATAAGACGGCAGCCCAAGAAAGTATGAACAGGAATCGACAGACCTTGGGTTTCTCTTTCCCAACCCTCTTTCGCATTTTCTCTTCCCGAAGCAATCTGCCCGGATCTCGTCCCCCGCCCCTTCCTAGAAGGCGCGTCTGATCGCTCGCGACCCGCCCGAGCTCCTTCTCTTCATCACAAATCTCGATGTACTTCCTGATCGACGTCAGCAGTGGCATCTTGAGTCGCACCTCCGCTTTCAGGCGGGCAATCTCGTGCTCATGCTGGCTCAGCAAATCCTCCGTATGTTCATCTACACCATCCCCTCAGTCAAAAGTCCACGAAGAGCGCAACAGAAGAAGAAAAAACTCACCATCAGCAAACGCCGCAAAATCATTCCGCTCATCTTCTCCTACCATAAGCTCCTCCCACAAGCTTTCGATTTCTGTACGAGCATTAGCGATAAATTCGCCCATTCTCTCGCGTTTCAAATCAATCATGCGTTCTAGTTCCTCTTCATACGCCTGAATCACAGGAGGGGTCGTCCCGCGATTCGCCTCGACAAAACCGTCCATAGCCTCCTCGCCCACGCCCATACGTCGCCAAAGCGCCTCCAGTTGATCGTACATAGCTTGGATGTGCACTTCTCGCCGCCTCTTGAGCTCAGCCAGTTCCGCGTGCAGTCTATTAGCCCATGCTAGAATCCCCTGCGTCGGTTCGACACCGCAGGAATTTAGGAGTGGTCCAGGTGACGAGTCTTGTGGTGAGGAGTCGAGTAATTCGATGAAACGTCCGAGGGACCTGAGGTATTCGCGTTCGTCGGGGAATTCGGGGACTTCTGGAAGGGGCGTGGAGTGGTGTGGGGGTGAGGACGATGGACAAAGCAAGTGGTTATCGGATGTCCCAAGAGATGAGGGCGTAGGAGTTGATGGTCCGATGGTTGACGATGCGAATGGATCTGCGTTGGGATTAAGACGGGTGCTACCGGCGGATGAAGATCGTGGCAGGGAATATCTTGGTACAGCGAGCGTTGAAGATGAAGTAGCAACCGTTGGAGTGACAGTGGGTGCGGGAGAATCGATGCCTAGTTCTGAGTAAAGCCAGTCGATCTGGGTGAAGACTTCACCCAGTTGATTTAGTCGTTTCGACTACAAACCTGCTGTTAGTGGAATAGAGCTAAACAAGGGCCAGACTAACTCACCACTTCGCCTTTTCCTCGTACAAGCTCCTTCTCGAGCTTGGAGAAACGTTCAGGCATAACGTTTCGCAGTGCTGAAGAGTCGTCTAGTTCCTCGGCAGCAGCGACTGCTGGGGTTAAAATATCAGGTTGAAAGAAATGGGAGCCCAAAGTCCGTGCGAGGGCATTAAGGCGATTGGTCAATGTTGTAAGCTGCTCGAGCTTTGTATGGTAGATCTAACAAACAATCGTCTCAGCAGATCACGCATAGAAAGGATCCGACTCACTTGTCTTAGTTTCTCCTGGTACACGGTAGCTCCTTCATATCTCCTCGGCAAGACCTTCTCAGCTTTCAGATCGCTGAGCGATCCAGCAACTTTAGCATGTGTACCAAGCGCTCTCGAATACCGAGCGCAACCAGACTCCACTCCTTCGCATCTTCCTATCCAATCGTCTACTTGTTTCCTCCGCACTTCTATCTGAGACTCGACGGCTTTGGTCAGGGTATGCTGTAATGTTTGGAGTTCATCTTCTAGGGCGGTTTGTGGTAAGCCGAGTTGAACATGGAGTGTCGGCAAAAGTTGGGTTTGGGCGTTAAGGTGTGTGTGTAATGTTGACAGTAGGGTGCTCAATGTCAGAGACGACGAGGAAGACATATTTGACGCGATGAGAGATGTGGCATCCACCAAAATTCGCGTTGGCGACCAATTTCGAACCAAACCGCGTGCTCCGGTCACGTGCCGTTGATTTCACGCGTCCACAACTACGCGCCGCAACGCGTGGGTAGTGGATGATGGATCTATGTAGTGAAACCTACAAGGTGGAACAAAAGCACTTGATCCTACATAATAACTTGTCATACCAATATGTAGTCATGCTGATACAAGTATTTATTCACCACCGAGCTCAGTTCAGCGCACAACAGACTTCACACACGACTCCTCTTACTTATCATTTACACAAGTCCCCAAACATTCGAGCGCCGCACACTAACAGACCTCGCGGGAAGTATCATGAGGATATAATGGTGTCTTTGATCCATGTACCAGCTCTGTTCTACGCGGATAGCAGTAATGGACAAGTAGAGCAAGGTACAATATGTCCTGTCTAGTTGCCACCCATCTCCTTGGCGAGCTGCTCAGCCTTGGACTTGACGTCCTCGATCGTACCAGCCTGTTTGGCAACGTCAGCAGATACCTTAACAAATCTACACATGCATGCATACCATGTAGAATGCGGACTCGGGCAAGTTATCGTGTGTACCAGAAAGGATCTCCCTGAAAGAGCGGATGGTGTCCTTCAAGGGCACAAGCTTGCCTTCGTAACCGGTGAAGACCTGTGCGACCTGGAAGGGTTGCGACATGAAACGCTGAATCTTACGAGCACGTTCGACCTAAACTACTATCAGCATCGAGCTTTACTTCGGTCTAGATATGACTGACTGTCAATTTGTCCTCTTCTGACAACTCGTCCATACCCAGAATAGCAATGATATCCTGGAGGGACTTGTAGTCCTGAAGAATCTTCTGGACAGCGGTAGCAACATCGTAGTGCTCTTGGCCAACAATACGGGGGTCAAGCATACGTGACTTGGAGTCAAGGGGATCGACAGCGGGGTAGATACCAAGCTCGGCAATACCACGCGACAACACAGTGGTGGCATCCAAGTGAGCGAAGGTCGTGGCAGGAGCAGGATCAGTCAAATCGTCAGCTGGCACATAAACTGCTTGCACGGAAGTGATTGAACCCTTCTTCGTGGTGGTGATACGCTCTTGCCTATACTGAAGGTCAAATCAATATTACGGCGAACACAGATATGTACATACATGCCACCCATATCAGTGGAGAGAGTGGGTTGGTAACCGACGGCGGAGGGGATACGACCCAGCAGAGCAGACACCTCAGAACCAGCCTGGGTGAAACGGAAAATGTTGTCGATGAAGAGCAGCACATCCTGGCCTTCCTCGTCACGGAAGTACTCGGCAATAGTAAGGCCAGTAAGAGCCACACGAGCACGTGCACCGGGTGGCTCGTTCATTTGACCGAAGACAAGAGCGACCTTGGAATCACCCTCGAGGTTGATGACACCGGTCTCAATCATTTCATGGTACAAATCGTTACCCTCACGAGTACGTTCGCCAACACCTATCAAATAAGCAAATAAGGTCACGATACCGCAAACAAAAACAAAAAAAAACAAGTTGAAACTAACCGCAGAAAATGGAGAAACCACCATGGGCTTTGGCAACATTGTTGATAAGTTCTTGAATCAGCACGGTCTTTCCAACACCAGCACCGCCGAAAAGACCAATTTTGCCACCACGGGCGTAGGGAGCAAGAAGGTCAACGACCTTGATACCGGTCTCCAAAACCTCAGCAGTGGTTGACTGGTCAACGAATGGAGGAGGGTCGGCGTGAATTGGGGAGAGCTTGACACCCTTTATAGGACCACGCTCGTCAATTGGCTCACCAATAACGTTCATGATGCGACCGAGAGTTGCGGCACCGACAGGAATTTGGATGGGAGCACCGGTGTCAACAACCCTTTGGCCACGGACGAGACCCTCCGTACCGTCCATAGCAATGGTACGGACAGAGTTCTCGCCAAGATGTGATGCGACCTCGAGGACGAGACGACCACCGTGGAAGTCCTGAACCTCCAGGGCGTTAAGAATGGGTGGAAGAGCATCGGTCTCGAATTGAACGTCGACGACGGCACCAATGACGGTTTTCACAGTTCCAATGGCTCCCTTCGCTTCCGTTGCATATGTCCGCGCTATAACCCGAGTTCATCCGGTTCGAATGGAATGACGCGAAAAGAGCAGAAAAACACGGTAAGTGGCAGAAACGACAAACCCAGACTGAGAACTAACCGGTTTGTGGTGCTGAGGCACGCGAAGGACGAACGGCCGCGTTTTGTTTTTGGGAGGAGGAAGGAACGGAGATACGCGACAAAGAATAAGCGGCGGTGTTGATGAACCGGCTGGAGTTCTTTGCGCTGTTGGCCGCTCTCCGGGAGATGCGGGTGACGCCGCGGGCGGTAAGCATTGTGGTGAACGACGACGAAGACGACGACGGATGTAAGGTGCAAGAAATACTTTACCCGACCACTTATTCGCAAACTTGCGAGATTAAACCTCCGTTCCAAGCTCCGAAATCGGCTGAACGGCAAACGTTTAACGAGAAGATTAAGCAGGACTACCTTAATAACTGTTCACTGCGAACCTTGCCAATGAGTCAAAGAACATACAGGCTCAAGCCGCAAGCGGGAGCTCGCAATATCAGATTGCGAGGAGCTAAGAATGCCACGGGTCGTACACGCAAGGACCACTTCAAACCCCAGCCGAACGTCATCACTGGCGGGGGCAAGTGGTTTCCGGGATGGGCGTTCGCCGGAGGATTAGGGCTGAGTATGGCTTCCTGTTTTTCTTTTTCCTCGCTTTGACGACTCCCAATGAGTCTTCGTCTACTTGCGTCCAGCGCCACAAGCTCGACGGTTTCAATCTGTGGTTCATTTTTGACGTTGACGCTCATTCGAAGCCCTATGATCTACTAGTCTCCCCGCCAGACCAATCGCAGGAAGACAGTCGTTCCTTAATGATCTACCATCGTGATGCGAGCGTTTGTTGGGCGATCTCGTCCTATTCAGGATCGTCGATGCATCGTCATGGATCGTTGGATCAACCGTTCGAATCCACGGCAAGTCCTAAATAACCTGCCAGGTACCATTGATGTCTATCCCGTCTGAGAGCACGAAATTTTGTAGGTATGCATCCCCATTCACTGATCTACAACTTCCGGCGGCACGTAGTACCCACTTTCAAATCGATGCATCTATCATACATCATTAGTAAGGAATACCAAGGTCCTCAGCGTCATCGGTGACTAAACAAAGTGTCGACTCTTATGCGAAATGCTGGTCTGTATGGTAGGGGCGAATGTACGTTTCTTATTACCACTGCTGTTCCATCAGCTTCACATATGGTAAGCATCCTCGCCGCAGAAGGCGGTCGGCCTGATGGCGCTTTCGTGCCCCTATACACATCATCTTTACTTCCAGGCCTTCTTATTTTTTGCACATTGGCCTTCTGGAATAAGAATAAGAAATTGCTGGTGTGGCATGTTATCTTTGCCCCGATAAGCGACTCGGGGATTCATCGAACCGGGATTTGGGCTGTCAGGGGCTATCAGGGCGACGACCATCCGCCATAGGCACCACAGTCCTGTCAGGTACCTACTCGACCGTATCAATGGTCATAATATCAACCATCGCCAAAAGTATACATTATCTATGTCAAAGGTCGTTCGTTCTACAGCTAAATAGTCGGCCAACTCACACCCTACTACAATCGAAATCTGCGTCATGTTCTAGAGGAATTATCTTCCTCCAAGACATTGTTTCCTCTAACAACCTTAAGGAACACGCTCTCTAGTGTCGCCTTTTCCACGCTGTACTCTTGGAAATCGCCCTGAGACGAGAGAAAATGGAACAATTGTGCTAGGGTGAGCCCATTACCTTCTTGTATAGGAACTTCGAAGCGCGTAGCAACATCGTCGGCTAGACGGGAGCCAGGAATACGACTCATGAGGACCTGAGCTCTGGTCACGTCTTCTCGTGTCGGACAGGAGAAGTGCACTTGGTACGTGGCGTAACGTGAGGCCAGGTTATCAATTGTACCGACAGCTGTAAGGCAATCAGATTTGCACATATAGGGAACGACATGCTTACCCAGCAGCTGTTTAGAGATGATGCCAACCTTGTTTGCTAGAGCTGAAGCTTCTTCCATGGAATCTATATACCCACATCTGAGATTAGAAAGCGGGTTAAGGATGACTTCAAAGCAAACGCACGTGTTGTGATAACAACTGCTTTACCGACAGCGACGTTTCTGAGAGTGCCCCACATGTCCCTCTTCGTCTTTGCATCAATTCCCGTAGAGAACTCATCGACGAGGACAACGGAGGGATTGCCTGTATGTGTCTATGTCAGCCGTCTCTCGCACCTGGAGTTCAAAAGCTTACCGATGAGGGCGATGGCAAGGGAGAGTTTGCGCTGATTCCCGCCAGACAGTTGAGTTGCCAGTCGGTCAGCATACACATGCAATGTTGTAGCAGCCATGAGTGCCTCGACATTCGTGTCCAATTCATGGCCCCTGTTGAGGCCTTTCAGACATCCATAGATCAAAAGGTGTTCCCGGACAGTCAGCTGAGAGTCAATTGCAGTAAACTGTGGGCAGACTCCCAAAGATAGTCGTGCAGTTCTCGGAGAAGTCAACATTGATGTCCCCTCGATTAACACATCTCCCATATCCGGAACTACGTCGCCACCTAGATGTCGCGGGAGCCACGGAACATGAGACTTGGAGCTTAACCATCGTATCAGATATACGTACGAATCATATTGAACGTCGTAGATTTGCCAGCCCCGTTAGGCCCAAGCATGGCAAAAATGGTGTCCCGAGACACCCCGTAAGACACGTCATCGACAACCTTTTTGCCATCAAATGTCTTGGTGAGATGAAGAAGACGGAGCGCGTCACTGGAGTGTGCCACTACATGCGCTTCAGTAGCGACATCTTGTCTGTTGGTCTCAAAGCTCGCCTGCAGTTCCCCCATTCGTATTTGCCGTCCCTTAGTATCGAGGAACCGACGAGGGATGATTGACCCAGAATCGACCCATACGAGAATACCGAACAAGAGAAAGCCATAAACGAAGAGATAGAGGATGGGACCTCCATATACCATGATGCTACTAAGCAATGCCGTTGTTACGGGAGTCGTGCCGTCGCAAAGCAACGAGAAGAGGTTCACTGATACGAAGGCCGAACGCATCTGCGACACAGTAAGGTCAGTTTGCAAGAAAGAGATGATGTAACTTACAACACTAGCCACCGGTGATAATACTGAAAGCGTGAAGTCTAGAAAGATCGTTGAAACGTCAGGTCACAGATGGATAAAAAAGCCTTACGGATAATCGTGATGATGGTACTGGACTGAGACGCCGGGGCGTAAGTCAGCGGCAGGAGATATCCACACAGGTACAACTAGTCTGCGTTAGTAGTAGCGCGCCGAGGAAACTGCAAGAGCTTACGCTATACATGGCGATCTGGTATCCTGCCACTGCTGCAAAAGAGGACAATGGTGACGACATAAACAACGATACGCAGTATGCAAATAGAGCGCCAACGATGCCATACAAAACAAGGACGACCCACTATGGGGATACGTCAATGAAATATAACAATCAGAATAACAGAGGAGAGCATACAAAGAAACCGAGGCCGTGGAATTGATTCGTGGTGACTGCGAAGATGATGATGATGATCGTAGCAAGTGTCACTGAGAATATCGAGTCCCACAGGAGATGGCCAATCCAAAGCCCGATGGGATCTGAAAGACCGTTCGACAGCTGCATGGCTTGCACGCCTGATCTTCGCTCTCTGGAGACATAGAGGGAGAAAAATGCAGGGAAGACAGCCTAGACAAGTCATTGGCGTGTGGTTTGATATGTTATTCTTGCACAATACGTACCATAGTGGCTCCGAAGAACGCAACCCACTTGAGACGAGCCAGAGTCATTGCAGGAAGTTGTGGGAAACTAGCATAGTTTGCGAAAATGAGGCTTGGTGTGCTCGCAGCGTTCCCAGACGCGTTCAACGCCCGATTGTAGAGTATATTTGTCGCCAGATTCATCATTGTGAGACCAGTCAAACCAGGCGGGGTTGCCTCCCACGCAAATAACGAATCACCCGTCTGCATATCTATCGATATCCCGCCAAAAGATAAGTTTAGGTAGTTCTGTTGGATCATGGAGACGAAGGTTGCATTGTTAGAGATGTTCTCCGTATGCAGTAACATGGCAGTCTTTCCAAGAGTCGCAGTGATGTTGGGGGGCGACGTTAATATTTGGGTACCGGGTCCAGATGCCAGAAGATAGATAGGCGAGTCTGGAAGGTACAAAGGAATGATGGTCTCGTTATTGAACTTCAGGGTACATGTTGCTCCCTCGCCAGACAGAAAGACTAGCGGGATACATGAACCGCAAATTGTGATGAGCATGGCCAACAAAGTTGTCAACCAACTTCTGCGGGTGATCAATGCACGCTTATGAACAATCGTCAAAGCCTGACTGAGAGGAGAACGAAGGCGCCCATAGGCAAGTTCGAGAGCTTTAGCTTTAGCTGATGGGCCGTCGGTCAAGTCGGCCAGGATAGGCTTAGAAATACCACCTGAACTTGAAATGGATTGCTCAGTGCCATCGGGAGAAGCACTACGAGTTTGACGGGCCATGAGGTCTAGGAAGATATCCTCAATAGACGTCCCCAACACATCGTAGGATACGATGCAGAGAGTTTTGCGCTCCTTATCCAACAGCTGGAGGACCTTCTCCACAACCACGGAATCCTTCGACTTCAAGTGGTATGACGCTTGATTCTGCGCTGAGAGTGACATGGAGCACCGGGGGCACACTTGGCGAATATGATCCAAAGTCTCCGACGGGGCTTTCGGAAAGTCCTTCTCAGTCAATTCAGGGAAAGTTGAACATGACTTGAATGCTGTATCCCTGCCCGAGGTTGGACTTGAGAGCGACAGGGGTGCCCTCAGCAACCAGCTTGCCTGGCGCGGCCAAGATGGCTATGTTATCGGCCAAGAGGTCGGCTTCATCCAAGAAATGAGTGGTGAACACAATAGTTCGGTCATGGCGAATAGATGTCAAAATCCTCCACAACGCCCGGCGGGATAACTGATCGACGCCAGATGTACACTCATCCACAAGGACGATCTTGGAGCCTCCAATAAGTCCAATAGCAAGCTGCAACTTGCGCTTCTGACCACCCGAAAGCGTGCTGGCATTGGAATGTATTTTTTTCTCCGAGATCGCAGTCGCGCAGTAGCTGCTCGAAATCTTCATCTTCGATCGATTGAGCAGAATGCTTCACTGAGCGCCATACGCGGAGAGTTTGGTAGCAAGACAGTTTCGGGAAATATCACATTTTGCTGAGGCACAATGCCGAGAGTTCCGCGAGGAGGACGAGAGACACCCCCCTCAAAAGTGATATTTCCAGTGCTGCGCCCCAGGAGATTTCCAATAATTGATAATGCTGTTGACTTCCCGGCACTATACATCCCCCTGGTCGGTTAGCATTATTCCAATCCGCCAGGGGTAAAGTAGAACCCACCCGTTTGATCCCAGCAGAACAAAGATACCGGACTTAGGAATATCGAGGGACAAGTCTACGATGGCCGCGACTGGTCGCTTCTCTCTGTGGAACATGGAAGGGGAAAATGTCTTACCCAAGTTCCTAATAGAAATCGCTACTCCATCGGGATGTGGTGGCAAGTGAGCCCTTTTCTGCCTGCGACTGGCATGACCAAAAGTCTGAGGACGACTCTTTAACATCATAGAGTTGCCTCTCAAGCAGAACGCCCAAGCATGGCCATAGCAACACGTCAATCTAGGGGCAGGTTAACACGCTGTGCTCGAGATATATTCTCCACTTACAATCGCGGCAATGATCAAGGGCAACAAAATCAGATCGCTATCTGGATCTGGCTTAAGGATGTCGGTTGGAATCTGGTGGTTTTCCCAGCCACATATGGCACGTATAGCGAAGACGTAGTATCCGGGTGGGAAGATTAGTGTAAAAATAGTCGCCGCACCCGTGTTGGCTCTGTTGAAGACTAGCGCGAGGATAGCAAACATAATACCAAGGAACGTAGATGCCGCAGCTGCAAGCTGAGGGTTCTTGCCAAAAGGAGCCGCGACGAAGAAGGACCAACTGGCAAGCGATAATCCCAATAGAAGGTGAACAATAAGCACCAGGCCGACACTGGTGCCGCTGAAAATTCGGTAGTGCCATATAACAGAAACGATAACCCATGCAGGAAAATACGCCACAGAAAAACTGATATGCCACGATCTGAATGCCATAAGTAATCAGTGAAGGTGCTTTTTAGCGGTGACGTACGTTATTCTGGCAACATCCATTAGACCCATGGCCTTCATGTGGCTGGTCAGAAGGTTGGCTCTCTCGCCAGCAAATGCCCCTGGAAGTTGGTACGCAATCCCGATATAACAAGTAAACCTGAATCCCGGATTAGAGTTGTAGGATTTTGGTTCACATGTAAGATTCACAGTGCAATAACAAGAATACTCCGGATGGCTCTAATGTAACCTGAGACAGCAACATGTCAGCATGTGATCATATCACAGATATAAACTATCGTACTAAGTCTCATATTCGTGGTCTGTTGTTGGTTGGTTTCCCGAGTATACGGCCATTCCATAGGGGTGGGTGCTCCTTGTCCAGCTCTAAGCTCAATGATTGCCTGAAGCAAACAATTAATACTTAGAAAGAGAACAAGCGTAAGTCAGACCTGGTCTATTGCCCATTGCAACGGTAGAATTCGGGTCTCGAAATCACTAGTATGACTGTACACATTAATGTGCGTAAGTCGTCTATCGGCGCTTATGGTGTAGTTAATCGGAGTCGTGTCCGTCGCACTCATTGGAAGGGAGTTGAACGCGATCCCAGCAAAACACTCAGAGAATGACATGAGGTTTGGGGGACATTGGGATGGAATGTCTGCGGGTGACGTAACCTGCTTGACCGCTTGGAGTTGATTTGGCGTAAAGTAACTAGTGATGCGAGCCATGACCTGTTGCGCAGAAGGTGTTCCAGTGCCATTGGTTCCATCAGTCCAGATTAGTGGTAGAGAGCCATCAAACTGATTCTGGAAATTGTAGACCGAGACCGGAGAGCCAAAACCGTACTATGTACATGGATGTTAGGCGGTGGACTTGGATAACTCGAAAGCACTCCCTACGTTGTTTGGCTTTACAAGGAATGTCTGTGCGAAAACAATCAAAACTTGATAACCCTTGTAAGTATGTGCTGTGTATTCATAAATTTAAGAGGGCACTGGACGTACTTCCGTAGCCGATCGGCAACAACAAGCAACGCAGAATGTTCAACTGTGTGGCATGTCATAGTCAAAGTGATTAGGCGTAGAACTTTCCGCGGTGCATTTTACTCACGAGCGAATGTTTACAGAGAACGATCCAGTTCTTCCAGCACAATATTGTAAATTGCCGGAGGAATAGACTCCCCGTAGACGCCATGGCTGTCGCACCGAGATGCGACCCGGAGATAATTCAACGAGAGTTTATATACGCAGCAGCCGGCATAACAGTCTAGATATTTGTGCAGGAGAAGCCGCCATCGTGAGATGCGATGCGGAGAAGTGGAGAATTAGTACTAGTGTTAAACTTATGTACAAGATCCAACGCCACGTACATTTTTATCAATTAACATACTTCTGACGTTTTCCTTTTCAACGTTTCTTGATGCTCGTCGCTGTAAAGAACTAGTAAGTGACTTGCAATCGGCAGTTCTGCAGCCAAGACCAAGACTTGTCGCAGCATGAATAGTACGGGTGTGCTTCGGAAGCATAGTATCGTGCCTTTCTTTGAAAGTCAAGTTACTGAGGCCCTAACGTTAGTCTCCCCTAGACAGACCAGTGTACTTAGATGGATTCTTGCTGAGTCGGAGATAAGTAATTGTTCCTCAGAAAGTCTGAGTCTTCGACTGAATCGATATGTAAATCAGTGGGCCAGCGCTCACGCGGTGTTTGAATATTGAATCCGAGTCGTTGTTGTTTGTGGGGCGGCTAAATTGAAGTGGCAACGACTCGAAGAAGCTGGCGTGTCTTTGATAGGGATCTTGCAAACTCCTCGGACCTTACGAAGTGGGCCGTGTTTTTCTAGCTTGAATCAGTTGACAGTTCAACGTTCCTTCAGTCATGGAAGGACCTTGAACGCTTACGCACTGACAAGTCCTCCGATTGGGATATTGGTATAACGCCAACTTGTAGCAAACTCATTGAAATTATAGTTAACTGCAAGCTGGGACGACGAAGCTTTGAAGTGGTCTTTGATCAGTGCTATCACGGATATGATGCCCAGATCAAGCAGGGACTTTTTCCACCGCTGGCAGGCGCTAATGTTTCGACCAAAAATGGCGGCGGGAACTTCCCGAAGACCAAGCATCCCGTTTACGCCATCAATTTCTGAACTAGAGAGGAGCCCGGGGAAGGTGACAATGTAACAGTCTGACGGCCCGGTGGAGAAGTTGGAGCGATCCGGCAGTGGCAGTAGGTGTCTGAACTATGTAATTATAGATCGTCTCTAATACTCTTGTGATTTCTGCATCCAGATTTTCGACTACTGCTTGACGATTGCATTGTAAGCCTGAGGTCTGTGACGACGTTTGTGTCCGATGCGCTAAATTAGCTCGCAGGTCCAGTTGATGTGTGGGAGGAGATGGGACGTCATTAGAGTTACTTTCACTTTTGCTCCGAGTCGTCAATACTTATGTCCAGTGCTGCCATGACCACGTTCGGTAAGTTGCGAGCCCTTGCATCGTGAATCCCTCTCTGGTGAGATTTAAGCTGTGGGTGGCTGACCAGTCCAAGTATACAAGCGTTTGTGATCAATACTTTTTGAGCCGTGTAACCCAATATACCCGAGCAGTGCTCATGATCCTAACCATATACTTACACTTCTACCAAGATTCCCGCAGTCGCCTCATTACCACCATTTACCGTCCTTGAGTCCGTTTTTTTTATGAATGAATTTTATACGGATCTAATACCGGTCATTCAGTGGCATCCGTTGCGACTTGCAAGCATTTTTGTCGACCTCGTGAGTTGGAGGTATATATATTTGGATCCGCAGACGTAAATACGTTATTGATATGTCAGTAAATCCATAATCTTGCAGGTTTCGTCATGCAGGTTTACTTCTCTCGAAAACAAGGCGGTCCCGTTGGCTGTGACGTCTCGGGTTTCTCTCAGACCGCAACTCATCATACGTGGTACTACTGGTAGCTTCCCGTATCTTATTCAATCTGTGTGAAAGCCGTGAATCTGAGTCCGCGATAGTTAGGGGAGTTTTCCCTGCGACAACCTGGACGAAGATCACAGGGCCGAAGACCCATGTTAGTCAATAGTATTACATATTCCGATTGACGCTACAATTGAAAAGTAACATAGTAATACATGTAGATCACCAATTCTCAAGTGTCCTTCGAGCACATTCCTGAGACAACTCAAAGTCAAAATCATTTTGAGGATGAATAGTGCGAGCGACTCACTCTAAGTCTGGAAAGATTGTGGACAATTGCTACATTCACAATTGTGCGTAACCTTCTCCTGAATTCAGGTTTGCTGAGGACTAACTGGTATGGCCCGGAACAATGACAATATCGCGACACGTTGTCCGAGCGAACTTGCTTGCACTTGCCACAGCGCATGTCTTGTTGCGTGAACGCCCTTTCGAGCGACCCAACAAGTCTGACCAGCTCCATCTCAATTGCGATGCGGTCGTATTCTCCCCCACAACCTCCGCAAATCCAGCGTGGCCTAGCACCATCAAAACCATATGGCATGAGTTCTGGATCGCGACAGAAATCAAAGTCGCGAAGTGTATCGCAATGCCGGCAAGGGACATTAGACAGTTTGAGAGGCTCGCATGGATTGCGAAAAACGGCTTCATTGGCAAACTCGCGCACGCCAGCCAGGTCGAGGAGGTTGCGCTTGAGCAAACCGATCTCAACCTGGTAATCAGAGGCGAGCCCAAGCACGGCGCAGATAAATTTGACGAATTCAAGGAGTGCATTCGTCATGTTAAGATGTGAACCGGGGAGGACAGGGAACTGAAACTGAGCGTGCAGTTCTTCGTCCATGGTGGCATCTCTGTGCTTGGTTTGGATAGTACCAACGAGCCGAAGTAATTTGCGTGTGAGTTTCCTGGCGACAAACTCTCGGGTCGCATCAGTTTCATTGATTTTGCTTTGGTCGAGCTGAGTGGCATCGGGAGCCAAATTCTGAAGCACTCGGAAAGGTGCCTTTGAACCTTCGTTATGCTTTTGTCGAATCTTGAATAACTCGACGATGAAGAATTGGATGACGGTACCAAAGTCGTCTTGGATTGCAGGTGGCAGGTAAGTCTGGATATTCCACCGCGTCTCGATGGTGAGTTCTTCTGGAGGGTCGACAGCCAGCGGGTCCTCACATACGATTCCTCCCATGTTGGCTGAGTCCATGAAGAGTAAGAAGTCGTAAAAACGCTCGGTTTTGAGGTACATGTGTTCGAAGAGCTCGTGGGATGTTACTGCCGTGGTTATGTAGGTGGCATATGCGTGAGCGGTGCCTGGAGGCTTCGATGTCGCTAGCAAAATGCGGCTGAAGTCCGCGTGGATGACGTGAGATCCGAGTCGCTTGAATTCAGCCAGCATCTGGATGAACGTTTTCCTCATGAGCCCATGAATGAAGCGATAAATATTTGGGTCATGAAGGTGGGAAGCACTTGTACTGATCCAGCGCCAGAAGTGATCAATTGCTAGCGTAGCTGGGCTTTCGAAATTGCCCTGGATTTTGTCAAGCAACCATGTCTTGACCATTGACTTGAGAATGCCGAAGGTGAGAGTTGAGATGTTGGATTCTCCAAGGGTGAGGTCGCGCTGCGCCTCGCCTCCGGAGAACTCGTCTAACGTCCTGGATACGGAATCAAATGCGGTTGCTCCACCACTCCCTTCAAGCTCGTTGACAGCGACAGAGTGAAGGATGGAGTTCACTGCCAAGTTGCGAACAGTGACTTCAAGGCACACGTTAGAATAGCATCCAGGCGATATGAACTCTGTGTGCTGTACTGTCCTCGGTAGGTCTGCTGTCATCCTCTATGCCACCAAGATCTGGACGTTCAGAGGGCGACCACCAAAGGACAATGTCCTGCTGGATCAGTCGCCGGGCGAAGCTAATGTCCGACAACAACAGTGGCTGATCGCCGTCGATGTGACCGATAGGGACATCATAATAATCTGCTAGGGCGATTGAGCGATCGAGCCAGGTGCCCAGCAATAGGTACCGCTGCAGCATCTTTTGAGCGACGTCGGGTTGCCAGGGGAAAACATTGAGCGTATGTACTGCTTTCGCCTTTGACATTGAAAGAACGGGGAATTTCGAAAGTTTTGGAACCCAAGTGTCAAAGTAAATTTGATCCTTGATAGATGAGATCACGACAGCGTAGGACATATTTTCCAGGAGTCCGAGTTCTCTTGAAATGGATTTGAGGGCTGTCGTGTCCTTGTTGTGATACGTGGTGTTGAAATCGCATGAACTGGGATACTCGAATGAACTGTTTCCATACTTAGATTGTCGCTTTGCCGAAAGGTCTTTGTACAGCTCTTGGAGACGAGGAATTTGTTGTCGACGGGGAGCGGGATCAACGAGGTGAAGTTTGACGGAACCATTGGGCATGAACATCGCAAACACGTGGACATGCGAGGTACTAGAACATGCATGGTATAGGAAGATATACTTCCCCGAGCGACCGCCATCCAGGTATATTCGGCGAGAAAGGGAGGCGCTGGAGCGGTCGAGCTGAGACAAATCGACACCACTGCTTTGAGCACGGTTCAAAGTCATGCCGAGTTCGTCCACAGTACATGTCTTGCCCAGTTTGAGGAGGGCACGCATCTCCAGTGGAATCTAAACCGCTGTGAGTATGCATTTCTGCTCAGAGTGCGGAGGATATGTACCTGCCGCTCAAAAACGCCATCAACATTCGGATCATTCATAAGGTCCATAAAGTGCTCCTGAATTTCCTGATAAACGTCCTCCTTAACAGAAATCCGATAGAGATTGGAGCAGGGAAGGTCACGAGGAAGGTGACGGACGACTTTCTCGAAGGCATAGTACTCTAGTTGAAACAAGCCATCGCGAGGCGGAGTCTTCAGGTGCAAGAAAAACTCGCGAGGAATGCGCAAAGGCACAGGCACCAGTTGAGCATCGACAGACACCCATAGTGTGAATCGCCCGGGAATCTTGCTTGGACGGATTTGTACGATGTCCCATCGCTGTGTCGTGCGAACACGGGCACCTTTGAATATGGAAGGCACGATAGCGTCACCAGTGTTTCCCCAGCGAGCGTTTCGCTGTTTCTTCCAGCGTGGCCTGACGGCCCTGATCCAGGCGGAGTAGCTGACCGTAGGGTCAGGAAGTGGAGCTTCATCATCTGATACTTCTTCGTCAGGCTCAGGCGTCCTTCTGCGGGACTTCCGATTGACGATAGCAACGCGAGGACGATCCGCGGTCTTATCTTGCCCGAAATCCTCCATATCCAATTCTGCGTCAATCATTCGAGTCTGCGTCAGAGCCTGGGACTCCGCAGTGGCACGCGTGAAGAAGTCGGTGACTTTGTTTTGCTTGAACTTGTCCACAGCGCCTGCAACACGGCGATGCAGCCAGTCAGGGTGGCGGATACGAGGAACAGGATTAGAGACTTTCTGCATTGCGGCAGGGATAGTGATCAGCTTCTGAATGACTGAGCCCAAACGCTCTATGTAGTACTCCCAGTCAAGGATGGATCTTAGATCGAAGTTGCAGAGACTGTTGTCTTTGAGCCATTTACGCAAGTAAGTGCGCTTGACGCTCTCCTCTGTTGAGAATATAGCGACAGGGACCGCCCGCTCCGTGACTGGCGCTCCGTGGGGCTTTGCAGAAATGATAAACTTGCAGGCAAGACCTTTGTCCTTGACCATCTGGTCACCGAGGAACTCAGCAAGTCGCTTAGCGGTGCTGATAGAGGTCGACTTCTGTCCTCCGTACTCCGCCAGCGTCTTGGACATGCTGCGGTTCTCAGCAATGAGTTCAACGAGCTCCTCGTCGGTCAGCGTGTCAGCCTTGCTGAAGAGGATATCAAGCCACTGATCTGCAACCTGCGCAACCGCGCTATAGCATTCCTCCGTCGTCGTTCCCAGGAGGAATTTCTCGAAGATCTGCGACTGGAAGATCTTGATCAGCTGGAGCTCTCCCCGGCGCTTCACCTCGAAACCCTTCAACTCCGCAAGCGACCCATCATCATTGAAGACGGCATATCGCTTCTTCAGCAGTTTGTCTTCCTCCTTCGATGATGGAAGAATCATGGCTTTATACGGCCCATCTAGCTCGAAGAAAATGGAGTTCTCGCTGTGGACGACGTACTCCCCGGTGGAATGGTCCAAGTCGTGGTACTGGTGGTTGGTAAAGCGGGCGTACACAAGGTGGTTAAGCATCGTGCATGGGTATGAGAACCCAATGGCTTTCCCGTTCTTCAATTTGAACTTGAAGTTCTCCGGGAAGACGCCAGGAAGCATGCACCAAATTCCATCCGTATCGAGTTCTAGCGGGCGACCGATCTGCTCGACGAGAGCGCGCGCCATCTGGATGATAGTTGCGCCAGTGAGACAAGTAATTCCCGCCATCTCCATCGAGTGCCACCGTGCACCCTTGCGCATCACGTACCCGTAGAACGAGTTGAGGATACATTTGTGCGCAAGCTGCAGGGAGTCGTAAAGTACAATCATCTTCTTCGCCTCATCGACCTCCGCGATCGAGCGTCCCTCGTTGACCACGGTATCCAAATTCTTCTTCCAGGTTTTGTGCAGCCCCTTGTACTCATACCGACGGTCACGGAAACGTCGCACCGTGTCGACGTAGAAGGGGTTCTCCCGTTGGCATACGATCGACTCTCTTGTCTCAACCTTCGTGTCCTTGATCTTCTTGTACACCTTCCGTGAGTAGTCACCCAAGCGTTTATGTAGTAACGCAGTCTGCTCCGCATCCGTCAAGTCTGGGAACCGCCTCTGTGGGCCTCCAGCCCTCTTCGGGGGAAACGTCTCCTGGTTCAGCGCGTGCCTGATCATGTTGTACTCGTCCCTTCTCGCAGGAAAGAACTCTCCCCTCCATGCCCACTCTAGCCGCCTATCGCACGTCTTTCCGGGACGGTTGAAGTCGCACACTGCGCATACAGACTCATCGACCATCGAATCTGGCTGCAAGCGATTCGAAAGCATGATATTCGGGTACATCGCTGCGACGTCCAAGTGATAAATAAGCGGTTTGTCCGTGCGCTTTGGGGTATCGCGTAACGACTCGAGTGCCGACGTTATCTGCAACTTGACTTCATCATAGTTGGTCACATCTTCCAGGGAGGATTTAGACTCCTCGGTGATGCAGAAGGTGAGTGCGGCATCAAGGTCGTCAATGAGCTGCTAGAGGTAAGTCTGAGGCGGGTTGCACTGTGACAAAAAGCTTACTTGTTGCACGGCGGCGGGTACGATCTTGAAGTCCGTGAGGATGTCGCTGCGGAATACGCCGGCTTCGAGTGCCTCTACGTGACCTCCGACGTAGGTTTCTGATGCAAGTAGGTGGCCATCGAACATGTTCAGGTGCGCGTCCTCGTGGCGGTTTGGCATGATGATGTGCCCGCGGTACGCCTCAACCTAGTTCATATTAGCTACGACTGAAAGAAACCAAGGCAGCGGACATACCATCAGGAGTGTCTCACATAGCGTGCCACTTCCTTTTCGCAACACCTCGTCCGGACACAACGGAATGATGTTACACAATGAAAAGATGAAGGGGTGCACGTATTTCATGTACAAATAGTAAGTTGCTACTGCATCGGAGACGGAGTACTGCGCAAGGACCTGTGGCTGCTCCATCGCGTAGCTGCAAGGAACATGTTAATAATGTCAGGATTGAAACGTCATGAAGTGAGAAAACACAGTTGAGCGAAGTCGAAGAAGAGTATTTAGAGAAAACGATATAGCATATAAACAGCACATCATATGGAAGAGACAAACTCACGGTGTCATCAACTCCGGATCAAGTTCAATGGGATTATACCCAAGCTTGGCAGTCGTAACCGCTTTCAAGCCCTGGCTTCCCTGCGGTAGATACGAATCGCGCTTTACCCATCTGAAGCAGTCCATGTGCACGCATACACGGGACTTGTACTCATCCTCGTTGTCCTTAGCGAACCCCGTCAACAAAAACATGTCCAACCCGTTGGCCTTCGCGCGTGCATCCAGGAACGGAAAATCGAAGAAGTCGCCGTTGAATGTTGCCATCACTGTCGGTTTCACATCCTGGATGTGACTGAAAAAGCGCATGATCGTTGCTGCCTGTGAGAGATGTGAGATTGAGGTATATACAGAAACGATGATGGCACCTCGTCCTTCTCGTTAAAGATTATGAACGGACCCTCATACCCCTCCTTCGGCGTATATTCGAAATCATCGATATCCTCGCTTACGATCTCCCGGTTCGTCACCAAGAACCCCTGACCATCCACCATGTATGAAATCATCATCACCTGGTCTACTGCCGCATCTGGGAACTTCAGCGGCGCTTTCGTCGTCTCGATATCGAAGGCCATCACTACAGGGTCTGCGCGCTTCACCCTCTCTGTCAACTGCACAAACGAAGGTTGTCCGGCTGTAAAAGTGATTCCATACCACAGCGCCACCCGCATCTCGTTGTCAATGGCCACTCGCAAGTAGTAAGGCACGTCGAACTCGCGGATATCCACGATGCACGACGGTGCATCTCGATCCCTGTAGTTTGCTGTACTGCTTCTGCCGATCTCCGCCCACTCGCCTTCGAGCTCTACATTCGTGCTCGCTGCCGCTACGACTTCGGCATACGCGTCAATGGCGTCCCGCTTCGCGCCGTTTGCAAGGGCGAGAGGGGCTATGTCCCGTCGCACGGCCAGGAGGTCACTCACGTTTCGAAAGCACAGTTGCAGGTACAAACGATGATGACCCATGAGGTGATTCGGCAGTTTCAAGTCCTCTTTCTTCTCCCGCACGATCCGCACAATCAAGCCTTCGAACCGCTTCTGCAGCCACTCTTCGACAGAAGACTCTGAGCCAGTCTGCAGGATGTGGTCGATATCATAGACATTGCTCAAGGAAGCTGCGGAGACTCACCTTGCACGCTATGTAGAAGTAGGGCTCATACAGCATTGTGCACTTGAACATACCTCCGTCATCCTGAATGAAGTAAAAGTCGACTGCCGCCTTTCCGCCCGGGTAGTCCGCATCCTTTATGAGAGTCTGGAAGACGTTGATGAATGAACGAACTGAGTCCCCAAACACCAAATGCGGCACTTACGGGATGCATGTTGATCAGCCAGCCCTCTCTCCTCGCACCTTCTTGCACTCTCGTGAATCCCAGCTTCTCATCAATCTCGTCGCTTTCCCGAACCCGTTCAAAGCGTTCTTCCAGTTGGGTTCCATCATCTTCTCGTTGCGGGGCTGGACCATCACCTGGTGTATTCGACCCGCCACGACCGCGACCTCTTCCCCGACCACGAAAGTGTGTGTTTCCTCGAGTACCGCCTCTGTACCCTCGACCTCTACCACTAGATGTTAGCCCAAAAGTACCGCGACCTCCTCGTGCCATAGTGTTTTCGGATAAACAATAGCTGAAGACGGACTTCTTCAAGTTCGTACTAGATGTGACAACGCGATGTGACATGCGCGGGGTGGATCACATGACGTGACGGCGTGATACTAATGTGATGCTCGTATGTACATTGCAACCTATTGCAACTCTAGAATTCACCATCTACATCGCCTTCCTCACGACGCATATTTTCTGCATGATCCTCTTCTTGACGCGCCGACGTTACAGTTGTCTTCCTCGCCGCCTCTCCGATAGGCTGGCAGTGACAGTGACAGTAGATAATTTCAAACTGTCGGCCCTCACAGCCCCTCACAAACACATCTGTGACATACGCCGAACCACTCGCTACAGTACCTATCATGCTCACATATGATCCTGTGGCAGTTATTTTTTCCCAGTCAGACTCGATCTCCTCGTCAGAAAAGAGGAATTCACAGCCGCGGATGCACTCCTGGAAAGGCTTGCGCACGAAGCGGTCGAATTTTTTCAGCGAGCCTGTCCCAATCGTATTCTCGATCAGTTTACATGGATAATTAGAGGATGACGAAGACGCACAGTTTCTATCGAAGTAGTCGTGGCTTCGAGAGCGCCTTTTAAGGAGATCTTCGTTGAAGAACTCCCCACCAAACATGATCATCTGATACAATAGCATGTCCCCTCACTTAAGTCCCTCTCTTCATATGTCGTGGGCTTGAACAACGGTCGACTAGTGAGGGCGTTCAATACCTTGAGATGGAAACAGAGGAGTCAGCCACTGTGACCTCGCTCTAAATGACATAAACAACGTACGATACAACCAAAGGTCCAGATGTCCACGGATTCATCCCACTCACCTGCAAGAAAAATTTCCGGGGGCCCTAAACCGAGAGGCGTAATGTCGTCTGTGGTCTGACGATTGTCAAATTGCGCTACACAACCACCAAGAACAGTCTGCGAAGATGTACCACTACCCCGATCAGCTAGCGCAAACTTCCCGCCTGCGACTAGGAGTCGGATGAGGGAATGACTGAATGACCATTTTAGTCAGGCTTTTTTTCAGGCGGACGGGTGAGCGGAGGGTTGGCTTTCAGCCACTCTGCGATAGCCTCCGTGGTCTATGTGTTACTCAGGGCAACCATAATATTGTCTGGCTTGATATCTAACAAACTCAAATATCATAACAGAGAGTGAGACAGCAGACCAAATAACGAGCCTGTATGCGCGATGCTCAGCAGGATATCTCTCAGTATGCGCTTCACCACGGACAATGGTAAATATCCATAGTTCGGCATACTGGCCCGTATCCCCTGGATGTCGGGGCCTAGTAGCTCCATAACGAGACACAAATGTTCGCCATCTGCTTCGATGCCCTGACGGTAGAAATGGGTCAGTAGTCGAGCAAAACTACCTGACGTGTCAGACGAAAGGGGCTGAAGTACTTTCAGTTCCTGAAACTTGTTTTCCCTGTTTAGTTGGTTGGCGTATCCGTTCAATATCTTGAGAGCGACATAGTGATCCTTTCTAAGCATAATAAGCCGGATGTAACTACTCATTCCGGTGAGCGCTCAAGTATCCAACGTGCCGCAAATCACGAGCAAGCCACAAGCTCGATATAGTGCCAAATCCTAGCTTTGCTTCAACTTTGAAGCGCGAGTCAGGCCCAAGGAAGTAGCCCGGGCCACCTTAAAACCACCCACAAGCTTCCTCAGCCGGAATCCCAAGGGGTTCCTCAGCAAAAATGAAATGGGGAAGGTCGTCTGCTTGCGTGGCTTCTTGAGTCATCGTAGTATAAAGCCATGTTGATAGTACAGGACGAACAGATGGATGTGAGTTCGGTCGGTGTTGGGTAAATTTGGGGCAAACACCGTTGAGGAGGAAGCGGCGCATGAGGTCAGAAAAATGCCCTCGGATTTTACTGTGCTATCAGTGTGAAAAATTAGATGGTCGGTGACATGTACTTAAGTAGTAGTATGTGTGGATCCACAAGGATTACTAGCACTGCTTGATCACTGCTTGACAAGTGCTCTACCACGCCAATCGCTGCAACTTGAAGGGAAAGCTCCAGAGCTTGTCGCTGAGTTTGCCATTGATTGATCCTGGCAGTACCTCAGGAGGACAGTGCCTGCAATTGTAACAATTAAAGTTGCAATAAAGCACGATGGATTATTAGTAGCCACAACTCGGTGGTTCGGCGATATCGATGCAATTATCGGTGATCCATATTCAAGAAATGATTCAAAGAGTTCGCGGCACAGCGCAGAACACGACTTACCGGATCCAATCCTTGTCCAATCCTATCCAAAACACGGCAGTTGGATGTCACTTGGGTCGTACTACCTTCTGCGATACCTCCTCATATACACAATATCGTCCCATTAAGCTTGATCAAAGCTTAGGACTTAACTCGGTCGAATTGCGAAGTGTCTTGGTGATACAATATCTACAATTGATGCGATAGCTCGGTAAGTGATCGTGAACGCTATAGAAAATCATTTGCGTGACTGATTCAGGCAGTCCCAGTACCTTCATCTTCAAACAGCTTGAAATTCAAGCCCGGCGGAAACCCATCCAAAACGAAATCCAAGAAATTCCTCCTGTGCCTCCCCAACCACGCAAGAGCACCGACGATGGCCATCTCGTCGATCCATTTTTTGATGGTCATCCCTGGAGTGTCCCCTCCCGGCGCCGGCTCGTATCCCCGGAGGGATGTCCGTACGATTGCCTTCATATTCAAAAAAAGCAAGTCCGAATGCGCCTCTGGCATCTTGACAATGAGCCGGGCCTCGGGCCTCTCGCGCGGCTGCGAAGAGTACGGTTCCGGCAGTGACCCCAACATCGTGCGACCAAGACATTGGATTATGGAGGCTGTTAACTCGTAGTAGCTCTGACTGATGGGGTTGGTAGGTCGGTCCCAGTCATCCCGCATATTCCTCGTAGTGAATATGCCATGTGAAAACTGGAAGAGAATCCTGATGGTGAAGCCCGCTTGTACACAATCTGTGTGATGTTTGCGATAAATCCATCTGCGTGGGTGTCTTTCTTGAATAGTCTTGACAAGATCTCGGGGGCCTCTGGCCTGCTACATGAGAGCATATGCCACACTCCAGAGTCACTTGACGCACGTGCAAGAAAGCTCACTACGGCGACTTCATCTTGGAGCTCTTCCAAAATCCCTTTGCCTCCAGACATCACCGCGCCCAATGTGCTCATGTGTGGTATCATGAATTGGAAGAGTTGAGAAGACGTCTCATTGGGAATCGAGGAGAGTAAAGGGGTGAGATTGACGCCCTCAGCGAAAGACATCATATACTCCAAATCTCCCTTGCAGGTATTGAAAGCCTTGTCGACTTCTCGGCTGATTTCGTCTGCGAATGAGGTGGGCTTTGCTTTTTCCATGATTTTCAGAACCAGGTGTGCCCTGTCGTATGCAGAAGGGAACTGCTTTCGTCCCGTGCTTATCTGCATAAGAAGTACATAAAGTACTACATCAACGAGTGAAAGTGCGTCGAAATCTTTGTCGGTGACAGCGGCTGGTGACTGCAATGGTGGGCGAACTGCTGGGAGTTCTGCCCCCGTACTGGCGGTCAAACGCCCAATGAGCGGGATGACCAGGTCGCTCTCCGGGAGGTTACTTGGCAAACTCCGGTATGCACGGGCGGTGCGAAGCATACTCTCCCTTGACAGGAAAGTCAAAGAGCCTGTTTGCTTCACGTTGATTAATACAACGGAATTCAGCTCCAATGTTTGAGGTCGGGACAGCTTTGTGATTTTGAACACAAAACTGTCGTTTCCCCCTTCATCAGAAGACCTGTAGCGTGCAAGCGACTTCGCGGATTTGAAATCTGCAAGGCTCAGTATGCCATGTTTCCCATTCGCGTAAGATGGTGGTACTGGATTGATATTGAGCAAGCAACTCTTGAATGAACCCGCTGGTATGTATGCTTTCGTTTCTGGACGCAGCAGCACGCAGCGCAGGACAATAGCAATGCGAGGGCTGACCACGAATATGCGGTGCAGACCAGGGCAGCCACCTGCCAAACCTTCCCACAAACCAAATCCATTGTTGGTGAGGATAAATTCTTCCCCTTCTGCGGCTTCCCAGATACTGAAGAAGTAGTTGTTCGCCTGACCGTGGTAAGCAACAACTGGGTAGCGTTCGAAATCAGGTGAGATATGCGATTCTGCGATCATTTTTTGAAGACCTTCTTCACCATACTTCTCTATGAGTTCCGCAGCATCCCGCATGATGTCTGAATGAGACGCGTCGAGGTAGTATCTGAGGACGTATAGCCATGTCTCAACAGCGGATTGAGTGCCTTTTGCCTTCATGAAGGACTCAATCCACTGACGGGCCCCAGCGTTTTCCGGGTGATCCGCTTGAAAGTAAGCACTGGAGCACGATGCATTGCGATAATGCATGATAAACAGGAACTTCCGGAAGAGCTCTAAAGACCTGCGCTTCAGAGTGAAAGTGCCGTGAGGAAGCGCTTTATGCAAGTCCATGATGATGGAGGCTGCCTGACGTTCGAGGTCAGCTAGTTTCTTCTCTAATTCGTTGACATCTTCGGTGTTGCGGACATCCTGGTAGAAATTTGATACGCCGTAAACCTTTCCAATAGGACGAATGTCAAGGTTGCCTGTAGCAATGTCATAGTAGTGGACGTATTCAGGGTCAACACCAGTGAGTCCGAAACTCTTTTTGCCGTTCTGCTTTGGACCTGCCATAGAGAATATGATTACTGTTCGTCTACATGAAGAGTGCTCTAAAAACGCACTTCACAGGTCCGACTTGGAATCTTCGCAATATGAATCGTGGAATAAAATGCTGATATTGATCCGTATGTGCCTGCGGAGAGGCATCTGTCTCCTCAGCCTCTCCTGTGAGCTCTGCTTTCGCTTGTTGTTTGGGGGTTCGAGTATTCCCGCGACGTCTTGGCATTCTGTAGTGTCAGTGGAAAGTATGAACGAGAGGGACTGCCAAGCGCTGAGACGTGGCGTACCTCGCGGCTAGCGTGGTATTACGCTAGCAAAGGCATGCGGTGATCTGCACCTGTCCATCTATAGAAGTGGGGAGAGGCAACTCTCTGCCAATTTCAAACTCCGCGCGTGCTCTCGCCAAAGGGGTGTGTGGCTGAAATGGTGGTTAATGAAACCGTCGACTGCTGGACATTAAGCACAACATTATGAAGACTACATTGTATGGAGACTTTGCTGCGAAATATAAAGCTGATTGTATTCTCCATACAAAAAAGGGAAAACATGTGAATTGTAAGGCTACAATGTTAGGCAAAAGCTCATGCAACCAACTTTTTCAAAATTTTCCATGGAGATTACAACTAAACCATGAAAAAAAGGCCTCTGATGGCTTCTCTCAACCCCCCAGCATATCGTGTTCAGTCACAACAGGGATGTCACAGGTAGCAGACTCATATTGCATTACATAAGCCTCATAAACGCGTTGCATTGCATTGCAAATCCACAGAGACCACTGTAGAACTCTCAATGCCCTCCCTATACCACCCAGGGGACCGTTGGAAAACTACCAAGAGACATTCTACTGCCCAGAATGATCAGTTAGCTCAGCTTCATGCAAAAAAATGCGCCAGAAATGAAAACACCCCTCCAAGTCCTCATAGCCCTACCCCCACCATGTCCCAACCTCCACCAGCACATGCTTCCTCGCAAAACATTGACTCACAACTGGAGGCTCTAATGCAGCAGATACAGGCACTCATGTCATGCACTGTAAACGCATCTCAGCGTGAGAAGCATGCCAAGGCAAAGGCTGAAACCTTGCACAAGCGTGTATGAGAAGCTGAAGCAGAATGCCATCGGCAGACCACCCAAGCTGATGCTAGTGTTATGTGCATCAGCACTCTTGAAAAACATAATGGTGAACTTACCAAAAGAACCAAGGCTTTGTCCATGCGAGCTGCTCATGTTCCGGGACAGAAGGTTCATGCGGGCAAGAATGCAGTCAACAAACTTGTTGTTTCACGCACCATGTCTGAGCCAACCTTAAAGCTGAAGGAAGGTGGTGTTATCACAGATGCTGCTCAAGATATGGTCTGTGACCTTGTAGCTATCCACAATTTTCCTGTGTTGAGTGTCAATGGAGCAATAGCCACAATGTCCTCTGTCATAGGAGTTGATCTGGAGGGCACAATTAGTGAATGGAGCATTGGTCAGATCATGAAGGAGGCTTCAGTGGCAGCACAAGTACAACTTGTGGATGAGATCACACAGGTTGAAGGTACGAATTTATTTATAATTGTAGTCAGATCAGTCAGATAATGTGGCCACAACAGGAATAACCTTGAGCAGTGATGGAACAACTCATAAAAATATTAATTATCAGTCTCACCACCTCACATACTCCTCACCTGATGGGGAAGGTGTGACCCGATTTGCTGGCATCCTGCATGAAGTGAACCATACAAGTGAAACACAGTTGCAGGGTTGGAAGGACACAGCCAATGAAATGTATGCTGCTTATAATGAGTGTATGGACCACTCTCAAGATCCCCAAGAATTCGCAGTGAAATCCAAAGGCATGCTCACAGATCATGCTGAGGATCAGAAAAAGCTGGTGCGGCTGTTCACGGAATGGAAGTGGAATGTGTGAGAGAGAAGTTCGTGGCGAGAGGGCACTGGCCTCCCTACCTCCGGATGACATCACTCGTATCATTGATCACATGATGGAATGCATCATTGCTGCCGCCAGGAGGGGTCAATGGGTGGGATGCATTGCCACTTGACTGAGCAGCACAGACGCACAAAGGCAGCTCACCAGCAGCTGCATGTTCATGTCGGGGAGCAATGCTTTGCAGCTCTGACAGATGCCTGAAAAGGAGGCAGTTGACTTTTTTCGTCTGGGCCAGCTGCTATATGCACAAGGAGTTAAATGCTGTCAAAGGGGGTAATGCACGCATGACAGCATGGTGGGTTAAAAATGGGATTGAGGGGCCAATTCTGCTGATGAATAAAGATAATGCAGCCACAGCTGCATCAGGGGGGAACACTGCCACAGCATCATGTGCAGTTCAAGTGTCAGGTCATGGGGCTGTGAAGGCACTCAACCTCACTGGAGGTGTATTCCGACACAAGGACAACAAGAAAGGCCAGCAGGATGCCTTCTGATACTACATGGAAGATCAACTTGGCTATTTCTCTGCCTGGCCTGACACGAGCAACACACATTATCAAAGTAACTGTGATGGTGCGAGTCAATGGCTAGTCCACCGACCTTTATTTATCCCTTATCTGGAGCTCATGCTACACTGCAAAGAAAGCTGCACTCACATGAACATGGAATGAAATGTGTATATGGCATTGTTCTGTCAAAAAACGGCAGAAGAGATGACTGCATTCAGTACATGGGGTAATTGTATTGGCCATCCTTATATGCGCCAGATCCAAGGAGCACTGCGTGAATTTTCAAACATCCTAGACCTCCGTCCCCTGCACGACAATCTCATTATCCACGTGAAGAAGTTGATTGTTAACATAGATTTGGTTATCGGTCCTGAATGCGACTTACCAGACAGCAACCCTTGACAGAAAGCCATTTGAACGACCCGAGGCCTTTTATGTCGTCCACAGAATGGCCCAAGACACAAAGACCTATCCTCACCTTCGACAACTACTCATCAAATTCCTTGAAGGTGCCCTTGACACTCTCCTTCGCTTTTGTGCAGAGTTTGCACCCGGCAGTATCATCACAAAAAGCACTGCTCCCCAATGGGAACTCGCTCACATGGAAACCACAAACGATGCAAACGAGGGTGCACTTGGCACCCTCCGCATCATGCTCAGACGTGCCCCTTGTATGTCTCTGTCACAATTCAATGCACGACTTCAATATAAGAAAAATCGAACTGGTACCTACATCAAGATGTTTCTCGGACACTGTCAGTGCAAGTATCTTCATGGGAAGGCATGGGAATTGGACTCGAATGGAGCTGAGAGAAAATGGAGGAGGGCACAAGTGGAGTATGACCGAAAGCTCATTGAAAAGAACCACAAGATTGACCAGTGGAGGAAGGAATGGAGGGACGCTGCCACTGCAAAGCTCGATGCTGTTGTGCCTTGTCTTGTGGATGCAGACCTGGCCAAGATGCATGTTGCTGACATTGTTCTACAGCTTCATTGGTATTGTGAGTTTGACTTACATGTACCACGAAACAAAGACATGCCAAAGTGAAAGGAGGATAAATTGAAGGTCCTGAGGGAAGCTATCGCACATTACACAAGTGGGGAGGTTACACACTGAGAAACCACACAGGAGGTTCCTTTGGAGACAGGCAAGAGTGAAGATGAGGATGAGCCTTGAATTTATTGAGTAGAATAAGCTTACTAATTACTTTGACTTACTATAATTCTACAGCTATATTGTGTGTTTTGGTGTTGTACGGGCGTCGTAGTTCAATATAAGTTATAACATTCAAGGGTTGTGTCGTTTGACCGCATTTCTTGCTTACATAATGCCACACTTCCTTTGGCTGAGTTGCCACTCCCCAATAATAGCAATATATACCAAAACAATGTCACATGACAAAAATGCGAAAATTCCACCCAAGTGACTGAGTCAGTCCATTCAATTATCACCACAACACTAGCTACTGTTCTATTTACTACCACATAAATTCCAAGTACAGTAGCTTGATATAATTGTAATTGCATTAATGATAAACTACTTTATTTCAGATCAACTGAGAAGTGATTAGTCTTGTAAGCCATGTACATACCATACTACAAAGAAGTGTTACAGCCATTTGCAGAATGCTAGGCCAAAAAATATTCACTACATATATTCAGCAATAAGTCGGGACAACAAAATTTTAACTTCTGACGGACAATCTCAATCTACAACTTGGATGGGATGATACATGTCCAAGGAACAAAAACAAGTTGCTCTACAAATGAGCTTACTAAATGTCAAAGACCCAACAATTCATTGTTACACTGGGATTAGTAAGTGGTCATTGCGATATCTTCAGAAGATGTATCAATATTTGATTGGAGAATAGAAGTTGAAATACCCCTGTGTATGTAGTGAAATTTTTTTGGCCTAGTGTTCTGCAAATGGCTGTAATGGTGCTTTGCAACTGAATGCCAAATAAATTACCATTATAGGAAGGCATGGGGTACTGGTTAGAACACAAGCCCCGACCCATACAGAGCTGAATCTGATTCAGTAAATTTTCTACTGAAAGGATGGTGCTGAATTGAGGGTGATAAGCTGAAATTCAGAATCAGCACTCCAATGAAATTAACTGCATGCAGTTTCAGTGGAAGTTACTCTGAAACATTCAGCACCAGTGCATTTTCCAGTGATTTTCATTGGAACTACTATCTACAGTGTACAGCTTGGTCCCTACTAACTAGTTCATCACAGTAGCTCCTTACTTTGTGGATATCTGTACAGATACTCACAGACCATCCAGTAAACACCAAATACCTGTTGAATTGCAATTTTTTTCACTGTCTATGTATGTACAGACGCTCACAGAGCACTCAGAGAACAAGAACTATGCACACATTCATTTACATAATGTACTGTTCACCCTAGTGCTGCCATGGTCTGGTTCTGAACCATGGTTCGAACCTAACCAATGGTCAGGTTCATCCACATCAGGAAAATGGGAAAAAGTCTTAGCCATCTTATCTTACTTAAACAGACTTAATTCAACATTAAGTCCACCAAGTTGTCAAAGCAAATCATTCTGACTTAATTTCTGCTTGGAGAATTGTTCACTAAGAATACTAAGTGACACATGGCCAAAATTAAGTATAATAATAATATTTAAGCAGGTTAGTTATATAAGTTTAAAATGA